AATCAAATGTCGCAAATTAATAAAAAACACAAATTAATTTTAGGTCTTCTCGACAGCGAAAATGAAGGAGAGCTTAGAGAAAAACTTGATGCTTTCAAACCAAACTAGGACGAACTAGAAAAAAGTGCGTGAGATCTGAAGAACGTCCTAAATTTCATGATTACGTGATTGAAAAGGTAGTTATAATATGAACAGTTTTCAATCACGTGTTTTGATTTGTCCCATTATCTTGTAACCTTTCATTAGTAGAGTAAAAAGCATTTTTAGATTGTTATAAATTTGTAAAGATTGCGTCGCGTATATCTGTGAAGACAAGGAATATATAGGTCTAAGTTATAGAGGGTGGAGCTGTTATATTTTTCTTTGTTCTCTCTCTCTCTAAGGCTTTAAAAGCTACCAATCTTGATTTTACAAAGCAAGGGTAAACATGACATTTTTGAGTAGTTTAAATGCAAAACATTTGGCCTGTTGGCTCAACTTCAATGTTTCAACGACGCAGTTGAAACATTGCTTCTGAAAAATTTTAAAAGTTTTCATTTTTTAGGTTCTAATGTTGGTTGGCTGTATGCTAACAAATGTACGTCACAATGCTGGCCTCGGTGACCCCCCTCAACCATATTACAACAACATCCCTGAATCAGCAAACGCGTTAATTAAAAGATCAGTAGGTTTTAAAGAAAATGAAATAAGCGAATTTTGTAAGAGCATGAGCAAGCTTGCAATGCAACAGAAAGAAGATGTTGACTCCGCTATTTTCAATACTGTCCCTGCAAGTTGGTTGATCAATTTAAATCATTTCAAGGTAGATGGTGTAGATGGTGTAGAATGACAACTAGACAACGAGCAGATCATCTTCGCAAGTTCAGAGTAGCAAATGCAAATGAAACTAACACCAACAAAAAAGTGAGTCTTTTAAACTTCCTGCCAGTGAAATGACTTCTTCTCCGCCAAAAAATTATCTGTGGATTTGCACGAAGCAGGGGTCACATCTGCACCTAAAGAAATAATGAAATGTAATGAGCAAAAGGCTGTGGAGCTTTTTTCTTCTTCACAAATGTTACTTAGTGCTCCAGGAAATGCAGACACATTTGGTACAGCTAGCAAAAATGGTAAAGTAACCTACCAAGATTGTCCTGGTTGGCGATCATTAAAAGTGTGCTCACACTCTTTGGCTGCCCCTGAAAAGTCTGGTAAACTTTTTGAATATGTAAAGTGGCTATAGGAAAAAGGTAGGAAAGGTTAAAAGTCTGCTACTTCCTGAGGAAAAGAAAGGAGAACGAAATTTCAATGACAAACCCAGACAATTAGGCCACTTCCTGTTCAAGTCCTAAATGATTGTGTTCAGAGACAGAACGTCAAACTTTCAGTCCTCAACAGAACGTCAAACTATCATTCTTTAACGATATAAACGAAGAAAGCAACACTCTGAAGATGACTACCGCTAAGGTTGTCGAAACGTCAGTCTACAACAACAAAAACAGTCCTTCTCAGGACTTTATTAACCTGGACGATCATCAATTACAAACATATAAAGCAACACTCAATATGTTCTCGACGAGCAAGGATGGTCTAATAATTTAAACGTCAACACCACCACGCTTATTACGACATGAAGGACTGTGACCCATGAGCAACGTCTAAGTTGGATCCAACCAACGCTATACCAGGTAATAATTCGTTTACCATGAGCCTATTGCAGTTATGTTCGCCATTAGTTTGCTCTTGTTTTGGATGCAGTCAGACTTTGAAGCCTAATGGTATGATTGAAAACCCACCTTTCGACCTTGTCTTCGTTTCAAGAATGCAGAGGGAACATCGTACAGTTGCTGACGGCAGACTACATTTGAAGGAGGGAATTGTTTATTTTCACGTCAACAAGTGCTGTATTAGAATGAAACAGCCCTATTTCAGCCCCCAAAGGACTGTTATTCCGCAGTGGACATAGCAACATTTAAAAACTGAACATTTTGAATTTCTGAAAATTTTTTTTGAGTCTTCTAATTTCTAAATTGAGCATGGGAAAAGCTATTAAAATGGCTGCTAGACTGTGATTTTGGCATTTGGACATGTTGTATTTGGATATATATATGCATTTTTAATTTTTAATAAATTTCACATCAGTTTAGTTGCACTGTTTTAAAACTGAACAAAAAGCGGTCATTTAAAGATTATTTGTGTTACTTAATGACCGTAAATAAATATTCATGTTACTGTTTATATTGCAAACACAAATCATCCGCATTTTATCCCCTCATCCGCAATTTATCCCCTCATCCGCAATTTATCCCCTCATCTGCGTTTTATCCCTTCATTCACCATCCATATCCGCATTTCATCCTAACCCATGTGAGCGGTGTCTAAGATACGGAAGCAGGATTGTGTGTAATTGGTTTAGCAGTGTGGTGACGAGAGTAAGTGTCCGAATATGTATGAGTTTTTGTCCGTGGTTGTGTGTTCTTTAATCCATTTCTTAATTCATGTTCTTTAATCCAAACATTTTACAACATCTTATTCAACTGTAAATAATTATTCATAACTATTCGATACTTCCGTTTTATCACTATACAGTCGAACCTCTCGTAAGCGGACACCTTCGGACTACGACCTGGTGTCTACTTACGGGAGGTGTCCGCTTACGAGAGGTTAGTTAATTCTTGTTCGCTGACGTCATTGTAGAACAAATGACGTAATTGTTGAAACACAATTCTTTTAATGTTTTTCAATAATAAATATACTTTGATTTGTATACATATTATCACGTAAACTTCTTATGATTCACTTCGCATAGAAGGTGGCATAAAGTATGCTCAAACATGTATGCTTTAATAAAAAAAAGTTGTCGTTTGTGGATATATAATACAAAGAATAATGTAATATGTGAGGCTATGTTAAGACAGCACAGGGAACAGTATTGTAATAATATTTGAAAATTAAAAGAAAACAATATTACGGATACTAGTAGGCAGCATTTTATACCATTAATCACGTTACAATGAAGGAAACTCTGTCCTTGTGAATTAAAGTGTCGGTAAATATACCTAATAATTTTAGTTCTCATTATGCAATGTGGCGTCACATGTTAGATATATCCAACAAAACAAAAACTTCAATATCTCAAGAATTAAAAGTGATATGCATAAACTGGTTTAGAATGTCCATTGTCATTTTAAAATATCTCTTGAATAAAAGTGTAGAAATTAGTTAATTAGTTTAATTAGTTAGCAATAATCACGTTAAATGATTGGTTGATGATCACGTGGATGTAATGCACATATTAGATAGGAGCACGAGAGAACGGGGACTTTTGTCACAGTTGGTTACTGATACAACAGTGTCTTTTGATATTGTGTATGTGGACCCTTTAGTGATAATAAAGATTCATAAAAAGCAAGTCTAGTACTTGTACTGATAGTTTTTTTAAAAAGTATTACTCCGATAGCAAAATTTTCCTTTCATTAGCACTTTAATGGATATTGAGCAGTCATGGTGAGGGACGAAGCTAGGGGGGTGTATATTCTGTTGTGCTTAAGACAAAAGCAAATTTCTTTTAAAAGAGATCATTTGGGCACAACTGAGTGTTTGAATGCACCCCCCCCTTTAATAAATCGTTCTAGCGACATTCTTGAACTTGGTCCATCAGTTCATCAACAAATATAGCATAGTATAACATATTTCCTTTATAGTATAACTTATGACAAAGCTCTTTTTCTAATTTTGTGACGCCAATTATAATATATTAAATTGCTTGAATTATAGCAAAGTATAACAATCACAGGCTAAAGCTACGAATACGAGATTTCTCATTTAGCAACGAAATACAAATTTGTCATAGTGTCATTTTTTGCCAAATTCTGTTTAATAACCTGAAGGAACTCTCACTAAAATGGTAACTCAACAAAAATTCAGTAAAACAATTTTCAAGCCTTTTATGTTCTACTTAGATAAATGTTGCATAAAGCCACTGTATCCCTCTATAATTATTAATGTTTGCCTGCTATGTGTGATATGATGTGATGTGATGATAGAAAATCTGTTACTCTACTCCAGTGCATCTCCCCCTCCCTCTCAATGCTAGTGCTGACGTCGATAATGAAACCTTATTCTGAGTCCTGGTCTTCGGGCTAACATATGCTAAGTGGATTTTAAGTCTTTGAGAGTTACAATCGTTGTGGACTTAGGATACGGGGAATATGCATAGGAGGGAGGCTTATATAGGTGTAGGTTTTCTGTATGTTGTTGTTGCACGATACTGAGCTAAATAAAATGTTCAGCCTTCCAATACAATCATCAAGATGACTAGGCACACTGAAAATCCACTTAGTTTGCTCATTGAATTTGTATCAGTAGTAGATCATGTCTCTACTGACGTATTTCATTCATCTACTGTCGAGAAATTGACAAATAATTCCAATTGAACTGTTAAATTTTTGGTTTGGAGCCCTTGAATATGAAAAAAGGCCACTTTTATATATTTTGCAACTAGTTAAAAACAATACATTTTTATATAATAAATATTAAAGCCCAGCAGAGTGCTTTTTAAAGAGCCGTTAAATACAAGAATAATGTGTAAAAAGAAATATTTATTTAAGAGTCAAAACGAAACGTTACGCAATTGAATATATGTTTCTTTTTTATCCATTATTCTTGTTGTTAATGGCTCTTTTAAAAGCACTCTCACTGCTTGGATTCAATATTTATTAAAAGAATTCGCTTCCCGCCCGGTATACTATATCCCTGGTCACTACCTCTCTTCCTATCATGCTCTAATAATATTAACATTGGTTAAAATAATCTCATTTTTAACCCTTTCCTTTGCCATCGTGATTACTGAGTCCAGATCACAAAGCTGGCTGAAACTCTCTTGAAAAAATAGGCTGGTAAGGGTAGAGTTACGTCGCCCAGTCTCAATCCGCGTGGCGACACCCACACGTCCACGCTGGTCCACGCATTTTCCTAAATATTTGAAATTCCTGTAACTAAGTGTTGCTGCTGACGTTTCACTGTGACGTATCAACCGACAAAATGGCGGTCACGGTCTCCATGTTTCGGTGGATCGACCTTCTTGAAAAAGAATTTGATAAGGCATTCGTGGACTTGGACCTTCTTCTCGGCGAAGTAGATCCCGACCAGAGTGAAATCACATACGACGGTCGGCAAAAAATGACTTCGTTGTCCTCCGTGTTTGCTCAAATGGTCCACAAGGCACAAGCAATATTTCAAGCAAACGCGAAATTGGAGGTAATTGGTCTATTAAAAAGTTCTTAAATATTTTTCATCGCACCTAATGTTTTACCAGACGTACCACTGAATTTATAAGAAATACTATTTGATAACAATTTTAATCTTTGACCCTATAATGTTTTGTGACTAGGCAGTTTATCAGTTAAAGATTTTTATACAATGATAGCCAATTATCAGCTGAAATATGTACTTATGACTTTTATGTGCGTAAACCTAAAAGAAATAGAATTTTGTTCAATAATGTGATGTAATTTTGAAACTCCAGTGCTTATAGTGAAAAAATAAAAAGATCCTATGTGTTTTGAACATCTGATTTGTGTTTGGTTTTTAATGATAAATACAATTGTATGCTAAGTGATAGGAAAATTGGCATACTAAAATCTTGAGGACATACACATGCCCAACTTTGAAAGACAACTGCTCACTTTGGACCTTTCTGCATGTGAAACATACTTTGTCATTGCCAATATATTAGAAGAAAAGAATAGTAGAATGCAGCTTAGCAGACACAAGATTGTTTTACATGCAGAGCACAGGCTCAGTGTGAACTTCAAGATGAGTGATTAATAAGAAAATCTCAGTCAAATGTTTCTTAAGACAATGGTCTAAGGGTCACACTCCACCAATGTCAACGAACTGTGTGTCACATTAAATGTGGCTTTTCTGGGTTGTCTTACCAAAAATCTAAATAGTTAAATATCTGCATTTGCCGAATATATAATGCTATGATTAAAGCAACTGTAGACCCACGTATTATCAATTTCTTACTGATACGCCTATTTGTGGTAATTTGTCACGCAATCAGTTCTTTTTGGTCGCCAGTGTAAATATGAAGTCAGGCTTGCCTTGTACAAATCTCGCATCGATGTGTTACATTTTTATTTGTCTGGCACATGGTAAATAAGCTTTTGTACAAAGACAATTTTGTTGTTTAGGCTGAACTTGTGTCATTGCGACATGACATTACTGAAGAGCATGCTGCCAGGGAAGTTTTGGAAAAGGAGGTTACAAGTCTTCTTGTTCAGTTGCATAGAGTTCAGTTGCAGCTGCATTCTAATGCCGAAACACCAGACTCAGAAAGTATTCGTGAAAAATTGGTAAGGTATATTGTTTTGAGTGAAAAATCAAAGTTAATAAAGTATTACTAATAGAGGGGAGCTTGTTGCAATTTCATCCTAATCAGTGGTATGTTCAGTGAAAGTTTTCGCTCTTCTTCATCAAAATATATTGTGAAAACTCTGAATTCTTTTTTTAAATTTATTGTTAAGTTGAATTACTATTGCTTTTTATGGATGGAGCGTACAACGTCAAGCAATCGCCCTTCCCAATTTGTTTCTTTATGAAAAAATTTTACTTCAGTTTTCATTGTCATTTGATTTGATTTTTTGTATTTATCTTTGATTTTATTTGATAAGTTATTTGTCTCCTTGTACTATTTAGTTCAAGTGCCTGTATCACCCACAGAGAAATAGTCTAATTAGATGATGTGTGCAATTTTAAGAACATTTGCAATACATTTTATACATAGATTATTTTCCTGAGGGTGATACATAGGCACTTTAAAGTACTCAATCTTCATAAATTCAAACAAAAAATAGTATTTTGTAATATCGGTAATATTAGGAAAGCGAGTTGAATAAACACAAGAAGGATGCGACGAAGGAAGCAAAAATCGTAGCGATGATGAAGCAATACGAGAAAGAAAACATTGAATTGAGAAATCACGTGTTTAGTCTACAGGGTGAAGTATATGGAGCCAGACTCGCTGCAAAATATCTTGACAAAGAACTTGCTGGCAGGTAAAACATCGTGTCTGTCGACCGTATTTGAAATGAAAGCTGATCGAATTGTGTTTTTATGACAGTATTTTTTGTTTTAGAATTCAGCAAATTCAATTGTTAGGGCGAGGTTCGCGTGGTCAGGAACACAATGCCATGTGGAATCAAATTGAGGCAGAAATCCATCTTCATCGTCATAAAACCGTCATACGTGCGTGCCGAGGAAGAAGAAACCCTTTAAAGAAAACGCCCGCTCCCCCCGCTGCACGCGATGCTGAGGACGCAGATTCAGATCAGAAGAACCGTCGACGGAGGGGAATAGGCGACACGCGGACGGTTCTCTTATGTAAGAGTAAGAGCGAAGGTCTTGGAATTTCCATCACTGTAAGTATGGCAGAAGATATTGTCATTCATGCAAGTATAGTCCAAAGTAGGATGCTCATTCGAAGCGTCCTACTAAACCCTTCCCCGGGGCTGCCTGGTAAGAGGAGAAACACTTTCCCGGGGCTGCCTGGGGAGAGGAGAAACACTTCGCCGGGGCTACCTGGGAAGAGGAGAAACACTTCCCCGGGGCTGTCTGGTAAGAGGAGAGACACTTCCCCGGGGCTGCCTGGGAAGAGGAGAAACACTTACCCGGGGCTGCCTGGGAAGAGGAGAAACACTTCACCGGGGCTGCCTGGGAAGAGGAGAAACACTTCACCGGGGCTGCCTGGTAAGAGGAGAAACACTTCCCCGGGGCTGTCTGGTAAGAGGAGAGACACTTCCCCGGGGCTGCCTGGGAAGAGGGGAAACACTTCACCGGGGCTGCCTGGTAAGAGGAGAAACACTTACCCGGGGCTGCCTGGTCAGAGGAGAAACACGTTAATAAATATTAAAATAAATCTCTCTTTTCATTTTATGAAGCCAAAGAATGAGTACAAAACGTGTTTAAACATAAAGTAGGAACTATTCTGTGGTTTGGATACATTTTACACCGTGAAGTCGCAGAACTGTCGACACTGTCCGTGAAGAGAAGGAAAATAAAATTGTCCGTTGATAAATGATAAAATAAAATCGTTTCAAGCATTGAAATAACATCTGAACATCATACTGCCATCAACGAAGCTGTAAACACTTTAGCTGAAACCTCATTCAGCTGTTTATTATGCATGATTTTCCATCGAGGAAATTTGTAGTTCTTATTATTTTCGGATGGCTAATGTCGTCCAACTTAATATTAAAAAGGTATCTATGATAATTTTGGATAATTTTGAAAGGTATTTCGTTCAGGTGAAACTTTTCCTTCTCTCAGGCAGTTCCGGTCTGTGTTTAGTAAAGGATCGTCTTTGAAGGCACTCTACTACAACAAGCGAGCTTACGAACATTTGATTCGTTAATATTTTAGCGACTGACCCCGTTTTCTCTTTATCAGGGGGGCAAAGAGCACGGCGTTCCGATTCTTATTTCGGAAATCCATCCCAGGTTACCGGCGGAGCGCTGTGAAGGACTCTACGTTGGCGACGCCATTTTGTCATGTAACGGAATAGATCTACAGGAAGCGAAGCATTCGGAAGCCGTGAAAGTGCTGTCGTCTTTACAAGGTGAAATTGTGATGGAAGTCCTCTATGTTGCACCCGACGATTCAAGTGATGAAGATGAAGTTGACTGGGAAAAGAAGGACGAGAAGAGGTGAGCGAGTTATGGTATTTTAAAGTGCTTATACCAGGGTCAATGACTTCTTTAGGTTGTTAAATCGATTTTACGAACTTTTGCAAAATATTTTATAGGACGAAAATGTTGTTATTGTAAGCTTTTCGTGCCTAGGCTAGAATTGGATTGCATGGCACCGGAAGTGACTTTATAGGAGAATACATGCATTGAAGATTGTTATAGCTTTTGTGATACAGGTTTATATTAAACAACAAGAGTTTGAAAAGTACAACTATTTCGATGCTATTTTCCACTAAAGTTGTGTAATATACGGTGTTTATACTTTTAGAAGCGAGCGTTTTCTCCTATGTACGTCACTTCCGGCGCTGAGTCACCTACTTCTAGGCCCAAAATACCCATGAAGATAAATTTCCTACTCATTAAATATATTGCAAATGTTTTCAAAATCTATTTAACTAGATGAAGAAGTAATTTCCCTGACCCTAATATAGGCTCTATAAGGTGACGTACTTGACACATGTGGATACATCTGTATTTGGATGGTTACGATGGATATGTAGACGAGGAAAAGTACTCACATGAGTAAACGAGCGGGGGCATATTTAGCGTTTGAAGGGGTTGAGAGGATTCTTGAATGTTGCAAATTTCACGAAAAACATGTTCTTTGCAATTGTTTTTACATTATGGGTGCAAACGGAGATCTCAGGGATAATTTTGCGGTAGGAGGGGGGGGGGGTTGACGAACAATTTGATACTTTCGTGTGTAATGCCATTTTAGTCAATTTAATATACCACTTAAGAATGTGTGCCTAATTCGAGAAAACACATCGCAACTAGTTAAGATTTCAAATTTTTTTGTGAGTGTTTTACAGTACCACCCTGAGACTCAACTTCTCCTTGTGTTTCCATGAAATGATTGCGAATCACAACTTTTCCTTGTCTTCCCATGCAATGTTGCCATTGCTTAATAAGTCGTGTCTGATAACAATTTAATTTGACTTTTGTTTCCCGGTACAGATTTAGTTCTCTGAGCCGTTTTGAAGATCCACATGAATTGGCGAACGCCGAGGTACACTGCACAAACTCTACGACAGAATCAATTCACTTCAAGAATGAAGAAAGGGAAGATGGCGAAGAATTTATTAAAACTAAAAGGTGTCTGTTATTGTCATTGATTTCAGTATGTTTGTTTTTTCTTGTTTTCTGTATAAACTCAATTGACGTTCATCCGGTTTCTAGCAGGAATCATTTATTCTTGTTTGTTGAGCTCGTATATATTTATGTTATGTGTCATCATGTTAAAAAATTTGCATAAAGCCAATTTTTACCTCCCCAAAATTTGATCCTTGCGGAAAAGATTGGGACTAGTTAAATTACATGCTTAAAATTTTTGAAGGAGATGGCTTTCCAGTTACATCCACAGTTGATTTTGTCATCATTAAATTATTGGAATTGTTAAGAATTGGTGGGGGGTTAAGGTTTGGGTCGAGTTCATTATGTATTTAAACAGCAACAATCTTGATAACTGTTGCGAAACGGTAAATATCAATCATTGTATGTATTAACTTTATCAGGTTACAACTTTCAGATAAATGGTCAAATGATATTTCATCGGCCTGATCCTGTTTAATGTCAGTAGCCAGACCGACTTTTTACTGCTGCTGTGCAAAAGTTCTTATGCTCACTTACCTCGAGAGCAATAGATTTCTTTTAATATGCATAGTGGTAATCTTTCAGAATTTACAAAGTGCGAGTTAATCTGCTGGCTGGCTATGCTACCATTTAATGTTTGCATGTCGAGACTAAACCCTTAACTGGTATGTTTTAATCAGCAGTTTTTCTTGCAGACAAGATATGAAACTTCCTCTCGATACTGCTCGCCGTAGCAAGCCTCCAAGCAGAACAAATCGTCGCATCCCTGGAGTAGCTGTTGATCTTCGTTCGCCGGGATCTCCTCACTCTCATACGTCTGCACAATGTTCTAATGAACATAACGGTTCAAGAAAAAGCCTCTTGAGTCCTACGTCAATAAAGCAATTACATTCACCGGACTCGTTGTCACCAGTCTCCATTACATCTCTTACTGATATCACTCATTTAAGTAGGTGACGTATTTCGGGTGCAGAGGATTGAGGTAATCGTTAATTTTTGATTTACAATTGACCTGAATGTTTTTCTGGTTGCTATTCATAGAATGCCTTTTAAAGGTGATTCAGAGAATAAAATTTGTTTCCTAAATTTTCTCATGTAGTTCTGCCAATTTTAAACGAGAAGTTACTGAAGATGCTATGACTAATACACCATTGAATGAGTCAAGCCTAATTATACTCGGTTATGATGCCAATGTCATGGTGCATGCGCTTTGTCAAACTTTAGGAAAATGGAAACTTTGCGGGAGTTCAAACTCCTGCTCCGGTCGAGCTTTAGCTTCCGTAGAAATTGTGTTTCTCTAGAAATCCTTGAAATTGCGCTCACCGTATGTCAACAACATTAGACTGATTTAGCAAACACGACGTTTCGTCTAAGTCGTCGTGTAATTTTCGGGAGGGATCTGGGTCTAGGACGCCAATACGTCGTAAAGTATATTTATGATTTAGCAAACCTTTTGTAGGACTTCGTCAAAGAATAGTATCGGCATTTCGCTGGCCCGTTTTTTTTTTTTAAACTAATGTTTTTATATAAAAATGTACTTATTTTTCTCCTAACGTTGAGTTTGCTTCAGTCGTCGTCGATAAGCCGTCAAATTGCATGTTTTCACGTCGTAGTCGTCAACACGACTGCCGTCGTAGAGTGAACCGGAAGTAAAAGGCGCGTGCCACGCCATTTTTACAACGTCTTACACGAAACGTCCTGTTTGCTAAGTCACTCTAACGTTCCTGCTAGAACGCTCAGACTGAGACGTTATGGATTAAGGAGCTATGACAAATAGGATATTGCCAGTCATCTAATTGCTGACCAATTGCCACTATAGCGGTAGTAATAGAAGTTTACTTTTTTTATTGACAACAATCTCGTATTTTCGCGGTTTTGCTTGCAAAAGTTAGTACGAATAATCACTACCGTGAGAGAGAGAAGATTGTTGTGAATAAGCGCGTAGCTTTTTAAATATGGAGAAATACGTAGAAATGTGTAAGAAAAACTTAATTCTGAAGGACGAATGAGGAAAAAAGTGTGATGTGATCAAAAGATTAATAAAAGAAGAAATAGCGGCAGAAATGTTGTAGTCATTTGTTTTTAAATGCATTCAGCGATTAACTATTTTACTTATGCTTTTAACTAGCTTCGTTTGTTATCCATTCCATCTATTTATCGGCGTTTTAGAAAGATCATTATCATTGCTTGGCTTTCTATACGTTTTCCATTAAATTCAAATATTGTAACTGGGTAGACCATTGTATGAACCTTTGCGAGACTTTTAAACAGCTCCACACCTCTCACGGTCGTAGCTGGAACGTATAATTGAGGGACTGGAGGTGAATATTATGAATATTATCAAATAATGATATGAATATTATTTAGTCGTGTTCAACTAACTTCTCGTGTATGCAATTCACTTTCAAAAGAAGTCAATCGGCACAACTGTACACAATATACACACCACATCACCCCCAAGTAACATTCTAGCTGCTGTCCTGCACTTGTGTGTTTGGGTCATAGTAATGTTGGCTCACATGCTGCAACACACACAGCTTTTATTTCTGTAGATTATACGCAGACTAACCCAAAAAGAATCGCAGTTTTTCACCATCAATCTATCGATGTCCATATGTAAGCACCGGATGTGACGTAAAAGGAGAACACGTGCATTGAAGATATATCTTTGCTGGAGAAAGCTGTTGTAGCAAATCGTTTTTAAAATCCGCACAACTAATTCAAGATGCTGCATATAGGTATAGTTTGACGACATCGTTTGACCTAAAAATCAAAGAAAACGTTCAAAAAGAAGAGCGGCGTTTTTTCCTTTTATTCGTCACTTTCGGTGCGAAATCTCCTACTTCTAAGCCCATAATGACAATGTAGATAAAATTTTCGACGTATCGTCGGTATCGAAGTTATTGCAAATGTTCTTAATATCGACTTAACTTTCTAAAGAAGTTATTTCCGTAACCCCGATATTTAATATTCTACAAAAGTTACGAAACTCGCAGTTCCCCGAATGGAGTTATTGATTCCGGAATAATTGTTCCCCGAAGACAATTTAACTATCCTGTTTCGCCGAAGGAAATCATTTTTTCCCGAACTGAGTTATTTTTTCCTAGAAGAGAATTTGTGCTTCCCCGAAGGGAACTGTTCCGCTTCACCCCCACACATTTGTACTTCTGGCACCCAACAGAACCATTAAGTCTTATATTCCTTTGTTTATTTCAAATTCAGTAATAAAATGTTGGGTCGTCGCTGTATTTAACGATAATAAGAGAAAGTTTTTGCCCGAAAGAATGCGACTAACAATAAACATTAATGGCGGAATATAGTATCCGACGGTTCATTCACGAGTATTCGTGTCGAACTAAACGTTATACGACGTTTTCTGTTACCATCTATCTATATTACAGATCCAACAACATTATACTATATATATAAATTCCTGCATAATTTATGTCTGTCTCTTCAAGTGTGATTCACTAACTAACTTGAGTTTTTGACCTGTCGTCTTTGCAACACATTTAAACAGTCCATGATGTACTCATAACTCAAACCATAAAAAAGCAAAGGAAGATATAAATGCATTGTATCACATGCTTTCATATGGTTTGGCTGCGTTACACTAAGCCGGATTCGCTCATCACGACACCTTCATTTGCTTTAAAGGGTCAACTGTTCGGAGTAAAAGCTTATTAAGCTGATAGATTTAGTCTATTTGATTGTGTTTCTGACGTTGAACAATTTCACTGCCTTTTAATACAAAGAATATTTTGCTACGATAACAGTCCGGTATAGTGTATAAACGGGTCCTAAATGTATTGCATCTTTGTCATTTGCAAAACATGCCTTTACAAAAGTATGCTTTATGAACAATTTTTTACTGGACATTTCTGTCTGTCTAAAGTTTTTCTACGCAGATAAACATATATGAAACATCAAGGTACACATACAGACAAAATAGTTATCACGATAATCTTGTCGTTTGTTTAGACGGTGAATATACGCTCAACATTTCAAGCAGTATGCAAATTCTCACTTTTTACAATGTCATAATCAAGTCGCCATCTACTTGGAAATCAGCGATGGCCTGCACAAATGGGCGGCACCGGGATACTCTAGGGTCGACATGGTAACGATAGTTTCGTAAACTATAATATTTTCTTTACCACTCCCTTCGCTTATATTTTGTTAATATTTCATTTTATATGACGTTTTGCATAAAGTTATTTGCTATAAGGGCACGAAGTTTGCCGAACTGCTTTTTAAGAATGATCGCGTTTTTCAACATTTTTTAGCAGATAAGAATTTATTTCGGAGAAAGTGAGCGACATCTCGTTATAACATTGTTGCTTTAAATCATACCGCTCTTTTTAAATAAAAATCGTTAGAACCTATGACTTTAACGATTGACGTTAACGTCGTGATTGAATAAAATAAATATAGAAACTGTGCATTCTTCATGCACGAACATATTAAACTCAGGTTAGGAAGGATTTTGTTCCAGGATCATTATAGGTATCAAAAAAAGTATCGATACCAATACTATTGCCTACTGCTGTTTAAAGATAAAATGGTTGCTTATTAGGAAAACTATTTTAAAATACAAATAATGCAATAATGTAAATCTAATGATGTAATCGAGAATGTAGAACGCAACGTAGAACGCAGAACGGATGCACCAAGAAAAGTAAATATTTCCACTTATTAACAAATCAGTAGTCTTATTTATGACCTCAGTAATGTAGATCTCACATAAAATTTAAGCCAAACGATGTGGACTAATATGAAGAAGGCAAAATTTTCTTATCTGCTTCATGGCACTGGATAAAGTTTAAGGAATGAAAGTGAAACGAAAACAGTATCTTGTTGATATCGCTGCGAGAAATTGTAAAACCGCAAGAATTATTTTAAATTTATTCAATTTTCTATTTGCTGACTAACCCTAAATAGCCAAACGCACGCTGTGAAACTATAATAACACTGAAATTATTTTATATTCGGCATGTTTTAGTTTCTGCGTGACTCAAGTGACTATATCCGGTACGTCACTTTTCGCGAACGCTATATATGATCGGACGTTAACTAAGCAAAAGCCATTGCCTACCTGTGTTTCATACAGGGTTTATACTTTACTGCATGGTTTTGATTAAGAACACAAAAGAATTTAAGCATGTTCAGATTGTTCACTAAAACTGGAAAGAATGAGCCGGCTCCGGATGTTTTGCAATCTGTGGTCGAAAGTTTGAGAATGTTATACAAGAACAAACTACGGCCGCTGGAAGAGAAATGTGGATTTAGGTATTTTCATTCGCCTTTAATGTCCGACGCTGATTTTACTGCAAAGCCAATGGTTTTATTGGTTGGCCAGTACTCGACAGGAAAGACATCGTTCTTAAAGTATCTTTTAGAGCAAGAGTTTCCCGGAATGAGAGTCGGTCCCGAGCCCACGACGGATAGTTTCATCGCTGTAATGCATGGCGAACGTGAACGAGTAATTCCTGGAAATGCTTTTATTGTAGATTAAAGCAAACAGTTTCGATCTCTGGAAAAGTTTGGCAATGTCTTTCTTAATCGACTTTATTGTTCAGAGTTGCCCAACGAAGTTTTGGAGAGCATCACGATCATCGACACACCCGGTATTCTCTCGGGTAAGGAGAAGTTTTTGCTCAGAGGATATGATTTTATTGGCGTATTGAAGTGGTTTGCTGAACGAGCTGATCGAATCGTTCTGCTTTTTGATGCTCACAAGCTGGATATCTCAGACGAATTGCAAAGGAGTATTGATGTGCTCCGTGAATATGACGAAAAAATCAGAATTGTTCTTAACAAGTCGGACATGGTTACAACGCAGCAACTGATGAGAGTGTATGGTGCACTGATGTGGTCGTTGGGAAAAGTCATTAACACACCGGAGGTTTCCCGTGTATATATTGGATCGTTTTGGGATCAGCCACTACAAAATGACGAGAACAGGTGTTTGTTTGAAGCCGAGGCGCACGACTTGTTTGCTGATCTCCAGAGTTTACCAAGTAATGCAACATTAAGAAAACTGAACGATTTTATCAAAAGAGCAAGACTAGCTAAGGTGAGTGTATTCAAACACTAATTTTTTTGGAAAACTTTAGCACTTAACTCTTTGTCTGCCGTCAGGGGCAAAACTAGAACGTTAATTGGGAATAATCATATATTCAGCTCTGCTCTACTGATTTGTTTGTTAGCAATTTTAATTTCAAAAGAAATCAGCAGGGCAGAGCTGAATATATGAATATATAAACCATCCAACTGAGTTCCAGTCGCAAAGCAGTTCCAAACTCAATCGAAGATAATTTGCTGTTAAGCAAGGGGTTGAATTGCATAGACAACACGCTCTGATCATTTCATGTCAGGGCTCAAATAAAACATTCAAATTTGAGCAACAGTTTTCGCTGTTCAGCTAGAACAAAAGTCTAGCGAATGTCTTCTTGCCAAAATCATGAAATATTACATAATAGAAGCTTTAAGTAAAGTCACACAACAAGAACCGATTTGTCATTTTTGCGAGAATCAAAGCATGTCAATATTAACGTTGTCAAAATCGTCGTCGCATCCGTATCCAAGATGAAATTTCAGTAAAAATTCGTTTTATCGCCATAGCGACTTTCGGAGAGCAATCCATGTGAGAACTTATTTGACAATGTAAATTTTTGCTCTCCGCATTTGAAATGTTTTCAACGAAACTATGAATGAGACTGAAAAGTATGCAAATTTGTGCAAAATCAACAAAAACATAGCTTTTTTGAAAAGGTTAAATTTGAAAAAAAAATGGTTAAACCGGTGCGATATTTAGTAACGGCCAAGAAGTATGTTGGGAATATTTCTTTAAACCCATGTGTCTGAACTTTTTCATATAATTGGAAGGTTTTCATTGAAACTCTAATAATAAAAACCATTCCAGTTGTCCCTGTTGTTATTGTTGTCATTGTTGTTGTTATTGCTGTTGTTGCTATTGTTGTTGTTATTGTTGTTGTTGCTATTGTTGTTGTTATTGTTGTCATTGTTATTATTGTTGTTGTTATTGTTGTCATTGTTGTTGATGTTGTTATTGTTGTTGTTGTTGTTCTTGTCGTTGTTGTGGTTGTTCTTCTTCTTCTTCTTTTCAACTTTGTCTTCGACTTTTTCTTTTCTTCTTCTTTTTCTTCTTCTAGTTGTATTATGGATATGCAGCGAACTGATCCTTTAGTTTGCATTATACAACGATAGATTAATTCTTTTTCACATTAAATAAGAACGCTTTTACTCAAGAAATGATTAAAAATTGGCCAAAGAAAAAATTTGAAAGTTTCCAAAAGTATTATTCTTTTAAATTAGATGCATCATGTAATCTAAATCTGAATATTTAACATTGTTCTTTCAAACTGAATTAGGTTCATGCACACATTATTTCCACTCTTCATGAACAAATGCCTCGGTTTTTTGGAAAAGAAAAAAAGAAAGAAAAGCTCATCAACAGCTTGGGTGAGCTGTATAGTAAGATCGAACAGCAACACAGCATATCCAAAGGCGATTTTCCTCCTATTTCAAATTTCCGAGAAAAGTTAAGAGGTTACGACTTTTCAAAGCTTCCTAAATTAAAGCAAAAACTTGTTGATGATGTTGATAAAATGCTGCAGATCGATGTAACTAAGTTGATGTCCATGATTCCAAAGGAAAATGATTCAGCTACATCTGTCACAGTTTGAGGTGGCGTTTTCACTGTCGATGATTCATCGTATAACCCGTTTGCTACTGGTGCTGGCAAAGGTATTCAGTATGGGGCTGGTTCCGATGACTGGGTTATCATGCCAAGAAAATCAGAATATGATAGTATTTTTGAAACCCTCAAGCCCGACATGAATGGCAAAGTCTGTGGATCAGAGGTAATGCGGGAACTATACAGGTCTAAATTACAAAGTACTGTTTTGGGTCAAATTTGGAAACTAGCCAGCATTGACAGCGACGGAATGTTAGACTCTGATGAATTTGCCATGGCAAGTTATCTAGTCGAGTTGAAGTTGAATGGATATATATTACCACAGGTACTACCTTTTCATCTTGTTCCACCATCAAAGTGTAAACATATGATTCATGAATGATGACCAAAAGAAAAAACTGCTTTTAAGAATTTTTGCTCATTGGATGTTACAAAACTAAAATCGTTGTAATTTCTTAAATCCTTATAGTGGATCTTCCTTTCTACAGTTGACTACACTCTAAAAATGAAGAACAGTTGGTTGTGTACATGTTTGAAAAATTAAAAACACCAATTTGGTTTGTAATAAATATAATTAATTGCCAGCCATTTACCTTTAGTATGTATCTTGAGACGATTACTGTACCTGTTAAAGTATGACATATATCATAATGCAATATTCTTGATTGTAAACGAGAAAATAAATAAAATAATTGTGAAAACGTATGAGTCGCAGCTAATTATGATTAACAAAATACAAATGACAAATGAACATAATTGTAACACACGGTTGACAATATGACTTCTTTATATTTAAATAGTTCGCCATTCTTTTTTTTTAAAAGAAATTTAATTTCAAAAGAATCAGTCTGACACAACTGAGTGTATGAATATTGGTGAATTGTGAATATGATTTGTGTTAATATTATTAGAGTGTAATGTTGTAGTTTTGGGGTTGTTAGTAGTTTTTTGTCCTTTTTCGTTAGTTGTGAGGAAATGATGGGTATGTCGATATGTCTGTTTATTGTGTCGTTGTCTTTACTGTACCAAGCTTCTTTAAAGTCGCGTGCGTGTTTAGTCTGTGCGCGTCCGAGTATTTTAGTTTCTGTCCAGTCAAATGTGTGGTTGTTTCCGTGGGTATGTTCTGCCGGTAGTGAGTTCGGATCTCCTCGTTTTATGGCGTTTTTGTGTTCTGTGAGTCTTGTTTCGATTTTCTTTGATGTTTGCCCTATGTATTGTTTTGAGCAGTCTTTACATGGTATAATGTAGATTGCGTCGGTTGTATCATGAATTGTTGTTATGTCTTTATGTTTGGTAAAACATGATTTGAGTTTTTGTGTAGGTTTGTGGGCGACGTTAATATTAAATGGTCGAAGAAGTCTGGCAGTCATTTCTGATGTTCCGTTTATGTATAGTAATGTGACGATTTTTACTGTTTCATCCGGTTTCTTGTTGCCTTTGTCGGTTTGAGTTTTGTTTTGTATTTTGTTTATAGTTTTGTTTATAGGGTAATTGTTTTTAATAAATGTGGAGTATAAGTAGTTGCGTTCTGTTTTCTTGGCTTCTTCGGTGTTTCAATGAGCGTTTATCTTGCTAAAGTGTTCGAATGCAGCTTATTTTGTGTTGTGTTGGGTGATTGCTGTTGAAATCGAGTATTTGGTCTGTGTGGGTGGTTTTGTAATATACTTGTGTGTTTAGTGTACCGTCACTGTTCTGGTTAGTAGGATGTCGAGGAAAGTAAGTTGTTTGTTGTGTTCTTCGTCTTTAGTGAAGGTTATGTTCATTTTGGTATTGTTTATGGTGTGTACGATTTGTTCAGTTTTGTCTTTCTTGACTATGGCAAAGATGTCGTCGACATATCTTTTCCATAGTCTGATGTTTGTGTTGTTTGTGACTGATTGTGTTTCGAAGTGTTGCATGACGGCCTCTGCGAGAAGGGTGGATAGTGGTGAGCCCATTGGTGTGCCTGAAATTTTTCTGTAGTATGTGTTTTTGAAGGTGAATTCAGTGGAAAGGCAAAGGTTAAGTAAGTCTAGGATGTCATTTTTGTCTAGTTGTGTTGTAGCTTGCCAAGTTTTGTCGTCTGGTAGTAGTTCGTCTGTAATTTGTTTAGCTATGTCTAGTGGTATGGATGTGAAGAGTGATGTCACGTCGTAGGATATCATGATTTCGTCTGGTCGTAGTTTAATGTTTTCAATATTGGCGAGGAAGGGGGTGGCATTTCTAATGGTGTGAGGTGAATTTTTGACTAATGGATACAGAATGTTATAAAGATATTTTGAAAGTTCATACGAAGGTGATCCTGGAAGCGATACGATAGGTCGAAGTGGGTTGTTTTCTTTATGGATTTTTGGTAGTCCGTAGAATTTGGCGGTGGATGCGTCATTGGGTCGGATTCTTCTGTAGTCGTTTTCGTTTAGTTTCTTTTTGTCTTTTAAATGTTTCAGTTTCTGGTTGATGCGGTTGGTGGTCGTTTTGCTGGGGTCTTTGTGGAGAAGTTCGTAGGTGGTGGTGTCTTGTAGGAGGGTTTTGGCTTTGTCGATGTATTCTGATCTGTCCATGATAACTGTTTTGCGTCCTTTGTCAGCTGGTAATATGATTATTTGGTCGTCGTTTTGTAGGTCTTTCAATTACTCATAGTTCTTCGTTGTTTAGGGTGACTGGTGATTTGTGGCAGAGGTTATTGGTGATTTTGTGACAAATGTCTTCTTTCGTTTGGTCTGTTAAGTTGGTGTACTTTAAAGCTGATTCCAGGTCAGAATTAGTTGAAGCCTTAATCGAAAACGTTTGTTCAAACAAAGTTGTTTGGGACACTAACAATGCATATTACAAGAACAAAAACGTACAGGAGTCAGCATGGTCAAAAATAGCAAGTGAGTGTGGTCTGGAAGGAAAAACATCGAGGATTAAAGTAAAATGCCGGGATCTTAAAGACACGTATAGGAAAAAGTTGAAGTTATTGATCCCAAAATCTAGTGATTCTGGTGGTACAAAGAAAGCTACTAGGCAATGGATGAATCAAATGAGTTTTATGAAAAAAATTGGCATAGGGGAGACGCCAGCAACTTCTAATTTCTTGACAATAAAACAGGAGGAAAATCACCAGATAGGCTTGCTGTCAAACGACACTGAGGTGGATATATCCGACTTGTCCTTATCTTTAAATGATATTTCTCTGGTTAAAAAAGAAAAAGAGATGAATCACTGAACCAAGTAGATTTGGCGATTTTATCTGAATTAAACACAGTTAAAGATAATGATGAGGATAGTCTATTCATCAAATGCTTGATTCCTGCAGCTAAGAAGACTGGAGCATAAAAAGAAAGCATTGATAAAATGCCAACTACTGCAACTACTTTTTAAAGCAGAGTTTGAGTCCAGTTTTGAAGATCCGTGATTCCTCTTGAATTGTCCTGCTAGGTGGAATATTCTAGTTAAGCATGTAAATGTGCAAAACATGTACTTGAAAGTTTTGACTGTTCCATATAAAGACAAATTCAGAGCTTACATACATACAGTCAAAAGAACTGTTCAGGCTTTGTTTAGTAATTTTGAATAGGTAGCAATCAACAAAGAGCTGCATCCACTTGTTATTGAATATACTATTACTTTTTTCTCGGAACTTTCATCTAATGTTTTGGCCTTTTGTGACAATAATACCTTTGATAAACTATTTCTACTAGTGAGCATTTCTTTTTGACTATTTGTGTAAGAATAAACAAGCAAATTAAACAGTAAAAAAACTTTTGCAATTTAATGAGCTGATTTTCCTTATATTTGCATACTGTTATAGTTTTGACAAATTTGCAGTACCTGTGTGTTATGTGTTTCTTACAAGGTTGGAAACATTTCAGTTCTGCTCTTTAACCTAAATACTCAACATTAACAAACATCATTTATTTATGTACACAATTTGCCAAGGTACTGCACCAGCAGGTGAATTGAAAAAGTTCTTGAAAATCTCTCGGATTTCTTTTGCACTTTTCTTGCAGGCATTACCATTTTTTGTTTGGGTTAAGGGTTGATAACCTGTGTCTTTATTGGCATCTTCTCTCCAAGCTCCTTGCAAAATGTCTGCATTTTTGTCTTCAGAATCTACAAATCCCGGTTGGCAATATCTTCGCTCATGTCTGGGCAATGTTGATTCGTGGAACATTAGAAATTATGTAAGGCTACCACAGCTTTGACGATACCAATGCAACGCTCAGATATAGTATCGATTGGTCGCTTGAAAATGCGCCATCTTGCAGCTGAAATGCCAAATGTATTTTCACTAACTTGTCTTGCCCTCGATAATCTGTAATTAAAAATTCTTTCGCCATGTTTTAAGTACCGTCAACCATATGGCTTCATAACATGATGTCCCAATGGAAAGGCATCGTCTGCAGTTGTTACATAAGAACACGTGGTGTTTATGTTAGGCAAATCACAATCTTCTGGTAAAGATAACCTTCCATTATAGAGGGCATCTTTCATTCCACACAGTTCAAATATACCACCATCACTTGCACTACCATTAGCTCCTATATTCACCAGAAAAATTATATTCACGATATCCCCCTGATGTCTATAGCTAATTATACAGCATTTTTCAAAAACAAGCACGATATCTTTTTTGGCATTTCTTTTAAAATGCCAACACTTCAATCATACAATTGTAGGATATCGTAGTGTCCACAAGAAGGAACATGTCGCTTTCACCGGTGACATATTTGTTTTGTTTGTTCATCAAAAATTGAAAAGCAATTGAACTTGAAGCCTGAGCGATAAAATCCCACTGATGTTTTCCTGTTTTTGTTTTTAAATATGAACATACTTTTCCACTTATTTGTTAATGTGTGAAACCGTAAATATGTTTGACGCGAGAAAAAGATTCTGCTCTTTTTACTCAGTAAAGGTAAATAATTTGCAGACTTCCCTGTACAACAGCTATTTGAACTTGGACTAATTCTATGGATGGGGATAATGGATTTAGTAAAGATGCCTTGAATGCTTTGAAAGTAAAGGTCAAGTACCAAATAAAGATGACAAGGTTTTGTGTGTCTTGATGCTTGATGAAATGTCATGTAAAAAGGTCATAAAGTTTGTGCTTGTGTCAATATTGATACTGAGATTGATGATGACTTACTGCAACTGTACAATTTTTGTACAACTAATTTGTAAAATCATGTCACATTCTTTATTAAATTAATTAAGTTGAATACTGTTTGAATGATACTTATATGTAATGCATGCCATATTGAAGCATTAAAGATTCAGTGATGAAAACTTCAGTGCTATATATTTCTTCTTAATTTCAGTTTTTGCTGAAAAAATATTTTGAGCTTATTTACCTAATAAAGTATAGAATGAACATTTGCCATTTGCTTTATTTTCTCCTGTGATAATCCAGGGAAATGTTTTGACTTTTCCAAGTTTTTCTTCAATTTTTTGCTTCGTAATTCATTTCATAATATGAATGAAATACAGGTAGTACAGTTTAATAACTCTATAATTACTGAAAAGCTGTTATGCTTCTAGCATTAAAGAATACAAAATGTGTTTAAGTCATCTAGTTTTATTGCCTTATTTTTACATGTGTACATGCACTTCATCATTCTTGTATAATCAACACCAGATGTTTCATACTTAGAGGGAAAAATCCCATAGCAACTGGCATTAAATATGGGTATAAAATTTATTATTGGGGTGAAAGCTGTATTAGTCAATCAAATTCTGAACTCACATGGCTAAGAGGAACTGAGGAAACATATAAAAAAGAGAAAAAGGAGAGAAGTATTAAATACACAATTGTGTATTCATGCATTCAAGCATTATAAACACTGTTGTAAATTAAGTGTTTTAATTATTCGCTTTTTGCCATTTCACAATCATTACAAGGAAATCAAATATGCTACAACTTGGCAAGTATTTGATGCAGTTCTTGTTCAGAAGACCACAAAAATCTCAAAGATTCTCGACTACTCGTGATCTGTATACAATATTTTTTCATCATTCATTTATGAAACGCGAGATGCATGTACAAAAATAAATCCTACAATTGTTGCGAAAAAGGCCATCACATGAAAGAAAGCAAAATACTAATGAGAATAAATGAGCTAACATTTTTCTCGTGATCCGTTGAGATAAAATATGATATATTTTCTTTCGTGCAGACTACAAACTTTGATCTAGCAAATCATTAAACGACAGTACGACCCTCACATCTGCATTCATGTGTGGCCAACAAATAGCTCGTTCGTCAATAGTTAAAAAAGGCATCCGCCGTAGAAGCCGACAACTGGCAACCACAGTAGACTCGCTTTTATGAAATTTATGTTTTTACAGTGATTTTCATCAAAAAATGCTTGCCAAATATGCGGAAAACACATGTACTTTTTTCTCACTATTTCTTAAGGGGGGAGAGAGAAATTTTGAGATTTTTGGAAAAGCAGTCGATTTCGGTAAATCTCAGCGGTAATGGAACAAATCCTTCATTTTTTTGGCATCAGCCACTAATTAAAGCCGTATTTGAGATAACCGCTCCAGTTATTATAGTACTCAATAGCTAAAGCTCCCAAAATTGCTTGACTACGAGTACGACAACTTGTTTATCGAGCCCAGATCCCTCACGGTCAAATCACGTGGCGGTAGTCGTACTCGTAGTAAAATCTGAAACTCTCCAATAAATGGAGGGCTACCTCAGTCGATATTTTGAAGCCAGTGGCACCTAGTCTTTTCACGCAATGTAAGGGTTGTTTCAGCCTGCAGTTATCATTTCAGTTATATGTGGGAACGAAGGAAGAAATATTTGAGAATACAAGCGGTATGGTCCACCAATCCGAACTTCACATCACTTTTAAACACTCATTTCTCGCGACTGCTGAGACAAAACAATCCCACAATCCCCCTGATCTTACCCGTCACATGAGTCTCCCCTGGCTTATTTAACCCTGAGGCGAGCAAGGGAGGGTTTAAGGGCAGGGGTCATCTCCCTTCGTTCCCTTATGTAACCAAAATTATACCTGCAGGCTGAAACAGTCCTAGTATAATTCGAATTATATTTTGGGAACTCCGGTCGAAATATATGAGAATACAAGCGGTAGAGTTTAACACTACGTTCAATCAGTACTGGTACATAATATTTACTCAATAGATACAAGATCTGTTAGACTTGAACATGGTTATCTAATACAACACTACCAAAGTTTGGAGTTGGTAATACTGGTCTATAGTAAAATTGTCTGAAAGTCGATTCATTATTCCAGTCAGCCATCTTTAAGATTTCTTCCAGAGGAACTGACCCCTTGGCGACGGCTGATGTTGCAGCTCCCCTTACTGAATGTGCTTTCAAAATTTTTGTGTCTATACCCGCTAGTTCTAGCTATGAACGAATCCAACGGGCCAATGCTGAGGAAGTGACTGGTTTGTAAGGTTTAATAAATGAAAGAAATAGCTTGTTCTCCTTCTCCTTGTCGACTTTCCTTACCTCCGTGGTTGCTAAAATGTATTGTTTGAAACAGGCTACAGGGCATTTATTTGTTGTCCTTTGGGAAGCAAGTATAAAATGCGGAAAATGTTACGTCTGGGGAAGTTGTTTTAGCGGTAAATAAATTGAAAGTTACGCCTTCTGGTGTTAGTCGATAATGATTAAAGTCCAATTTGGAAAGTGAAGACACTCTCTTGGGGCATGTCAAAGCAAGACGAGTTACCAACTTCAGAGAAAGCTGCTTTAGCTTCAAAGTGTTATTGTCTCCCATTTTTTGAAAGTAAGCTTGTGTGTGGAGCTACGAGTTGCTGTTATGATTAGCTTGGTAACGTTGTCCGGAAAGCCCTCTGCTTCGTAACGTTGCTTGATATATGAAATACGCCCAAGTGGAGACGTGGGTACATTGGATGTATCAGAGCAAGATTGGACGGGTCCTTCAAGAGATATTTGCTGTTGGGTAGTAGTACGGGTTGTTGAATCAAAAGACTGAATAGTTGGGGCCACCAAGGTTGTGCTTGCCAAATTGGTGCTGTGAGTGCAATCTCGGCCTGATCCGCTACCACTTTTTGGAGAACCATTTGTATTAAGTTGAATGGTGGGAAGGCATATCCCGCAAGTTCATTCCAATTCACGGTAAAGGCATCCCAGTGTCGAGCTTCGGGGTCCGGTATCCAACTAATGTAATTGGACAATTGCCTTGTTAGGCGAGAAGCGAAGAGATCCATTCGACAGTTCGTTAAGAAGGGCCTTGTTATCTTTTGGTCGATCATCCAGTCGCTGTTGTCCAGAAATCGTCTGGATTCGAGGTCTGCTTGGAAGTTGGTCTTCCATGGTAATTGTTGAGCTACGAGGAATATGTCTCTCTGAATGCACGAAGCCTACATGTCTAGTGCGAGCTCTAGAAGTTGTGACAAGTGGGTCCCTCCCTTGTGATTTATGTATAAAAAAAAAAGCAGTGGAATTGTCCATATTCAGTAGTACCGTCACTGAACGACGGTTTCTTATAAGGGACTTTATGCCCAGAAAGACTGCTTTCAGTTCGAGTATATTTATGTGTGACAATTTCTTGGTGGCAGACCATTTCCCGTTGGTTTTGCTGTTGGTGCTGACAACGCCCTATCCCTCCTTCGAGGCATCACAAAATACTATCACGTCCGGTGGGGGTATTAGAATTGGGCTACCGTTGATTATCGAAACGTTCTGAAGCCATCAACGAATTTCTGCTTTCTGTTTCTCCGGAAGTTGGGTTTTTGCGTTGTAGTTGTTATTTGAGTTGTGTAGGCTGCGAATAAGCAGAGCTTGAAGGAGACAAAAATGGAGAGGGGCCTTCCAGATGGCTGGGCGGAATGATTCTAATAAACTCAGCATTTGAGCTACGTTTTTTAGTGAGGGTTTGTCCGTTCGTAGGAGTAGGCAGCTCAGGATGTACAGTTTGTTTATTTTCCTTTGGGGTAGTGAGAAAGTCATTGTATTCGAGTTTATGATGAAACCTAACAACTGAATCACCTGAGGAGGAGTCACCGAGTCAGGATAGATTTCTCTTGTTTACTATGAATCCGAGAGATTCCAATAACTGTACTGTCATAAGAGAGAAACGATTTATTTCTTCCGGATTTGCACCTATTATCAACATATCGTCGAGATAAATCACTAGAAGCACACCGTGTTTCCGCAAATGACCCGCAACTGGTTTCATTAGCCGAGTGAAGATCATTGGAGCTATATTTAGGCCGAATGGTAAGGCCTTGAATTGGTAGGCCTTGGTTTTCCAATGGAACCGAAGAAATTTTTGGGATTGAGGATAGACTGCCCCAGAGAAATACGCGTCCTTGAGGTCCAGTTTTGTCATGTGATAGCCCTGTTTTAGAATGGTTTTCACCGATTGAAGATGTTCTATGAGATCTATAATCGGGACTAAAAACATTCGACTGTCGTATGCATCTGTCGTGTATGGGACTTCGCAAATAGCTCCCTTCATTAGAAGTTTGGATACCTTTATATCCACGAGTGTTTCTGAATCTCAAGAAATCTGAGTAATTGAATAGTTTCTTGAAGAGAAAAACAGCGATAAGGAATTTTTAAACGGGAAACTATGTCTAGAATAACTGGGTCTGCTGTCAGAGCTTGCCACTGTTTGAGGTGATTTGGTAGCCTGGCGGCCGTTTGAAGCGAGGTTGGTTCGAGCGAAAAAAACGACCTCTCCTGTTTTGGTTTTATATTTTGAAGATTGAGAAAAACTTCTGTTTGCTTGTTTCCAATCTATATTTGGGGATTGCAGGGTCTCAGTTTCTTGCCAACCCCCGAGAAAGCTCCGCTTCTTTTGATGCAATTGAAGAGAAGTCGTCTCCTAAGAGCCACTTTTTTGTGTTCGGTAACGAATGATTTGCCAGATCAATGTTTTGTTTTGTTAATGGCAGAAAGGCCTTTCTTGCGGCGGAGCACCGACAGTTGAATGCTAGCTGAACCTACTAAACATAAGAAATGTTCAACAATTCGCTTGATGTCGTTGGTGTGTACAGGTATATTATTTCTTATGAGTTCCAAAAATTACAGAAATACGTCGCCATTAAAGCTCTGTCGTATATTAAAGTTTGTTTTCGTTCCTCGAGTGGGACCTAGTAATTGGCTGATAACAATAGGGGCACCCAATTACTTTGGCTTCAACTTTTGATTGGGCGTTATATTGCAATGCGATATCTAGTTTATTATAAGTAAAACAAAATAAAACAAATTCCGAAAACGGACATCTCGTTTTCTTGATATTCAAGATGACACAAGAATTTTTAAAACAAAAGATGGTATTCTCATCTTAGAAGCGCTTTTCATAAAACGCAATATGCGACAATATAATAGTGGTCTCAAACGTGTAAGAAATTATCTCTATTTAAATGTTGCCTAATTGTTGCGTTTTAAAGTTCTGTAATTACATAACTGTCACTTCCGCTTGTAAATAATTGTATAAAAGTTTCGCAGCTTGCATTGTAAACTATTAGTCTGATGATGTCTTTGGAATAAAGACGAAATATAAAAATACAACATCTTTTGTTTTAAAAACTCTTGTATCATCTTGAATATCAAGAAAATGAGATGTCCGTTTTCGGAATTTGTTTTATTTTGTTTTACTTAAAATTGTCGGCTTGTCCCGTTTATTAGTTTATTATACATATCTATGCCTTCAGCTGGCGTTCAAAGGTTTGCACAAGCTTATGCAAACCGAGGAGACCTTTGGGAGAACTCGAGAGCAGATCAGTGCAAGTCCGAGAGCGAAGGTCGTTGGTTGCACCTGCTGGAGAGTTCTCACAAACGTCTCCAAGGTTTGCATAAGCCAGTGCAAACACGAAAAGCATCTTTTATTTCTTTTGTAAAATAACAGAAAAGCAAGACAAACGAAACACTTTGATATTCTTCTAATGTGTATTAATGATTGATTTGCAAATTCTCTTTTATTGATTGATTGATTTGATTGCTTGAGTTCAGATCTTTTTGCACAGGCTAATGTAAACACAGCTCTAGACCAATCAGCGCACGCGTTTCATTGTGTTTATTTAATAATCAAGAAAAAATGTTTACTGTGTTTGCACGGGTTTATGCAAACCGAGGAGACTTTTGGGAGAACTCGAGAGCAGATCAGTGCAAGTCTGAGACCGAAGGTCGTTGGTTGCACCTGCTCGAGAGCTCTCACAAACGTCTCCAAGGCTTGCATAAGCCAGTACAAACACGAAAAACATCTTTTATTTATTTTATAAAATAACAGTAATGCGAGACAAACGAAACGTTTTGATATTCTTCTGTTATTAATGATTGATCTGCAAATTCTCTTTTATTCATTGATTGATTTGATTGGTTGAACTCAGATGTGTAATGCAAACACAGCTCTAGACCAATCACTGCACCAGTTTTATTGTTTTTATTTTATAAAGTTAATTTAAAACATACGGAGATTATACGGCGTTAATTTAAAGCATACGGAGATTATAAACAACATACAATCATAATAAGAGCAATGCTAAAAACAATGATTAACGCTTTAAAATGACAAATTCTCTTGATGCTCGTATAAAAGAACAAAAAACTTACTACAGTATATTTAAAAAGAATCCTAAACTCTAAGCAGAAGGCAAAAGCATTATTTGTTTACTTCGTGTTTTAATCCAAGACGTGACTTTTCCCCCCAACAGCCCAACTTTCGCGTTCCCTAAATTTGTCATCAATGCCACGTCTAGTTTTATTTATTATCTCTATGTCGCCATCCTATTATAACGTTACACGATAGCCGGGTCAATTTACCAACCTGGAGACAATTCCGTGAAGACTGGTTACTATCCAGGAATACCTTTTCGGGGGAAACTGATTGACTAAGAGGCTGTTTACATGATCCCGGCTAACCGGGATTCAGTGAGGCGTGACATGATTTCAAGGCATTAAAAAGAGTCAAAATGTCAAGCGTAAAAATTACATCTACTTATTAAGCGCCAAAAGTCATTCCTGTTGTGATTCTCAAATTAGGCCAAACTGGTTGTTTTAATTTTAAATTTTTTGCGTAGTTATCAATTCAGAATACTGTGAAATTGTTCAAGAAGATTTATTTGATGACGAGTATTCCATCTTTACCTTTTGCCAAAATCATTTAACGCTTGGCTGAATTCCGGCTACCCGGGCTTATGAAATCAACCCCTAAACGATTTTTTCATTGTGAAGCCGGCCGTGACAATGAACGTATTTGGACAAGAACTTTGACGTAGTCAATCTCTCAGGAGCCTGGGAACAAATGAAGACAAATTGGTATTTTTTAAAGAAAGTTGGGATATTTTGGAAGTTACATACGCCGTACTTCACATGTGCCGAATACAATTCCCAAATTAAGTGCAGCAAAAATACTTACCAAGGACTCATAGTTGGCAACGTCTTAATTACAATTTAAAATGTGAAATACTTTAGATGCACTAGCAAGACTTCCTAAGTCCAAACCTACCACCCTCATCCTACAATACAAAACACAAACAGCTTCCACTAAAAATTTTCACATTAGAATTTTTACATAATTTCAAGTATAATTGGGTGACTAACTAATCTTCATTAAGTGTATAAAATTTTACTCTCGAAATCAGTTAATCTAAATGATAAATTCACTTTACACAACTCTACACATTGCCAACAGACCATGACAGAATTTTAATAGAATTCTTCTCAGGCAACTCCTTCACAAAAGTTCAACAGGCAATGGTTTCAACAACCAATCGGCTTACTCTCCTTCCACCAATCATATGGATAATGATACTTTTGAACTTCTAATCCATCACGTGGTACTGGCATATCTCTGCCAGCAAATGGTAGCATGGGCAAGGGTTTTTGTACAAGTCTGGAAGGAAATGCATGCATTTTCTTATAATTCACATAAAAGATGTAGGATTCCAGACCAACCCTTTCAATATATCCATTGTTCGAAAAATAATCAAATAACATGAGATCTGCACGGGCTCCATTCCTGGTTACACGATAGTAGCCGCCCCATGTTGAATAATATATACTTATGTTTTTGCTATAAAAAAAATAATGAAACAGATTTTTAGGCACTTGTTCTATGTCCTTCCTTTGAACACCAAGGTCAACATCAGTGTCCCATGGCAATGGTGCTTGATATCGCAATGCTCCCCACAAACTACAAAAACAACATTAAGGTGTCAGTTTATTACAGAGTATAATAATGACAACATCTTTGTCAAAGAATGTGTTGGACACTTATTTCCAATTGTAATATTTCCAATGCTACTTGTGTGAGAATGAATTATACCTAGCATCATTGGTATGACAATAACGGTTAGACAAAGCTCATTATGATCTTCAGAAACACTTGGTAATTTGGATTTCACTAGTAATCCTTAAAGTTAAAGGCTTAAAGCAGCATTGAAGATCATAAATGTGTAGGTGATAGATAGTACATTTCCTTCAAATATTTTGCTAACAGCATGAAAATAGACACTTTACTAAATCTATCTTTTCATTGCCAATGCCATACATTCAGTATGGCATCAATTCTCGAAAATCTATAAACTTAAACAGTAGTAATTTGAAAACAGTAATTTACCAAATTGTTGAATATTTAAGTGTGACTGATAGTTTTGGAACTAACTCGAGCCTTGTGCTCACAAAATAATTGTGGCAATTTATTTTTTCGGATTTTTGAAGTTGGAAAAGGATCTTTGAAGTCACTTAAAGATTGCAAGTTATAAACATAAATTACAAAATAACAATAATTTGGTTTCGTTTTCAACGAAAAACTATCTGCAAAACGCTAGATGTTTGAGTCAATATTCAATAAAACTTTTCTTGCCCAACAACAATCGTATCAAGTACAACACTTTTAAAAGCATTTTTGAAAAACATATTGAACCTTAGTATTGACGTCAAATTCAAAATGCATATGCTTTGTTACTCTCCCGAGTTATGACACACGCTCACGTTCAATAACATCCTTAGTGTAATCTCAAAATCACTTCAAGTTAGTGATATAATTTCGCCAAAATAAACCTTATATTTTGTCTCTATGTACATCGCTGTATCGAAATATTCGCGAATGTTGTATGTAAAGCAGGCAACGACATGAACCAGCCGACCACGAGGTATTGTATGTCTAGAAGACGACGAAATGTATAGTTTGGAGTGTCGCTGCAATATTGAAACACGAAGCTGCACAGTTTTCTCAAGCATCAATTTAGCTCAAGCACATAAAACTAAACAATTTCATTCTTGAAAACGGATCGGAACATCAAAAAAAAACAACAGTCAAACATGTCGGCTTGCAAACCTGCCATATGCCAGCCAGTGTGTAACATTCAGAGCAGCTAGTATCGAGTGAAGATCTTTTGCTAACTTAATCAAATTCTTCATGTCATTACGAGGGGTGGAACAATGTAACCTGGACCTATGCGAATGATTGTACCAAGCATAATTCACCAGGTTCAGTCGGTAATATACGTAGCACAAAAGTGGAACGTTCACAAGAAATAGTCCCAAAATGAAGTTCCGTCGCATAACAATCTCCAAGTTTCTGCCAAAGGTATTTCTCATGATGATACGAGAACAAGCCGACTGTATAAGTCTGAATCGTCTCATGTGTAAATTTTTCTCAGGTATTAAAGATCATTTGCATCCATTCAATTCCGCCCATCATTACTTTATTTGCAAAGTAAATTTTTGCATGCATTATTATTTTGACATGGAAGTCCATCTAAGATGTCATGGGTGGACATGGATGAAAAAACATGAAGTGTGTTGCTTGTTCCTATCGCGGTCAGGACAATACTTTATGATATGAGCCTTTTTTCTTCCACTTTTAACAAATTAGCATTAATGCCCACAGCATCATTGAAATGGTCAGGGCTTCACCCGCAATTTCAAGTGGCTTCCTGTGAATCTCGAAAGCTATGCATTTGGAAAAATTAAACCTAAATTTTCCTTTTTTATAGACTAATCCTAATAAATTTTTCAGGTATTTACCAAACGAGTGGCGCAGTTGTATGGCGTTCCGTTCCGGTCATAATTAGGGACCTTACGACGCAACAACGGCAACTGCGACGGCACCGGAGTTTGATCCCTTTTTTTAACTGAGCATGCGCACGCACCATCTGTACGTTGTTTACACGTTTTGAAAAGACGGAACCGACGTGAAAACAACAACTTTGGCGTCGCTTCAGGAACGGCAGAGAAAAAAAATCAAAAATCTTGCAAAAATCATTCGATTGTCAAATGGCGAGGTGAGTTTTGTTATCTTTGGCTTAATATATGTAAATGAGGTTATGGTTGACTCAGCCTTTATGCTTAAATGGCTACTTATGGCTTAAAATGCTTACATATTTTTCTGAATATCTCTTTGTAGCACTACTGTTGCTTCACGTGCATCTATGAAATGGTCCTCAAGCCATGATATAGCTTTATCACGAGAAATCTTGCTATTTAGACCATGGATTCACAGAAGAGGATCAACTGAAAGAGGCCAAATTTGGGAAAACATTGCTAAATCGCTCAATGCTTTGGAAATGCCAAAATTCCATGTATCTCAGAGATCTGTTCGCGATCGATATCAACTGCTCGAAAAGAAATACAAAAGAAAACAATCAGAAGAAGAAAGAGCCAGTGGTATTTCACCCGAAGAGAGTGAACTTGACGAGGCTATGGAGGACATCATAGCTCAGTTTGAGGAAGCTGATCATTTAAATGAACAACTCACGTTCGAGAAAAAACAGAGAGCTCAGGCAGAAGTTGAAAAGGCTGTAGAAATGCGTCGCTGCTCAATGGAAACGTTCAAAGAAACGAAAAGAGGAATGGCGAGGAAGAAAATAACGAGCCATCTGCTAAAAGAAGAAAAGGACAAGTGGATCGGATGTCATGCGATACCTGCGAGAAAAAGGCGAAATTGATATAAAAATGAAAGCTGATGAAGTCGAGCTGAGAAGAACGGAAAGTGAACGACATTACGAACTTATGCAGGAAGAACTACGCATTAGAAGGCTTGAAGCTGAACGCCAAAAAGAGCAGAATGAGCAACAAGTTATGCAGTTAACTAATTCCCAAATGATGCAACAACAACAGATGAAACAGCTATTTGAAGTGACTCAAGGTATGATGTTACAGCAGCAGCAGCAAAGTGCTTCTTTGTAGCTATATTTGAAAAGTTTGCAACAAAATTCAACTAAAACCGTAAAATCATTGTGTTTTATTTGATTTTTGTTTGCATATCATTGTTCTGTTGAAAGACAGTGTTTATAAGACATTTAATATTTCTAAACATAAACATAAATAAGAATAATGAAGGATTAGGACTAATTTTTGGTCTAACTTACATTGTTATTTGTATTGTTTGTATTAAATATTGTTGTTTTAGTTATTGTTTTGGTCTATTCATTCTGTACTCTGTTAAAACATGTCAAACGTTTATGTAAACATTGCAGCACAATACAGCATTTATAATACCTCTTTTCATTCATTGTCAAAAAAATATTCATCTAAAGCAGGTGGATCAAGCTGAAAATAAGTGGAGGTTGTTGACTGATATAGGCAAGTGCGCGCATTATGAATTAAGGCAGAACAAACATACATTTTCCCCACTGCACTCAAGTGAACTTTAAGATTTTTCTTAAAGTCTACAAATTTAAAATAGTTAACAACATCACCAAACACCCACTCTACTGCCACCCTGACAGAGCTCATAGATTTGTTCCGTGCAAGTTGGTCTGCTGTTAGCCCAGCCCCTTTGTATGGAGCTTGAAGATGTGGTCTAAGAGGGTAAGCTGGATCCCCATACACACAAAGTATATCTCCTTCAGGATTCATTGAGTATTGCTGCATTTGATTCAAGATACCAGACATTGCCAGTATGGCACTGCCATGTCGTTTTCCTTCGACTGGGCCATACAAATTAGCAATTAGTCCATTAGGGACTGCTATAGACTGAAACTTTATGGCGTGTACTCGTTTATGACCGTTGTAAAGTACACGTTGATTTTTTCCTGGTCTAGTCACAGGTCTGACTGTACCATCTATGAACCCCCAGCAGTTTGCCAATGGAGCGCCTTGGCTGTGTACTGCATCAGCAAATATTTGTAAATTGGAGGGAGAAAGCCAGGGTTGATTTAAAGAAGACAACAAATGTCCCCATCGCTCATATGTGAAGTTGATAACTTCGTTTGTTATCATGCATAGCTGTGGAATGGGTCTTCCAAATGTTGGCACCAGATCTGCAAAGCGGCAAGGATAAGCAAACCTCATCAAAATATACAAAGCGCCTCAATGCCGTCGACTTGAACACCATTATAACAAGTTACCTCTAGAGGTAGCTGCATTACGTCGCGTAGGTGGTATATATCGTTGCGATAAAATCGAAAATTGTTTTGCACTCATCGTCAGAAAACTTGTGAATGGAAAACTTGTCGTACTTTCTGTAACACATATTCGGGTTTTTTGGTTTATATATTTCGTATAGCAACATGCAGTCATCTACACCAAGAAAACCATCACCATGAGAAAGTAACAGAGCGTCTCTGATGCACGGCATCATGGAAAATATATAAATATGGAAGCTAGCTGTTTAGCGAAAAACTTTTTATCAACATAAAGATTTCCCGCGCTTTTTACGAACGTCGCCTTATCGTAAGGACAAATTAGCTACAACGAGAACGGCAACGGCAACTAGTCGATCCAGTCCCTTCAGAGTAGATTGAGGTTGCCGTCGCAGTTACCGTTGTCGCATCGTAAGGTCCCTATTATATGAAGTTGATCAAACGAAAAACAATCGCTCATAAATATGTCGAACTTTCAAAGTTGAAGTTCAAACGTTAAAAACTAAAACAAAATGCCCAAAACAACCGCTCAAAAATAAATCGAAGTGCAAAAATATAAGTCGAAGGGAAACGGAAGTCATGTACTGCAGTAGGAAGCGGAAGTCTTCTTGGACGAACAACTAATATAATTTTTCCCGAAGTAAACAAAATGTCTGTTAGAAACCAAATAAGCGCTATTAAGCTAGAGGAATTCTTTCGTTCATTACAAGAGCTTTTGATTTCTTCATTCAACGATGTGTCTTTTGACTCAGCTGAGTATATTTCTCGCCGTCTCGATGGATATGAAAGAAATCTATCGTACCCAGAAAGAAAGGTCTGAGGTATTATCATTTTGCTCATTAATGGCAGAGGAACAGCAAACTAATGACCAAATAAGTGTAAACCAGATTAGGAGTTGCGTTGGTCGACCCAGACTTCACGTTTCTGAAGAATTGCTGGGGACACTACACTCTCAGGTTGGATTTTCGTGGTCGCAGATTGCAAGATATCTTGGCATTTCTGAAAGTACCATTCGTCGCAGAAGACGATTGTTTCAAATGCCAAGTCAACAGGTATTTTCTAACATAGAAAATAGCGTTCTTGATCGACTTGTCCGTGAAATCTAGGATGTGACGCCTAGAATTGGTTATAGATTAATACAGGGTGCGTTACGACAACGTGGACTGCATGTCCAACGACGACGAGTTCTTGAATCGTTGCACCGGGTTGACCCAGTTGTGGTAACCCTTAGAGGATCAAGAAGCATCATACGAAGACGCTATTCCGTTCCTTGTCCAAATGCGTTATGGTATGTGAAATATTCATTAAGGGAAAACTGGTGGTAAAATAAAACTCTATCTTTCTTTTGTAGTCATTGAAAATCATGTTAGTTTATTGGCACATGTCAAAAGGGTTAAAAATTTTTTGTAGGCATTTGGATGGGAATCACAAACTTATTCAACCGTATCGTATTGTAATTCATGGTGGCATAGATGGGTATTCTAGAATGATTGTCTTCTTAAGAGCATCAACAAACAACCAAGCATCTACTGTAATGGAATGCTTTAGGGATGCTGTTAATCAGTACAACTTACTTTCACGTGTGCGTACTGATTTAGGGTTAGAGAATATTGAAGTTGCTCGATTTATGCTTCAATATCGTGGTCTGAATAGAGGCAGCTGCATAACAGGTACATCTGTTCACAACCAGCGTATTGAACGACTTTGGCGTGAAGTTAACTCAATTGTGTGTAGTCGTTTTATCAATATTTTGCATACCTTGAAACTCTAATTCTAGACACTAATAATGAAATTCATTTGATTGCATTACATTTGGTGTACATCCCACTCATTAACAATGCACTGTAGAAATTAAGTGAATCGTGGAATTGCCATTCTTTGAGCACCAAGGGAAATCTTAGCCCAAGGCAGCTTTGGGTACAAGGAATTGTTGCTAATCAAAATAGTGATTTTAGTGCTGTGACTAGCATTCGAGATGGGTTACAAATAGATTGGAATGAGTATGGAGTTGAAGAAGATGGCCCAGTTTCAGAATTGCAGTCAAATTATCGTGTTAGAGTGCCATCTTCAACAGTATGTTTAACAGAAAATCATGTTGAACACCTAAATAATATTGCTCAGAGACTAAGGGGGGCAGAAGACCAAGATGGACTGATAGCTTTTTTAGTTGTATTGGACAACATTCAGCAACATAGTTAGATATATTTACTACTAAAATGACTGAGCTGATCATATCCAATACAAGACTTTGTTAAGAAGCATTTAAAATGCAATAGATATAGTAACTTTTAAGTTCAGCACTAATAGTGTAAAAGTCAACATACAAACAGTTTCAAATCTAACAAAACTTAGTTCTGTTTTATATACCCTCTATACAATTCCAAAACCTTCTTCTTGGAAATTCAAGGCTGAGTCCATATTTCTTTCAAACTCTTCATAGTTTTTTACCTCACCAGGTAATTCCAATTCCAATGGACATGTGTTAGCATTGGGGTAAATGAATGTATTTTGAAGAATAGTTATACTCGATGGATGAAAACCCATTGGAGGTAAGGATTTGCAACCAGTTGAAAACATCAAAACACTAGGAATTCTAGAACCTGTAATAATTAAAGTATATTAACATCATGATTTAAAGAATGTTGCCAAAACAACAACATGTACAAATTCTAAAAAAATATAACATACTTTGTGATGAAAGATACCAAGTGAAAAACTGTTTGATGCGAATCTCAACATTATCAAACTGAACAACAGATAAAAATCATGGAGTGTCAAAGGTGGGCAAGTACCAGCCACAAATAAGGTTTCCATCTTGTCTGGATGTCTTCTGATTACGTCAAGAAGTGGGCATAAGCCGATCATCAATTGATCAATTTCAGCCTTCCTGGATAAGATGACTCCATGCAGACACAAGGACATAATAGCTTGAAAACGATTATCAATATTGACGGGATGAGGAAAACCTGACTCAACTAACAAAGGTTGAATTTCAGAAGCCAAGGTTTCGTTGTTTTCTTCATCAAAAGCATCTAGCTTTTAAAAGTATAAGCCAAAGTTAATTTTCATAGTTGTAAGAGCACAAAAAAAAATTGATTACTTTTCTAATCACCTTTTTCAAGACATCTTCATATTCAGCATCAACAACATCCTCTGGACGGAGGTGATCCACCACGTCATTAGGCTGAGGGTTGAGGAAATATGCATACAAAACCTTTGGAAAATATGGAAAACCAGGACCACCATGAACTATTGATGCTGCAATAATCTATCCAGCCACCTTATACAGATTTGATCTAAGAGCATCTGTATTGTGCATTGGTAAAAAAATTCCATCTCTTCCTTCAAAAAGACGAGTAGTAGCTGATGGAGAAAGGAGTTCACGCAACAGTAAAGTGAAGAACTCTCGTTTAGGGCCACCACCATCAATTGCTGATTCGTCTTCAAATGTGACCTTCAATGGTTTCTTAAAATCAAAATGTCTGTGTTTGAAAAATGACACACTATCAGCAAAAATTGATGATCTGCTGACTGTCAAGCATGTAGGAGTCCCAAGGATGGGTTGTAGAGAGTATAATAGGTCTTTTAAACATGCATCCTCCTCAATTTTAGAGCCATCAAATTGTTGTTCATCTGAAAAAAATGTGAAAATTTACATTACTTTATCCAAATTTGTTGACTATGTAAACTTTCTTAACTACCTGGGAATAATTACCTGACTTGGTAGGTATATGACTTATAACATAGTCCACAGCCAGATCAAGTGTTGTACAATTTACAGCTTGTGCAAACACTTCAGCAGGACAATTTGGGAACATTTCATCTAGTTTCTGCTTTTCAATGCTACAGAGATTTAAAGAACTTCTTATGCCATCGGAAGTTTCACCTGTCTCACAAGCAATTGGGAGCGATGGAGTGGTAGTTGGAATAACAGTAACATATTGCTCACTGCTTTGCCTTTGATTGGACTCCAAATTGCGTGATACATACGATCTTATATCACTACTTCTGACAAAATTATCCACATTATCACTCAATTCAACAATGTCATCATCCTGTAATTCCGCTCGTAATTGATCTTCTGACCACGATTTATCAAGACTGCATGCGTCAACAAATAAACTTCTTTTCACGAGGTCTTCCTTTACTTGTCGCCGAGGGACTTGATCCCAATCTGGATTAGGTAGTAGACACACGTCTTTTATAACCAACTCTGCAGCAGGTTTGGCTTTGTATTTCCCTTTTTGTTTTGTAGTGTAAGGGATAAACCGACCTCTTTCACTTCTTCTGGAACTATGAATCCTATTAGCAATTCCCGACGACACACGAGGAATTTGGAATCTTTGGCCGATTTCTTCTTCAACTGAGCCAAAGGACCTGCTACTAGTACTATCATCGCTTCTGCTTGGGGTATTGCTGGAAGCAGTGTCCGGTAAATTTTGAAGAGACGACACAACACGCCTAACTATTTCATTTAAGTTGTCCGCCATTTTTGATATGAGTCATAGTTATATCTTATTAAGTAGGTTTTGAATGGTTTTGTATGACCATAGACCATATCCGCTAATATCTCAGTGACTTCCGTTTCCCTTCGACTTATATTTTTGCACTTCGATTTATTTTTGAGCGGTTCGACTGTATGCATTGATGTTTGCTATTGACATTGGGCATTTTGTTTTAGTTTTTAACGTTTGAACTTCAACTTTGAAAGTTCGACATATTTATGAGCGATTGTTTTTCGTTTGATCAACTTCATATAATTATGACCGGAACGGAACGCCATACAGTTGCGTTTCCGCAATCACCTTACTCGTTACCGCCGCTTGCATTTATTGTCGGTTTATTCCCCACTACAAACGTAATTACGACATTAAATCGTAACTCGTTAGTTAAGTTTATGGGAGACCAGGGACAGCTATGAAATCGGGTCTTTATCTGAGGTAAACAGTCTTGCTTTATTAATCTAGTAAATTTTATAATTTCGTAGCAGCACGATTGCTAATGCGCATTTAATATACACGACTAGTTTTTTTTAAAATAGACATGTTTCGACATCTCATGATGCCATCTTCAGTATAAGTGAAATAATAAATACCTTACTTGTATTAAAATTCGCGCAGTACTAGAATTCGCGCAGCGCTGAGTGCGCGAATTTTAGTACTGCGCGAAATATAATCCGCGCGAAAAGCTTTGTAGTGTAATATGAGACATTCATTGTTGGTTATGCAAATCAGTTGTTTTATTAACGCATATACATATTGACATATGCTTATAGTTGTCCTGGTAACATTAAAAATCAAAAATGTCTTCATTTTCATCCTGTACAATTTCAGTCGGGATATTCTCAGGTTCTACGTAGTATTCCGTCACGAATGCCTGCATTTTGCTGTATATCCTAAAACTTGCATTGTTCTGCATGACTGTTAGGGTAATAGGAATCTCCAAGCCTCCTTGTGGTAATGGGGATCGACGAAGTTTGATGTCACACACACATGCTTCTATATTGCCCCCATATTCAAAAAAGAACTTGCAAAATCGGGAAATCTCTCGAGGCAAATGTCCGACCAGTGACAATGGTTCAATCTTGCCTCTGATTATGGTAAACAGACCAATAGCATATTTGATTTTGGTAAACAGACCAATAGCACATTTGAACTGTAGCTAAACTTTTGTTTGACTTATAAAGTATATTGTTAGGCAATATCATTTATTACATTTTTTTAGTTCTTGTTGGGACAGTGAACTCACGCTTTATTTTGAAGCCATTTTTGAGGCCACCCAATCGCTTTTTTGATGAATATTTAGGTATTTCTTAATAAAGAAAGCTCAATATAAATGCGTTAATTATTAATAGTTCTTTTGAACAAACCAAAAAGAACGAGCACATAAAACTACTTGCGCGAATTTAAAGCTGCGCGAATAATTGTCAACAAAGTGCGCGAAATTAAATCGCGCGAATTTAAAGCTTAGCGAAAATGAGTACGACTCGAATTTTAATACAAGTAAGGTAATACAAAGTTTATATAAAAGTAATATGATACATAAATTACAACAGTAATAAGGAAATAGATAAATTAATGGGGAGCGTCCGAGCGTATTATAAACTAAATATTGTATCAACTAAAATATTGTATCAACTAAAATTTTATTGTAGCTACAGCACACAGACGCATTTTTTATTTAATGGAAAATTTTATGACCAGACGGACGATGTTGCGATGGGCTCTCCTTTAGCACCCATACTTGCTAACATTTTCATGGGCTCACATGAACGAAACTGGCTAAACAATTACAACGACAAAGGAACAACCTCAAACTAGACACAGAAACTCCTGACACGATGATCACGACCAACACAAATTAAAATTCCAAAATAACAACTCTTTACTTCAAACTACCATACATGGGACATTACTCACGACACACACAACGCAGACTTACAAACATTATGAAACGCTTCTGTACAGATATTGACATTCGACTAATTTTCACATCAATCAAAATCAAAAACCTTTTCTCATTCAAAGACCCAATCCCTGATTCAATTAAATCAATGATGGTATATGAATTCAATTGCGCGGGATGTAATTCCCAATACATTGGCGAAACTTCGCGCCATTTATCCACCAGAATCAGGGAACATACCACAGCAAACAAAAATTATCATATTTACCGACACCTTAAAGTGCTACTGAAGTGAAATTTTCATATTTCGTTTTTCGATACAAACGTTTTCTCTGTATTTTACTGATCATTTTGAGCTATCGCCCACTGAATTTAGTCGATGGGAACGCATCGAACTTTGCGTTCAAACATGGCATATTTGCTTGTTTTGATGCGAATTTGACTTTGAGTGCGTGACGTCATTTAAGGGACGGAAGTTCAATTTTAAAGCTCTTAGTATATAAAAATTATATACGAACAAGCATATTTCCAAATGGAATTTTACATATTTTATAACTTCTCTTCGCAAAAATTGCGTAAATTTATTGACAAATGAGCAACACGCATAGGTAAGCAACATTTACAATCGATTAGAGTTTTATAAACTTCTTGAATTAACTTAACTCAATAAACTGGGTGCCGCATCCTTGACGAAGTCTGCGGTTTTAACACACACGCAATGTTATCAGAAACTAACTGTAACGCGCTTATTTCCAATCATCCAATGTATACTACTTTTATAAACTTCTGGATTAGACTTATCATTCTTATCATATGGGTGTCGCATCCTTGACGTAGTCTGTGGTTTTAAAACCCATGCAATATTATCACAACGCACATAATATAAGGAGAAAAATTTTTTATTAAGTTAGTCAAACGTAATGATACACCGCAAGTTAAAATATGGCGAGTAGGCAAAATTCTGTAAAAAATCGTCGAGGATGGCCCAACGGAAAAAGTTGTACAAACAGTCAACACACAGAGGGTGTCTCAGTACATCGTTTCCCCATGAATGACAAGGAGAGGCTGAGTAAATGGACAAAATTTGTTAGGAGACATAGGCCAAAATTCGTTCCTCAGCAGTACTCTGTGCTATGTTCAATGCATTTCGCAGATTCTGCATTCACCGTGAACGCAACAGTTGCAAAATCGCTAAACATGAGACGACAATTGCGCTCTGATGCTGTTCCAACCATAGACTCTGTAAAAGGCATTTCAATCCAAGGTGATAAGAGCAATCGCGACCGCAGAGTTTTAAGTACAAAATTATACAAGTTAAATTACACAAGTTTGTATGCACAACCTGGAAATGCATGTAAATGTGTCTTATTATCTTCAACAGGTGTTGCGTGAAGTAACACGAAGTGTAAAAGATGTTGAGCCCGCTGTTAAACATACTGATGATGAAGGGAATTCTGACGAGTGTAACACGACAGAAAGCGTTGATAGTGAACCAGTTAGAGAGGATTCACCAGAACCGCTGCCAAAACAAGAGCAAGTTGAAATGTGCAGTAGATGCGACATACTTGCCAAGAAAGTTACAAAACTACAAAATTGCAGGTAACTTGTAATCACTGTTCTCTATCTGCCAAGGCTTTTTTACTTGTTCCTAGTCAAGAAAAAAAATTACATAGTAAATGGTTTGTTCTGTTTAGGCACGTACTGGCAGTACTTCATTTCAATGAAAACCTTCACAGACAGCCAAAAAAAAAAATATGGAACACCATATTATTCTGTTACAAACCCAAAATTTAAATCAGGGGATGAAGTAGTAAGAACTGTTTCTTCAGCACCATCATATTGTAAGTTTAGCATGTATGCATTGGTACTCTTGACTTACACATCTAACCACTTGTCATTTTTCCAGACTATGTTAATGAAATCAAAAATGTCATGGTTCTTAGTTGTGAGGAATCCATGGACAACATATTTAAGAAGTATAAGGAAAAAGTCCCAGAAGCCTTAAACAAAACGTTCTCGGATCGAATTTCCAAAACTGAGGCAATCCAACGGCATTTGGATAGGAAACAACTATCTTCAACACCATTGTTTCCCACATGTAAGTTGTTCATGCTACCATGTATAATAGGTATGGCCAGTGCATTCTAAAAGTAAACACATTAAATTGTTATTTATAGATCAACAGCAAGATGTACTGCAAGCAAAAGGTTTAGACAAAGAAAAACAAGCTGCTTCAACAAGTCCTTCAGATCCAAAAAAAATGCGCTTATGCAAAAATTGTGGACAGCCAATGAAAGGACATCCAAAAAGTCATTGTCCACAAGAATTACTTGACAAATATTCTTAGCAGGCCAACTTTAAAGTTAGTTATAAAATAATATACTATGCTACAAAAAATGTTTCCCACTTCTATCAGTTTCTTTCCCGTGCTGACTCGTAGCCAGCATGTTCTTGGCCTAGGGGATTTCGTAATGGAAATCGTTTTCGGATGTCTGTGTAGATACATGCAGGTAATGGTCTAGAATTTTCCCAACCAAGGCATCCACACAGCCATCGAATGACCCAACGGTATGCAACTGCTCTCAAGTATCTATGAGAAATTCAAAATAGTAATTTCTATTTGATTATTTATTTTGACTTCACACAACAAAATTGTGAAGCATCACAGCACAATAATGAACCACATAAAGGTAAAAAGTAGAGATACATGGCAAGATATTAATCATTCGCTACAAAACAAAATTAGAAATCAAAAATGTACTAACTCATTTTCATGTATTCTACGACGCTTGTATGACCTTCCATCTTGGTCTCTTAGAAGTGAGCCAACATTCTTCAAGACTGTAGCATGTGTCATAATCGTGTACTCTTCGTGAAGAGTAATACAGCTAATTTTTTCAATGCTACCATCGAATACCAGTTTATGTAAAGTAGGCCCAACCTCTTGACAACAACCGTATTCAATGGCATCTGTCAGCAGTTGAGTACGACACAAGCTGCATGCACACCTATAAAAAAGTGGTTTGTTATCATATTTATGCACACCACGACATAAGGACAAAATAACATGTTTAGACAAAATTCATGGTTTAATTTCTTCTAGAGATCTAATAACATTTATCAACTTACCACTTATCTAACTGAACGGTTCCTTCGAACCTCGCTTCCGATGTTCGAGGTTCTAAGCCATCTGCGTCTTCTTCAACCGACACAAAATTCTCTCCGACTGCGTTCGCAAGAGGTTCATTTTCGTAAGGATTTACAACTGAATTAGCCACAATTGTATCCTCATCGCCGGAATTCGAAAGTAAATTTTCATTTGCCATATCTGAGTTTTCAGTATCCGAACTGCGTTCGCTTTCACTGCTTGAAGAACGCATATTTTATTGTGTATATGTGTTAAAAATCTAACAAAATACTAGTAAATCAATGCTCATACTTCGACTTCCGTCATTTTAAAGGCCCATTTCCACTTCATTCGCAATTCGCAAATCGCATGCGATCCTTTGTTTTCAATTCGCTTGCGAACGTTCGCAAATCGCATGCGAACATTCGCGTTGCGAATTTGACAAGTTCGCAATGTTTGATTTTTTGCGAACGTTCGCATGCGAACCTGCGTGGGCAACCAATCAGAAAAAGACAACAACAAACCAAAATGGCGGCGACAGGAAAGATAGAATGGACGCCAGAATTAGTTGAAGCCTTGATTGAAAATGTTCGTTCAAGCAAAGTCGTTTGGGATACGAGCAATGTAAATTACAAGAACAAAAATGTGCAGGAGTCAGCATGGTTAAAAATAGCAAGTGAGTGTGGTCTGGAAGGAAAAGCATCGAGTATTAAAGCAAAATGGCGCGATCTAAAAGACACGTATAGGAAAAAGTTGAAGTTGTTGATACCAAAATCTGGTGATTCTGGTGGTACAAAGAAAGCTACTTGGCAATGGATGAGTCAAATGAGTTTCATGAAAAAATTTAGCATCGTTGAGACGCCAACATCTTCTAATTTCTTGACAATAAATGAGGAGGAAAGTCGCCGGATAGGCTTGCTGTCAAACGACACTGAGGAGGACATATCTGACTTGTCCCTAACTTTAGATGATCCAAAGCCAGACAGCCCAGCTTGCTCTTCGTCAGCAAGTGCCGTTAGTAATACTGAAATCTCTAAAGCACCAAATTTCTCTGGTAAAAGAAGGAAAAGGGATGAATCACTCAACCAAGTAGATTTGGCGATTTTATCTGAACTAAACAAAGATAAGGATGATGATGAGGATAGTCTGTTCATGAAATGCTTGATTCCGCAACTAAGAAGACTGGAGCATAAAAAAGAAAGCATTAATAAAATGCCAAATTCAGCAGCTACTTTTTCAGGCAGAGTTTGAGTCCAGTTTTGAAGATCAATGATTTCTTCTGAATTGCTCCTGCTAGATGGAGTGTTCTAGTTAGGTCTTGGCATGTAAATGTGCAAAACAAGTACTTGAAAGTTTTGACTGTTACATATAAAAACAAATTCACAGCTTATACACATACAGTCAAAAAGAACTGCTCAGGTTTTGTTTAGTAATGTTGAATAGATAGCAATTACCAAAGAGCTGGATCCACTTGTTATTGAATATACTATTATTTTTTTCTCAGAAATTTCATGTAATGTTTTGGCATTTTGTGACAACAATACCCCTGATAAACTATTTTTACTAGTGGGCAGTTCTTTTTGACTGTTTGTGTAAGAAAAAACAATCAAATTAAACAGTATCTGTGTGTTATGTGTTTTTTACAAGATTGGAAACATTTTGGTTCTGCTCTTTAGCTTTTAATACTCAACATTAACAAACATCATTTATTTATGTACACATTTTGCCAAGGTACTGCACCAGCAGGTGAATTGAAAAAGTTCTTGAAAATGTCTCGGATTTCTTTTGCACTTTTCTTGCAGGCATTACCATTTTTGGTTTGGGTTAAGGATTGATAGCCTGTATCCTTATTAACATCTTCTCTCCAAGCTCCTGGCACAATATCTGCATTTTTGTCTTCAGAATCTACAAATCCCGGTGGGCAATATCTTCGCTCATGTCTGGGCAATGTTGATTCATGGAACATTAAGAAATTATGTAAGGCTACCACAGCTTTGACGATACCAATGCAACGCTCAGGTATAGCATCGATTGGTCGCTTGAAAATGCGCCATCTTGCAGTTGAAATGCCAAATGTATTTTCACTAACTCGTCTTGCCCTCGATAATCTGTAATTAAAAATTCTTTTGCCATGTTCCAAATACCGTCCACCATATGGCTTCATAACATGACGTCCTAATGGAAAGGCATCATCTGCAGTTATTACATAAGAACATGTGGTGTTTGTGTTAGGCAAATTGCAGTCTTCTGGTAAAGACAACCTTCCATTATAGAGGGCATCTTTCATTCCACACCGTTCAAATATACCACCATCGCTTGAACTACCAATAGCACCTATATTCACTAGCAAATAGGAATAATGTGCACTGCAAACAGCCATCAAAACAACACTGAACCAACCATGAAAATTAAAGTACAATGAACCAGTGTTGGCAGGACAGTGGCATCTTACATGTTTGCCATCTAGTGCCCCAATACACAATGGAAAATTCCACTTCTCCCAAAATTCTTTCGACACATCTTCCCATTCGTTTGTTGTTGAAGGACATTGGACATAGATAGGAGATAGTGCCTTCCATATTGCTAAACATGTCTCTGGGACAATCTTGTTGACTGTAGAATGCCCCAACCGATAACTAAAAGATATGGTTTGATGAGAATCCCCAGTTGCAAGATATCTTAAGGTTACTGATAGCCGTTCAGCCGGCGAAATGGCTTCCCGTTTCTGGTTAGACTTAATTATCAATGGGGCAACTAACTGCAACAATTTCTCAAATACAATCGGTGACATACGAAAATATTTAAAGAAACTTTCGTGGTCTCCTAGTTGCATTTCTCTGACCAGATTGGCATACTCTCCTTGCTCCTTTCTTTTTTGGAGAATAGGTCGGACCCAAAATCGTTTTCTGTATTTTGCCTTCCTTTTTTGATACCTTTTTCGTAATAACAATAATATTAAAAGTTTTCTTCTGCAAAAAACTGCCATGTTTTTTATTTAACCCGCAAAATTTTGCCATACAAAATAATTTCATTTTATTGGTCAATTAAACAATAGAAAATCGTGCGAACAGCGTTGATGATCGTGATAAGTGTGTATTGAATTCGCCTGTGTACGCACGTCGCAATTCGCAAATCGCATGCGATTTGCGAATTGCGAATGAAGTGGAAATGGGCCTTAATACGTCACATCCGTATAATATTTCAGTAGTAAAAATTCGCACGCGTAACCCAACTTTGAGCAAAAATTTATTGATGATCCCGTGCTTCAATATGCATAAAAATTATACCAAAGTGATCAGGAAAGATAGAACTATTTGATTATAGAAAAAAATCGATACCCAAAATTTCACTTCAGTAGCACTTTTAATCTCACTCATGTAAAACCAACTATTCACTTCTTGCTTCCAAATCATCGACACTGCCGACACCTCCTTCTCCCTTAAAATCAAAGAAGCACTCCACATTAACAAAACTAACCCTGACCTCAATGTTCAAGTTTTTAAATTCAATACAATATTTAGTTTATAATAAGCTTGGACATTCCCATTAATTTATCTTATTTCCTTATTATTGTTGTAATTTATGTATCATATTACTTTTATATAAACCTTGTATCATTTATTATTTCACTTATACTGAAGATGGCATCATGAGATGTCGAAACATGTCTATTTTAAAAAAACTTGTCGTGTATTATAAATTTTAATTATAATCATTTTTCATCGTTAAGAATGAAATTCTCTTTTTCTTTATTCAAGGTGACACTTTCATGAACGCAGTGTGACACTACTTTACATTTGACAATGACAGGTCATGGTTTATGGACTCGTGTGATGAAAGCCAATTAATGCTAATTTTTGGGGGGCTAGTTGAGTAAGTTGTGTCTTGTTCAGTTGTTCTTCCCGATTTCTGAAACATTTTAGACTATTACATAACACATGCTAGATAATTTGATCATTAAATCATAAATGATAAATCCAACTTAAAAGAACAATTTTCGCTTTTGATAACGGTAAACTTGTAAACTGCGTTCATTCGTAATACATTGTATTATAGATAACTCGACTTGTTTACTTTTTGCTGGCAGCAGATTTTTTTGAGTGCGTTTAGACAATACGAAGAACGATGTTTAACCTCTCTTGGGATCAATCTTCCTGCCAGCAAAACGTAAACAAGGCAAGTCATCAATTGTCAACACAGCCACCCCACAAGTGTGGGATACACACTTCCACAACCCTTTTGGCACAAACCACGAGTGACGAGTCCTTGGAACGCTCCTTGATGAATAAAAAAAAGGAAATTATGAGAGAAAATGAAAAAGTAAAAGTAAATAATGGAAGCATCTTGATTCATGCAATTACACATTCGATCCATTGTATTTTAGAATATAATACATAAATAATATAACTAATGTTTTAAAGGGTTCCAGTGGTAAGAGGCTGCCAAGCATGTCAAAAGTTGTATGCATACCTGCTGAATGTCATGGTAAGTGTTAGAAATATGGTGGCTATGAATGAAACATGTCTCTTTCTGCACTATGAGGTGAGGTTACTGAGGTAGGTCAAGGTGTTTCAAGATCAAGCCCTTTATTCATTAATGGACTTTGCACAATGGATAAATGTTGATCCAGCATATACTCTTAATTGGTGTGTTTGGGTGTGGGTCAAAGTGAAAAGTTTGTAATTTTTGTACCTGAGACTCTAAATTTACTCACATAAGAGCCTTGTTTTCTCAAAATTGTGCTCCTGAGATATTGCGTGCATAGTATAAACTTCCAGGTCGTGGTGTGTGCAAAAAGTTACTTTTACCTAGTTATTGGTGGAACATGAGCACTTGGTGAATAAAATGGGAATGAACGTTTGATGGCTTTGAAAATGAATCATGAACTTTCTTGTCAAAATTTTTAATCTAAATAGGTCCATGCTTTATTACAAATCAAAGTTTGTAAGCAGTGTCTTCCTTAAAAATTATAGGCCTTACATGGTCCCACTCTAATTTTGAGGTGTTTACCATGTCCCACTAGACTAGCCTGCTTTTTATTTCCATGCATAGAAGACAGTATGTTCAAAATACATCAATAATTAGGACATTTTGAGTATTAGGTTTTTTTTTGTAATAGAGAAACCAGCTGAAGTCTTTGTCCATTAAACAAAACCTAAAAAAAGTAGCTTACATAGTGCAAATTATTTCTTTCCAATAGATTTTCTGTCTAAAATGAAAATATGTCTTTTATTATCTTATGAAATGTCTAAAATTCAGGTTTCATTTCAAACTTTTACTGGCATAAACATCCAATGTTATCAAAATAACTATTGTTTGTTTAAAGTTGTTTCAAAGTTGTTCAAAAACCCATAGTGATTGCATTTTCACTCAAGCAATTCTGAAAACCAACATGGAACTATGGATTTTTCACTGGGATCTTGATAAGTCAAAAAACATCCAGGAATGTTGAATTATAAAAGTAGAAAAATGATGTTTTTAAAAGACCAGATGCACAAAAACATTTCTTTAGCCTACTTTCAAAAGCTCCTGCAATCCTTATATGTTTACAGTTTTGTCTATCATGGGGTTGAAAAAGGCAGTTTTAGTCAAGAACATTTTATTGAATCACTACATTTTTCAGCCAACAGTTTGCTGTTCAAAGAATGCATCTTATTGGCATCAACTGCTTTGAAAGAGGGTGAAGTGATTGCACTAGCAACAGACACTGTGTATGGCATTGCAGCCTTGGCCCAGTCGACAAGTGCTGTCCAAAAGCTTTACCAAATAAAAGGACGAAATTTTGAGAAGCCAATAGCAATCTCTGTTGGTCGTATTAGCGATGTGAACAAGTATGTGATGACAGTGTTATTTTTTACTTTTAAAATTGGCATGTTGTGTTTCTTAAAAATTGTTCATCGTTTGAGCAATTCTATGTAATGGTCATTACTATGTTTGTACACCACCAATATGAATATTTTAATGACAAAGCAATTTTTATTTAAAATAACTTTAAATTTGACAAGCATGGCTTACCAAGGCTCCCTTGGACATCACTTCAGATTTAAGCATTCAGTAAAATGCAATTGTTTACCCACGACTATTGTTTCATCTTTTTTTAATCACAAATTATTTCATTATGGACATTTGGAATATTCAGGATTGATAGATTGGAGCAACATTCACATTAATACTCTGTTTCCTTGAATAAATGATAGGTAGTTTTCTTACCTACAATCAATATGAAGATACAGTGCTTAGAATCAATATCTACAACAATACTCCCTACCAATATCTAGATCCAGTGCTTAGGACCATTACCTAGAAGCATATCTATGTACAGCCAATATCTAGATCCAGTACTTAGAAACATTACATAGAACAATATCTACAGCCAATATCTAGATCCAGTGCTTAGAACCATTAGCTAGAACAATATCTACAGCCAATATCTAGATCCAGTACCTAGAACCATTAGCTAGAATAATATCTACAGCCAATATCTAGATCCAGTACCTAGAACCATTAGCTAGAACAATATCTACAGCCAATATCTAGATACAGTGCTTCGAACCATTACCTAGAACCATACCTGCAGCCAATATCTAGATCCAGTGCTTAGAACCATTACCTAGAATAATACCCTCTACCATTATCTAGAACCAATGCTTAGAGCCATTACCTAGAACCATACCTACAGCCAATATCTAAATACAGTGCTTCGAACCATTACCTAGAATAATACCCTCTACCATTATCTAGAACCAATGCTTAGAGCCATTACCTAGAACAATACCTACAGCCAATATCTAGATCCAGTGCTTAGATCCATTAGCTAGAACAATATCTACAGCCAATATCTAGATCCAGTACTTAGAACCATTAGCTAAAACAATATCTACAGCCAATATCTAGATCCAGTACTTAGAACCATTAGCTAGAACAATATCTACAGCCAATATCTAGATCCAGTACTTAGAACCATTAGCTAGAACAATATCTACAGCCAATATCTAGATCCAGTACTTAAAACCATTACATAGAACAATATCTACAACCAATATCTAGATACAGTGCTTCGAACCATTACCTAGAACCATACCTACAGCCAATATCTAGATCTAGTGCTTAGAACCATTACCTAGAACAATACCGTCTACCAATATCTATAACCAATGCTTAGAGTCATTACCTAGAACAATACCTACCGCCAATATCTAGATTCAGTACTTAAAACCATTAACTAGAACAAAATTAGTAAATAAGCAAAATAGGCAAAATAAGCAAAATATATTCAAATAAGCAAAATATCTGCATTTGTCTGCAGTAGCGCCGGCAGAATTTTATATGGAAGGGGACAAAACACCCAAAAACATTTCACTTACATGAATTACGCACTGTTTTATATAACTGACATTTTCAAGCTACATATGTAAAAACGTAAGTGTGCGAAATAGCGCCTATGTCTATCAACCCAGTTCATTTTGGGCCGTATGTTATTTGCAACTTGCAAGTGTATTAACTTTAGACTTTCCACGTGTAGTACTCTCCAGGGGCGGATCCAGTTATTTTCGTGACACTTGGCAAATCTACTGATAACATACAAGAGCTGTTTATAGAGGGTTCATTAACGTACCCTCTCCCCCCTTGATTTTTTGAGATCTAGGCTCTTGGAGACGCAATTTTCTGCAATAATATGTAATTAGGATGAGAGTGGAATTATTATTATTTCGTACATTTTAAGCATAAGCAAGCCTAATGATGCATGCACATTTAGTCTATACTCAACTAATATTAACACATACACGATACTGCGCCTAAATAAGTTGTACTTTAATTATGTTATTGCTTATGAGTTGTCATGATGAGAAGTAATTATATATTCTACAATAACAGACTAGCGTGCTTATAAATACTAATACAAATCGACATATCTAACAGGAAGTTTGGAATTTGATCTTTTAATTTCACTTTTTGGAGATCGTAGTTTAGAAAAGTCTTATCGCGAACTGCAGTGTTGTCGCTTCTTTTAAACAGAATCTTGTATTCTTGTTGATTAGCACATTGCTCTTGAAGCTATTTTCTTTAATTATATCACCTGATTTAGATTGACTGCGAAATATCTCTTCAATATCACTAAAACTGTTGTCATATGTTCCTATGCTTGTTGTAAAAGACGTTTATTGAAGCATAAAAAGAACAATTATGTGTTCTTTTTATTACATCGTAGAGCTTATCAAGTTTTTTGCGTATTGATTCAGATTTCGCAATAATTCAGGTGAAACCACCGAACTGAAATACATGGAACGCTGCCTAAAGCAAATTCTTGAAGCCAAATCTTCATAGATGATGAACGGATCTTTTATTTTGGTTCCGAGACAGGGCTATTTTCATGCGAAACTCCTGTCAATTATCACTTATGAACAAATTCTAACAAAAAAATCCACTTCATTTGAGGACCATGTATTGCAAGTATATCAATAATCGACTTCAAAGTTCCCACATGTACGCTCGTACCCCTTTTTAGTCTGTGGTTTGATTTCAGAGCGCAACTTCGTTTTTACTGACAAAGGAAAAACAATTTATTCTTGTTAATCATAAAATTCGAGGAACGGATCCTTTATTTTGCATTGCGATACAATGTTATTTGGCGATACAGGGCTATTGGGCGATACAGGGTCATGCAAAACTTCTGCAAATTGTCAACAAATTCTAGTAAAGAAAATTGATTATTTTATGAAATTTAACGTATTGTATATTTGCATTGTCAATTCTGTTCTTGTCAGATGGGGCAAGGCAACCTTGGATGATGATGCGCTATCACACTTACTGCCTGGGGCTGTAACTCTTGTTTTTGAAAGACAACCGGAATTGAACAAAGAACTCAATCCGTACACAACTCTCGTTGGAATCCGAATCCCTGATAACGCATTCATCAGAGAACTCGCTTTGCATTGTGATGCACCATTAGCATTAACTAGCGCCAACAAAAGTTCCACGAAGAGTAGTTTAGATGTAAAGGTAATGTCTACTGATTGAACTTTTTTTATATTGTGCATTTGCTTATTTTGCTTTGGTTGAGCGATAGAACTTCAAAACTTGTAGCCTTAACAAGCAATCATGTATTTGATACTGCGTTTTGCGGTCAAGTTTTTGAATAACAAAAAGATGAGGTCGTTTAAGGTTTCTTATGATTTGTTTTTAATTTTATGACAATAAGAAATCGAATATAGTTATAGAACATTATTAAACAGCGCATGATACAACACAGAGAAAAACCTCTGTTTCGTTTGCTTTGTTTGAAACGGCAGTGAAACTTCAATAATTGTATTCAACACGATATGAAATGCACGAGAGGATATTGAAGTTCAAGAAATGCCGTTTATAATGGTATACGTTGCTCTATGGGATGCACGCAGGATGTCTTCTATATATTTCAATAAACTAAAACTTCCTCTATGTGAATATTTTGTAACTCTACTTGCACTTTCGGGCAATTCAAAGTTTAGACTTCAATAAATGCACGACGTTTTACAAGTTTGTACGACCATTTGAATTTAACATAGCCCAAGGAAAATCTGTGCACCCTCCCCCCAATGCTCTCTCCAAACTTTACCCTTATCCCATACCTCACACATAGCTTTGTTACGTCAGTAATACCACTGATTTTATGGCTTTAATTTTCAAAAGCAAAAACCCTAGTATTATCAGGTGTGAATGGACGTTAAATTGTCAGTCGGCATTCTGGTGTACAGGGTTTACAAGGAAGTTGGATGATGTCAGAAAGATGTTGAATTAGGAATGATAGAAACTTCCTTTTCCGGTTGTTACATGTCAGTTCTTCAGATTGTTCAGCAGGAATAATATTTTGATACATCATCTAATTCGACACCAATTATCAACATATAGGAATTTGAAAATCTTTGGGAACATTTGGCGATCGTATTTGACGGTGGAAAATTGGGAGATACTGAAGAATGCCGCAAGGGATCGACAGTTGTAAATTTATCTACGCCGGGAAAATATAAAATCATTCGTGATGGAAGGTCAGTATTGCCTTCAGCTAATTCTCCATGTGGAAATTCTGGATAGTATTGGATAAATGGAGATTAGGCGTATGCCTGTTTTGGCGGTCAGCACCTTGCGATTAACACATTCTAATTGTCGTTTTAGTGCATTATCAGAAACGATAGAAACACTACAAAATTTTGGATTATCGGAAGATATTCTGTAAATTTAGGAAAGGTAAGACTAAGCAACTTTTAGTAGCTCTATAAAGAGTCAAGTTACGTGTTTTGCAAAAGCGATAATTTTCTGTAAAGCTGTCTTTCTGATTTGGACTTAAAATTTGGCTGTATGACCTTCACGTGATATCTTTTTAAGAAATATGTTTTGTTGTTCAAAATTGATTGATAAGATTGCTCTGCGTTTTTTTTTTACTGAACTCAACTTTAATACAGGTGTATAGAAAAACTGAACTTTTGAGAAAACGTCGCTAAGTTAATCAGCGCATAAGCAGTATAGCGGATTACCCAGCAGGCTTATTAAGCCTACATGCCCGTGGTATCTACAAATAATTAGTGTTCAGTTTTTTTATTGAGGAAAATTGGCTTTCGTACTATTTACTGTTTAAATGCGCGATGCTCGGAACTCATGTAGTAGTGGCTTTGTCAGTTACAAACAAAAGCTAGGAAGTGCAAAAGCAATGGAGTGTAAGGAGTACGAACGTCGTCAAGAGACTGGACTTAGTGGGAGGAATAGATATCACCAGATCCGTAACGTTTTCATAGCCTACAGGCCCCGTAGCTAGTAATCAACTACTCTACGCATTAGGTTTACAATTGGTGGAATAAAAACATTTGGTGGAATAGGTTGTTAGACTTCCATTTTTTTAAGGATTATAGAAAAATTGCATTAAAAATCAAAAAATTCAAATATAACCCGCGCTCTGAGTGCCAAGCGTTTGCGTACGCATTAGCCGAATTTCCTGAAACTTTATCAGCGCGAACAACACGTGCTATATTTTATCTCTACGTGTTGTAGTTGTTTTTTATCAGTTGTCTGTTTGTGCTCGAGTTATTTCAAAACGTGCTTCTCAATAACACAGTTCTCATCCTAAAATTGGTTTTTGTTTGCGTCTTGCGACAATTTTAATGCCAGGTAAAACATTGTAAGTCCAACTAACTATTTGCACCAAATTTTTTTGCAAATCTTGCACGCTGATGAATTTAGCAACGTTCTCCTAACAGTTCAGATTTTTTTCTTATAGCTATACCCTGTAAAAATATGTGGGGTAGAAGTGGAATCTAAAACTTATGTTTGGTGCATTCGAACGAATGGTTTTATGTCCGCCATCGAAGGAATTCTCTTAAATTTTTCTTACCATTCACCAAAATTAATGTATAATGAATAAGGTTTAATGAAAATGTATCAGTAATGCAGAAGATGTCATTATTTCCAGTCTTTTCGCTCGTTACCAGAATATGTGAGCGCACGCTAAAGTATGAATCTAGACAAGAATGTCAATGTAGTAAAATCTGGCTTCATACAATTCTACATGATTTTAAATTTCCAATGTTAGGTTTGGCTAAAAAATTGAGCATTATCGACCGCTTTGTCGACATTTGCATTCATACAGAAAAGCACATGATTGACACAATCATAGCTCCACCATTTGGCGTAGCATTATTCTTCAGTTGGTCCTAAATGTTCGGTTTTTCGTGTTAGCTGCAAAGGAATTCATTTCGTACTTTACCGTATGCCTTGCGGACTCCTTTTTTTCGTTTTCAGTCTTTTTGTAATTGGAAATTTTCCTTCTTTCATCGCTCGTCCACGATTTTGGCGTATCAGCAAGGTGACGTGATTTCAAAGTCGAGCGTCCTAACGGCGAGGTACTCATGTCCGTTGAATTGTTCACATTTCGATTGTTGAGAGAGTTTACATCCATTGAGCTTGCTTTTCCTTCTTTCTGTTCGTCTTTCGTTCTAGCTTCCGCCTTTTTTCTGTCGTTCCCAGGGTTTTGGAGATCTGTTGTGAACTTAATATGACCTGAGTGAATGAATTAAAAAGAAATGAAATAAAAGTTAAATTTTATCTCTTACTATATAGAATCGATGGGAAAAGCAAAAATGGCAAAAGTTACAGTTTTTACATGAATGATTAACTTAGCTCCCAATAATGTCGGCAATTTGATTCTACATTTTGATTTTATTTGTATAATAATCAGAAATGATTATACAAGTTATGTTTGCATTATGCATATTTTAAATAATTTGATATAATGAATAGAAAACACACATGGTACGTTGTGGGATGATTTGGTGCGTTGATTGAATTCCGATTTTTGTCGGCGAATAGCGAGTGCTTCTTTGAACAGTACACTTTAACCAGTGCTTAACTTTGAGAGCATCCTCAAAACTATTTGTCTTCTATTAATAAAATCAAATTACATGAAGTACGAGTACCACATTCAATGATACACAAGTAATATGATTACTACTGATGATGACCAAATAAAGTTGAAACGTATAATCGAAATGTTTACATTATTTTGAGTTACCGTTACTGCGTATTTAACAAAAATACTCAGGGATCCCGAAAAACGAAGCTTTTTTTATTGAAAAATAAAAGATGTTTACCTGTGCAAGCTTATGCAAACCGAGGAGACCTCTGTGAGAACTCAAAAGCTGATCAGTGCAAGCCCGAGACCCCGAAGATCGAGGATTACGCCTGCTCGAGGGTTCTCACAAACGTCTCCGAGGGTTTGCATAAGCCAGTGAAAACACAAAAAGATCTTTTATTTCTTTTATAAAATAACAATTTTGCGAAACAAACAAATTCAAAAGAAACGTTTTAATTTTTTCTCTAACTTGTATCCATGATTGATTTGTAAATTCTCTTTAATTGTTGAGCTCAGTTCGATTTGCATGCACATGGTAATGCAAACACGGCTATAGACCATTCAGCGCACTCGTTTTAGGATTATTATCTGTATGGCAAATCAGTGCGGGAAATCACACATATGCCTGGGAACCAGTTGGATCTTTCCACTTTCTCATATTATCAGTGGCTTTTGTTCAGCGAATTAACTGAGAATAGTTCGCTGGCAATTTCTTGAAAACGTAAATTTTCCAAATTTCGTACGCTGTTTTCACAAAAAGGACCGGAGAAATTTTTGAATTTACCTGGCAATTTCCCTTTTGCCACATTTTTTGTATCGATGAGTTCATCCAAACATCCACTGCTGCTTTTTTGTACATTTGAATTCACGACAGGATTATTTTCGGCAGTTTTCAATTTCAGGGTGTCCGAAACCTTCGCTTTGAACAATTTATTACTATTAGTGAGCGTCGTATCTTTGGTAGTTGACTTAAGGGAAGGTATTGGGGAATATTGTTTGTCATTTTTTAATGCCTTTTCTTCGGTAAAGTTCCTTTTTTCGGTAATGTTCTTTTCCTCGGCAAGGTTCTTTTTCCCGATAACTTTCTTTTCTTCAATCAAGTTCTTTTCCGCCATAAAATTATTTTCTCTTGTTATATTCATGTTTCCAACAAACCTCTTTTCCCCGGTAAAGGTCTTATCTGCCGTAAAGTTCTTGTCTCTAGAGAAGCTCTTTTCCCCAGTAAAGTAGTGTTTCTCTCCCGTGAAGTTCTTGTTTCCAATAGAGTTTTTTTTCTCGGTAAAGTTTTTTTCTCCCGTTAAGTTCTGGTTTCCTGAAAAGTTTTTTACCCCAATAAAGTTCTTTTCTCCCGTAAAGTTTTTGTTTCCAGTAAAGTTCTTTTCCTCGATAAAGTTTTTTTCTCCCGTAAAATTCTTGTTTTCGGTGAAGTTTTTTTCCCCGAGTAAGTTCTTTTCCCTCGTAAACTTCTGTTTTGCTGTTGTATTAGTTATATATTTTGCGCCTATACCACCAATTTCCGAGCGGTTTACGACTACAACCGAAACGCACTTGTCCTTACTGTTTCCTGTTCCCCCCATTTCATTTTTGGATTGCGTCTTCGTGCTACCGGACTGACTTTTTAGAGTCCTGGGCACGAACTGCATTGTCGGTAAAGGGGACTGTTGCGAAATTGGGGAGCATCTTTTTGATGCCAATGGAATTTTTGTTGGAATGTTCTTCATACTGGAGGGTTGTCTGTCTTCAATGGCATAATTTTGAGTTGTGTCAGGAGTATGCGCTATCAGTCTTTGCGATGAACACGTGGTTGAGTGACTCAGATTTCCTTTGCTTTCCTGTCAAAAAATGCATTTATTTAGAGTAAAAGTAATAGTTCTTTCACATTTGTTTCTCGTCATTTTGTATGATATCTGCCTGTTGTGAGTCAACCAATAGGCGAAGCTTAACACTCGTTCATGGTCTTCCTATATGGGGTTAACCAACGGGACGTTTTCACTTTTTGAATTGTTGATATCATTGAAGTGAGAAGCATTTGCATTTTTTTACTGACAAGACTCAACGTGTTTATATGTCGAAAGCGATTTTGACAGCGTTTTTTACTGAATGCTACAAACAGAACTATGCTTGGTAGACATAAAATACATGCTCCAAGTGTTCTACTTGGTTTAAGTATTCTACATGCTGCAAATTTTCTACCTGTTCTAAGTATTCCACTCAAATCCAAGCATTCTACATACCTTCCGTAAGTTTTCTACCTTCTCCAAGTATTCTACCTAGTCCAATAATTCTACCTAGTCCAAGTATTCTACCTAGGCCAATAATTCTACATAGTCCAAGTATGCTATCTAGTCTTAGTATTCTACCTAGTCCAAGTATTCTACTTAGTCCAATAATTCTACCTAGTCTTAGTATTCTACCTAGTCCAAGTATTCTACCTAGTCCAATAATTCTACCTAGTCCAAGTATTCTACCTAGTCCAATAATTCTATCTAGTCCAAGTATTCTACCTTGTCCAATAATTCTACCTAGTCCAAGTATTCTAACTAGTCCAATAATTCTACCTAGTCCAAGTATTCTACCTAGTCCAATAATTCTACCTAGTCTAAGTACTCTACCTAGTCCAAGTATTCTTCCTAGTCCAATAATTCTACCTAGTCCAAGTATTCTACCTAGGCCAATAATTCTACATAGTCCAAGTATGCTATCTAGTCCAATAATTCTACCTAGTCCAAGTATTCTACCTAGTCCAATTATTCTACCTAGTCCAAGTATTCTACCTAATCCAAATATTCTACTTACTCCAAGTAGTCTAGTGCTCCAAGTATTCTATCTACATCAAGTATTCTACGTTCTTTTTACTTACTTCACGTTTCTCCCAAAGTAAATGTTTCAACGTACCTTGATTCCTTCAGTTAGCGTTTTCTTATCCTTACTTCCCAGATTTTCCGGCTGACTTTGTTCCCCATCAAACACGACGTGATCTTTTTTAGCGTCTGCATTTATTCTTAGCGCTCCTTCATCTTGAAATATGTGATGTTGTCGACCGGCTTGCTCTCGTTTAAGCATACCGGGAGAAACGGTTGTGCCTCGTTTCAATACGACTCCCTTCTCCGTATAGAGATGCGTTATGGTTCCTTTGGAGTTATCACCATTTCCTATGTGTGCCATTTTCTCTGGCATCTGTACCAATATTTCTTTGTTTTCGGTTTTTCTCGATTGCCTTTTTGTTTCTTCATTATTTAATACCCTTTTTGAATCGCTAAAATTTTTTAAATCCTGTTTGTCTCGAACTTTATGGCAAGTACTTGATGGAATGACCAAATTTCTCGAAATCTCCATGCTGGTCCTTCTTGGAGTGCTCGCAGCACTCGAGGTTGAATCGTCATGTTGCGCACGTCTTCGTCGAACTTTCGAGGATTTTCGCCGTTGTTGATTTCCTTCGATGAAGCCTTTCCTTCGACCTGTTCGCGGACTGCTCATGGAATAACGTGAACTGCTCGCCAAGTATCTGCTGCAACGACGTGCTGGCGAGACTTTCACGAGCGCCACTCGCTTTACCGTGCATAATTTGTTCTTGATGTCGATGTTTGGGTTCGTAGACGGAACCGACGCTGATGTCTGCGCATTGTTTGTACCTTGAGATTTTTCGTTGTTTTTCAACGCTTTCTTTTTTCCAATCATTGCCGTTTTAAAACACTTAAAGGGATTCTCCATTATTCCTGTTTTTGGCGAAGATTGCTTCACTGATTCCTTCTTTTGATTTTCATGAACGTCGTTTTTAGGCGACTTATATTCCAAGTGCGATGTTACCTCTGACTCTGTTGTTGCTTTTACCGCCGACTTGGGACAGATCAGCTTTCGCTTTTCTTTCTCGTAACGCTGTAAACGACGTACCAACAGATGGTATACACATGAATTTTTCGTCGCCCTGAAATATACATAAATCTTTAAATCATTTTATAGAGTAAACTTGTCATGCCCAAACCCTGTTTGTTTGAACACATTCACATTGACTTTGTTATGTTTACAATTCACACAGAAACGTACTTGTTTTGAATGACGTCACGTATTACGTCATCTACATTCAATTGCAACTGTTCCTCTACGTGATCCAAAATGCGGTCATCCAAGTCTTCTTCGCAAAGATAGTTGGGGCATGGCGCGAGTAAAATAGGATCGTCCGTTGTTATCCATGGGTGTCTCGCTGCTCCCAAGATGTTCAGACGCTCTTTGGGATCCGGATTAAGCAATCCATGAATCATATCTTTACAAGCTGAAAATTGGACGTGCGGACATAGATAGCATAAGTGGCTATGTGTATGTGGTCTTTATTTACACAAAGTATTGTGCCAGCATTTGCTTCAAAACAAGGAAAGAATTTCTTTCTTTCGAAAATCCGATTATCAATGATTACGTAGGAGCAAAAGTTTATGATTAAAATTTAGAATTAGCGCATTCAAAGATTAAAAGTGTAAAATAATCTCTGTTTTGCAGCTTAATCTTACCTTCCGATAGGTATTTGGGAACTGGATTCATCTGTCTTTTCAGCATCTTGCTGTACAGTGTCGTAATGTTGAATGGTTCTATTGTGTATGGTAAACGTCCTGTGAGCATAGCGTAAAGATTCACGCCACTAAAATGAGGAAAATACGATCAAATTTGTAAGAAATGACTTGGCTAACTTGCTAACTACTGAAACCAAGCAGCGGAATTGCGATGGGATTTTATTTTAAGCGCTTTTATAGATTTTGTTTTCTGACGTCATTGTTGCCCTTTTCGAGCAATTAGAATGGACATTGACAGGCTCTGATCTATTTTTGTATGGAAAAGTGGGAATCAGTGTGCTGAAATACTCTGGTGTGAACTCTCAATCGTTTTCCAAGTTAAGCGCGGGCCACACTATCGTCGAAATGCAACGAATTTCGTGACGAGTCGCTCGTCAACGAGAAAATATGACGATATGCACGAATTCGTCGCCGTTGAGCATGCACACCGAAATCGTCAACGAGTGACGAGTATTCGTTGCATTTCGACTCGTCACGAAATTCGTTGCATTTCGACGATAGTGTGGCCCGCGCTTTAGACTTAACTCCTGACTCCTCCAAGTACTTACATGCTCCAAACGTCAATCTGCGGTCCATAATCTTTGCGTACAAGAAGTTCGGGTGCGGCGTAGGCTGGTGAGCCACATTGTGTGCTGCAATGGTTCTCGGTATGCGGATCTTGTGAATAAATTGTGTTGCTCAGACCGAAATCTAGGTGTAGCGATTTACACAAGTTTTAGCTTACATGACGTTTTGTAAGGGACCTTGTCCAACCGTCTTACGACGAGTAAACTTTTGGGAAACTGCACTTTCGACAAAATGTACGAATATGACAGCAAGTATGCAAAATATTGATTTATACAGGGTGTGTAAAAAAAGTTGAGCCCTGAATTATTTCAGAACGCTTGATTTTTTACTAGTAAGAGAACTTTGTCAAAAATCGTTGCAAACAGGTCTTGCACACCGAAACTATAAATCGGAAGAACAAATTAATTAGCTCCACCGATTGCATTTGTTTGAAATTCAAGAGTTACAAAAGAATGCAAAGAATAAGAACAAAATAGCAAGTACTGGTTTTTTTTGGTGAATGTTTTTAACAGTAAGGCCGCGTAGCGAGCCTTCTGAAGCGATGGAGATTAACGAAACGAGACAGAGTTAGACGGTACAGTCAAGAAATGTCCCAAAGTTTATTATTATTACGTAGTAGTATAGTTTCTCGTGAGTAACGTGCACTCGCGAGTTTTTTGAAGACTGCAAGTAGCGCTCGTTCTTCGGACTCACGCTATTTCGCTGCTGTCTTTAAAAATGTGCATGTTTATCCTCAATTGCACTCGAAATTATACTATTACCTATGCTAATTAATTTTTGTGCGCGAGCCCGGTTTTGAAGGACCTTCAACAATAGTTCTCTCTCCTTTGTGAAAAAACTCGCGTTTTCAAAAATGGTAGGACCAAAGAACGTGAATGTACTTAGAATCACCAAATCTTGTTGCTTATTCCGAGCGCGTCTTATGTTACTTTTCCAAGAATCAACTTTTTTGATACACAAAATTTCCAGTAATGACATCTGTTTTCATACATTAATGAGTATAAATCGCTGCGAAATAGACATACCGATTATTTTTATATTCTTGTCGGCATCCAAAAGAAGATTTTCCACCTTCAAGTCTCTACAAGATATTATAGCCACAATAAGAGGCAACAATGACAGCGATTGTGCAATTTGAAATTGACCTGGCCATCCCGAGACAACTCGGACATAGTTGAAATTACCCTGCATTACTTTGACTTTAGTATAAATGCAACAATGTCGGATTCAGGGTCAGAACACAAATCCTCCATGCGAATACAACATGTTCATTGATAACCTTACCTATGAATAATACCAATACGATGCAAGTACTCAATCGCCGATATTATTTGTCTTGTGAATTTTCTCACTTCTTCTTCGTCGAGTTTTCTCCGTTTTACGATATAGTCCATGAGATCCCCTCCGTCTGCAAACTCGAACACGAGATAGTAGCATTGTCCTGTCTCGACGATCTCTAACAGTTGTACGATATGTGGATGGCGAATCATTTGTAGTAGTCTCGCTTCTCGTCGCATGTTCTTCGAGACATATCTGTCCTTCCGCGCGCGATTTTTGTCAATCATCTTGATGGCGACCTACGTTGTGGAAATAATTGCAGTAAAGGTCAGGAAAATTGTTTGGATAAAACCATCGTTTTTTTGTTTGATTTTCTTGCTAGTTTTTAGTCAAAATAGCCGAGGGATAACTGTATAATAGCAAGTGTGCATACAAAGCGATATTATGACGATTTATTGAATTAAAGAAGAGAATTTGATTATTTGATTATGACTTATTTTGTCTGAAGTCTTCTTATTCGCTCGTGTTATTAGATTTTCTTCTTTTGTCTTGTTGTCCGTATCTTTTTTCATTTTCCGTAAGGTGATAATTATTGTCCTTTTCTTCTCTTGTTTTGTTTTTCATCTCTTTTGCTGTTCGTGGGCTTTTTCTCATTTCACGAATTCAGTCGTTTCCAGTAGCGTGAAATATCAGTGCGCATGCGCAATGTATGAGTTGGTCTTTGACAAACATAATTCTGAGTTATTATAACTTTGGCCTGTTTCATACGTCGCATTTTGCATTAGCCAAATACATTCAAAACAAAAGATAATGAGGAATTTTTCTCATTTTCTTTTGTCTCTAATGCATTCGGCAAATTTAAAATCCGACGTATGAAACAGGCCTTTGTTGTTGTTGTGCCGAATAAACTTAGCAAATTCCTGTTGTACTTTGGTTGTGATGAACATAAAAAAAAATCTGGTATTTTTCTTCTAATTTATTGTCGTAATGGTGCTATTAAGAATCTTATGTTGGGCTATTAAGTTTATAATAGAATTTAAGGTCTGTTTTGTCGTTTTGCTTCGAATTCAAGTCAAAATTGATCTTCATTTTGAGAGTTCGTGTGCAATGTAAGAGTTGGATCTGCCTATTATAAGAAATTGTAAAAAAATGCTAGAAAATCCTGATTCCATGGCCACGAACCATGTTTTATTATATCGCTGGCTGGAACATGCTTGTCTTTCCTGGTGTTGACGTATGAAGATTTATGTCGGCACCTATTGTTTTTGAGCATTAACATGTTTACGAAACAATCGGTGTAAAAAACAACCCTTGCGGTCATTTTTAATGTCTTCTCAAAAATCAGACGTTTCATATTCCACCAAATGGCTCCCTATGACCAAAAAGGTCATTATGTCTTAAAATCTGATATCGACGATTTTCGTATGTACGCGTGATTCCATACCTGGGTTTCCTGCCAAAATTTTGTTCCAGTTGTGCAAATATTTCTATTTAATTTATCGCGTCCTCATTCGATTTGTATGTTTCACTGGTGGCCAACCTTATATTTGTCCTAAATATGGAGATCCTCATCAGTGATTTGTGTGTTCACAACATAAGTTGTTTTGTCGTTCATCATGCTACTAAGGTTGCCTGCAAAACCTCATGTCAGCAACCTCGTCGGAAAATTTTTTGATATATTCCTTCGACCATCAATTGATAAAGTATTATATTTACGAAATCCAAGTATTATTGTGGTAGATTAGCGAAAAATTGCTGCTTCTCGTTTGCACTCTGTGAAGAACTGGTTAGGGAGCGAAATTTTTGCGCGAAATAACATGATTCGTTGAATTTTGCTGTTTTTCGTTTTTATTGTAGTTTGGAGTAGTTTGGAGTTCTACTTTACGGAAAGCGAACTTTTTTTCGCGTGCTGAGAAATATTGCCTGTGGAACGAGTCACTTATTTACAATTCAAAAATCCTAAATATTGAAATTCGAAATAACTTAATTCTCTGTTAGAATTGACGAATATGACCTTGAAATATGCGACCGATTTTTATAATTGACAGGGTACAATAATCTTCAATGCAGTGCTAAGTCTCACAATTAATTCCAAGGATAAAAATCCAAAGCACATCTGTAAGCTTTTAAGATGTTTACACCTAGCGCTTATTGTTTTTACGCAATGTTGAAATATTGGGAAAAACTGATTTTTTAAACCTTCATGACTGCAAAATTGATGTCAAAAAAATTCTGTTTTTGTCGTTATGAGGATCGAAGATATTTTTAACGAGTGACGTTTTTTTCTTTTTCGATGTAATGTTGAACACATAGCCATGTGATATATGTTGGCTTATTTTAAATAGTAACAAATAATGAATTAAATATTATTTGTTACTATTTAAAAAAATCTTGGAAATTTGCTCCACTGTGCGGACATGTGGCTACCCAACCGAACATGCTGCATGTTGACCCTTTCGGGGGCGAATTTTTTTGAAAAGTTATTTGCCATTTTGTTTGGTGATTGTCGCACTTTTGCTGCACTACCACAGAAAAGGTTAATTGACTAAGATTAGGATGCTTTGTTCATCAGCAAATCAATATTCTTTGTTTCAGTGCATGATCACCATGCTTAGCCCACAGGCACATACATTACATATCTTTGCTTCCAGCACAAAAGCTTTTCTCCGCTGGGAATTTGATATAACTTCTGTAATAGCAGAGAATGTATAGTAATGCACCAGTGAGATTACTAGGTTAGCAAAGTGTTCAGGCATTAAAATTTCACAGTAGGCTGACTTTTTATGCACCGTTATGTATCATGGAGAAAAATTTCATGACGCTAAGAACTAGGACTACGCGCTGGCTATGCAATGTGGTCTCTTACGTTTTCTTATTCTATATTCTAAGGCAAATTTTTTATTTACAGTCTCCACACAATTTTTCAAATTTGACGTTTTACCGATATAGACCGTTTGCACGGTTCACAATGTTCAATTCATAGTGGAATGGAAGCTAAGAAAACATTGTCATTAGAACGTCATAATTTGTTTGTATCATGAACATTTTACTTGGTTTTGTTTCAACCGTATTGTCAGTGCATGGTTGGTCCAATAGTGGTTTCGCGCGCACCACGAGCCTAATATATCCATGTGTCAATTTTTTTTTTGTTTTTCAGATGTCACCGTTCAATCTATTTCCAAACACTTTTTAATTAAGAATGGCTTGAAAAAATGTCCCCCTGCATGTTAGTGCAATCATGTTAATGATGAACTGCGCCAAAATTTGCATTGCTACCCATCTGATGACAGAACACTAGCTATCTGAACGTTTTCACATTCCTCTTAACGACATTTTTGAGATGATTTACGAGCTTTAAATATCAAAGTGTTTTGTCAATCACATCGTTTTGTAATCGTCTGTAGGTTGGCAATAATTGCGCTTGTAAATTATAAATTTCATGTGGCCATTTGATGTCATCTATTTAAGCAATATTGTTTTTGAAACAATTCGTCACGATACGTCCAAGTTACACAGATTTTGTGTAAAAACAAATGTAATTTTAATTACTGTACAGCTCTACCGTACCTTATGTTAGCAGGACCAATATAATGTTGAAGTATTCAATCTCTCGAATTAATTTCGTTACTCAAAATTTTCAGTACATATCCTTGCCGTTGCTGTATAGTAAACCGTGTTTATTAAAAGAATTTATAGTATTAGTCATAATCAGCTCTTGTCATTAAAATTAGACAACCCAGCTGCTGAACGCATTTGGGGCTTATCATGTGGTTGTGACCTCCAGATTATGGGGCTATCTTTAAGGGATCATTGACCATATAGCTACACGTTTGTTAAGACTTCTTGAAAAGCAATCAATTTGCTCTCTCTGTCATCGATTTGTGTAATTGTGCAAAGGCCAGGATGTGTTACTCGATTGATATATGTTGATATATGTTTTCTAATGTTTCGCAATGAACTGCAAGTTTTGCAAATTATGTTACCTCAATACAACTAGAAATGCAAAAAGCAGACGAAGTCAAAGAGACAAGAAATTGTAGCTAAACAACCTGCGATATTTTCCCGAGAAAGCAACAAACGCTCAAAACGGTATTCTTCGTCATTGTTCCCCTATAGCTGTTAGCATTGCGCATGAGCAGCGGCTATCCTCCAAAAACGAGAAAATTTTTGCCGTGGAGTAGCTCAGTCCTCCCCACCATGCGAGAAACGTTTAATTAGGGGGCGCAAAAAGATCAATAATAGAAGGGGGGCATTTTCATTTAAGAAATGAAAGAAGTTTATTGTGTTTGCATAGGCTTGTGCAAACCGAGAAGACCTTTGAGAGAACAAGAGCGCTGATCATTGCAAGCCCAAGACTGAAGGTCGAGAGTTTACACTCGGAGGTTTGCATGAGCCAGTGGAAACACGAAAAACAACTTTTATTTTATTTACAAAATAAGAATAATGCAAATTGACAGTTTTAAAACAAATGTTATATTTTTTCGTTAATAATGTGATTGATTTGCAATTTCCCATGGATTGATTAATTGATTAATTTGATTGGTTGAGCTCAGACCAGTTTGCTCAGGCAAACACAGCTATAGACCAATGAGCACACGCGTTTTATTTTTTTATTTTATAAATATTCATATGTTATGATCCGTAATAACAATTAATTGAACAATGTATATATGAACATTACCCCCTGAATTATTGGCCGTCTGCGGTCTCTGATCATTCAGCCTTTCAGAAAGATGTATACTTTATGATTGAGAAAAAATTACCGGCGATACCAACGATTGTATTACAGTATTACTTACCGATTTACATGACTGAGGGGGGAAATGAGGTGGTCGCCCCCCGGCCACTTTTGGTCGTCCTATGTAAATATTTACGTTATTCAGTCATTATAAAAGCTATAGATTTCCAAAGAAAAATATAATACTAATGATCTGAAATTTACATGGCATAATCAAATTTGCGGGCTGACTGCGCAACTACTGGGAAAAACTAGCAGTAAAATAACAACTTCTAACCCTTTCCGTGTTATCCCATTCAAATTCCTTGAAAAACCACGAGAATAAACCTCTTGTATTTACTTAAGTATTTGTTCTCCTATTAAAACATTCGTTTCATTTCTGTAGATTAAATTATTACTGATGATGGCAATGATATGTGTGGCGTGTATTTTTGGACATGTGAGTACAGCGAAAGTGTTTGCAACGTTTGTCGTCAGAATTATTTGTACATCGTGGAGCGATTAATGCCAATAATAAAACTAGAAATGAAAAAAATAGGAATTTTTTGTTATGGGAAAAAACTTATCAAACTGTTGGTAGCGCAGCCAGCACCACTTTTTACTCTCGCTATGTAAATACTTTTGTATTCACTGACCGTGATAAAAATGGGTTTCTAAACAAATGAATAATGGTAATTCTTCATAATTTACAAAGAACGAAAAAAAATCTGCTGGCTGACTACGTTAGGACCGTTTCAAACGTCGCATTTTACATGAACCGATTGCATTAAAGAAAATGAGATAAAATGCTTCATCTTTTGTTTTAATTGCATTCGGCTCATGTACAATGCGACGTTTGAATCGGGCCTAACTGTAGAATTCTTTCATCCTACGCTTTAGGCGATTCGAGCAAACAAATGGCAATGATTATTAAAAATTGCATAGCTTCTGTTACGAGTACTTTATTTAGGCGCATTGAATTGTCTTAATATCGTGCATGTTTGTACCTCGGTCTCCAAACCGCCCCAGTTAATCCTACGAAAATATTTGTTTGGACTTATAATTGTGCGCACATTTTATAGGTCATGGGAATATTGCCTAGTAAGACAAGAGCTTATCGTGTTTATGCGATGTAATCAGGTCTCATTCAAACTATGGTTCAAATTATGACTGCGTTTTTTACATTTTTAAAGACCGAATGTGTATAGATAAGACCTTTGGAGAAACCTTGTTTATTCGAGTGCGACGACCATTATAATGCCAACCCCTCTCTCACAAATTTAGTGAGGAAGGATAAAATGCAAAGATGAGAAATAAAGAGATAAGCGCTGTGATCATGGCTTCGACCCATTCAAATTATGACAATGTTGGCATTGTAATAACGCATTGATGCACCAAGTAATAGATGTCTTGTAGTTGCAGGGGTCGCAAGCGACACGCTATCTTTAATATGACGTTGTATGACCACTTCGAAAACACCTATTTTGATTATGCATAATTATGAGGGTGCGTTAGTGCACGTATTGTTTTTGTGGATGGGTGATCTGTTCTGTGTTGACAGGAACTATTGCTCTGTTTGTTTATATTGATAGCAATTGCTTCCGATTTCATGTGCTACTTCACTTCAAGTTGAAAACATTGCGGTAAATTATTCGCTTTCTGAGCAGCGGCAATTTTCAAATTAGGTTGTAGTACGCAGTACCCGAGATTTTTGGAGTCTGTCCTACTTAAGTGAGACGATAACGTGCAAATCGGCCATGTTTAGCTTTAATCTTTATTTCATCTAATTTCATTTCGAGATCTTCCATGTCTAATGCAATTATTTTTTTTTGAAAGTGACCCTTTTTTTCCCGCGTAGGATTTTACAGCTTTGTAAATGATGCAGAAAGACAACATATGTAAATTGAATTGCTTATACGGATGGTCAAGTCATTTAGTACTGTACAAAATGGTGTGAACATGGAACTTCATTTGAGTTGAATCGCTTGATTTGTGTATTGTAACGATGTCTTCATACTCGTGTCGATGTAAAAATTATATAGCTTGTGCTCATTTAGTCGAAATGGCCATCTCGACTAGCCATCTTTTTTCAGTCGATACATACATAATCAAATTGAAAAAACAAGGTTGTGAGAGGATTTTTCAATTAAAGCGGTCCTTCTTTGAAAGATTTGCAACCGAATGCAGATCTTAGGATTACATGTGTGAATATTCTCATGTTTTTTTTTATGGTGTTTTGACGAGGTCTTTTGATCCAATTAGGTTGGGGTGATCGAATTCCGCGCGTATTATGTTAATTTGTGCCAGTCGCAGTGCGTCAGAGTGAATACGTATTTTGCATCAATTGCGTGTTGAGCATGGACAAATACAGCTGTGAAATGACGAGCGACAAATATGACAGCAACTCGTGCTGTTCGCGTTGTCTTAAACCGCACAATTACAGTAAAAGTCCAATGCATTTGCCGTGATCTAACAAATGCTAACGAGAGCAGACAAAATTTTGTCAACATTGTGGAGGAATGCGTAGTTATGTTTTATGTCGGTGCTGTCGTTGAAACATATTGTTGGCAAAGATTCGCGTAATCTCGTGGCAACATCCTTTTCCGATACATAGATACGACAATAAAGCATGACAATGCACATTATCTCGGGTTGTCGTACCTAGAAAAGTTCTCAATTTAATGAAACGCTGATCGAATGATTTTCCCGACTGAGCATGTACAGATTCACAATTACATCATGTCGGAATTTCACATGTTATTATTTCCTTAATTTACGATAAAGAATTAATTACTTGTCTTTGCTATTTTATCGTTCTAAAAGAGCATTTATATCGTCTATCGACTTCGGTTTATATTTTAATTACACATCTGATTTTGTGAAGCTGATTGCCTACTCATTTCATCATAAATACAACCAGGAGGGCTTCAAGACTCGACTTAAAGACGAAGTGACGAAATACGCGGCGTCTCGAGGATGACGACCGAAATAGGTCGCGCCGTCTGAAGAAAAAATTATATCATTTGCAACAACTGTACGCTCACGAAACGATTTATTTTCCAACAAATTGCCCGATGTTAATCTATTTCTGCTTTGTTACCAAAATGACTTAATGCAAATAGGATGTAAAGTTACTGCTTAATTATTTCAAAGCAAAATTTGAGCTTTTCTAATGCATCGTCAGAGAATTTATAAACGGCAGCTATGGGCCTCATTTTCATCGACATACTTTGCCATCATCGCTGTGCTGCTGAACGTTAACATCTCTCTAATAATACTATATGTGTTGATGGCCTGTCGTAAGATGAATGCTTAGCGACAAGATCAAACAGAGTTATGCACTCATTGTAGTTAACGTCGGCGAACATCGCGAAGTGATCAATGAGGATGTTAATTTTTGCGGATTGCACACGAGTTTTGCCATTCCTGACGTGTTATAACGTTATTTATTTTGTAATGCGCATGGTGTATTCAACAGTGTAAATTTTACTGATGAAGGTATTTTATGAAAGAAAGTTGTTACAACAGAACAATACCTTCTCGCCTGTTAAAACGTGAAAAGCTTCCTTGACCTTTGCGAACGATCCTTCTCCGACTGTTCGGCCCAGTAAATAGTTGCCTACTCGTTTGCATTGCGCGTATTTTCTAATATCTTCGCGCGAAACGTTTGTAACTGTCGATGGTAGCTCGTCCTCTTCTGATTTCACCATGTTCGCACCATTCAAAGCGGTAATGGAGGCCCTTTTTAGGACCGTTTCACGACGATTAGTCAACAAAGACATAAAGAGACGTACGCATCAAGCCGTATCGTCTATGGGAATCATGTAGGTGATGTTGCTCTTAATGACGAGTAATAGGAACTCTAATCATGAGGGAAATATGATTATCATCTGACACTGGCTACTGGGTAAAAACTGGAGTATCCGTCAAAGCATCGCTAAGTTCTTTCATCACAGGATAAAATGAAAATCTCAGGATGCCATTAATACTACGTCACAGCGGTTATCTGGGAAGTCGAGCTTCATGTTCTTAACATGTGACCGAGGACTCCTTTACCTTATTTGAAGGTTTGAAGGAAATGCCATTGGCAAATGACTTTCGATGTACTTCGGATATTAAAATTGAAACGATTTTTTATCTCCGATAACACCGATGTATTTTTATAGAAATGGGATGAAGATAGTTGGGGCATCTTCAAAGTGCATAAGTCGCGAAATTTTTTGTTGTTCATATAAAAGATCTCAAAAAACTGCAATGGACTTTTTAACATTAATGTTTGAAACCTTTGGATTTATCGAAGTCTTTGTGATATGTAAGTTAGGAAAGGTATGTTTGGGCGTTTCCGAATTAACATATTTGTTATTTGCGTTGAGTTTAGCTAAAAATAAATATGCTTTATGTTAGTCCCGTCACAGTATAGAAACAAACAGTAATACCACTCTATAGAAATTTTTTGTGTAGCGCATATTTTATTACGCTTGTAATTAGCAAAGTAGCAGCCAGTCAATTGCTTTTTTCGAGCAATGGGAGGGCAGAGATGGCTAGCCGCAGCCAGTAATCTAATTAAATGTACAGCACCAAGTTTGCAGAGTGGAGTGAGACTAGTGTATGTTTCTATACTGTGGTCCCGTTTCAAACGTCGAGCTTTACATATGACGATGCATCGATCACAAAAGATGATGAGGAATTTCACCTCATTTTCTTTTGTTTTTATTATGTTCGACGTGTGTAAAGTTTGACGTTTGAAACAGGCCCTCAGTCGGCGATCTATGGCAAGCCAAAGCAGACAAAAGTGTTCGAGTTTTACACGCAATAGTTGAGTTTTATATACTATAGTTCAAAAAAAATACTTAATACTATAATATTTAAAACTCAACCATTGCGTGTAAAACTCGATACACTTTCGTCCGCTTTGGCTTGCCATAGTGATCGGTTTCAGTAAAAATACAATAGTTTAGAGAAAACAAAAGCAGGTTCCTAGTGTAACAAATTAAAACATATGATTTTAAGATATGTAAATTAAGAAAAGATAGAACACAAATTCTTCAATTTACACATCACTAAAGCTTCTATAATTCCAGACGTAAACATGTAAAGAATGCTATGATAGAAAGTCCATTACAGTTTTAGGGGATCTTTTATTTATGAAACAATTAAAAATTTTGTGTCATAGTCATTTTTTTGAGAATAAGTTTGCAGCAATTTTGTTGTTCAGAGATTTTTCGCTTTTTCCCCAGGGATGAACATGACAATAGAGAAAGCAGTCATGTTGGTGTACCAAACAAAACAACTTTATTAAAATTCTTTTCAATTCAGAAATGAAAGATGATTACTGTGTTTTCATTCACAGGTGTATGCTAACCGAGGAAATCGACCTTCTTTCTCAAGTTTCCACTGATCTCGAGTTCTCGTAAACGTCTCTGAGGTTCGCATAAACCAAGGCAAACATGAAGAATATCTTTCATTTCATTTATAAAATAACAACCGTGCGAAGAAGATAAATTTAAAACAAATGTTTTAATTCTTTCCTGTAACGTGTATAGATGATTGATTTGTAAGTTCTCTTTGATTGATTTAATTTATTGTGCTCCATTGGTTGAGCTCAGATCAGTTTGCACAGGCTAATACAAGCTCAGCTATAGACCAATCAGTGCACGCGTTTTATAATTGGTTCACCAACATGGCGGCCATGATATCATTGTCAGGTGAAAACGCTGTTGGATAGCAGCCATAAACCACGCCAAACAACAATCTAGATATTTATCAGAAGCGGATTTTTTTGTTTATGAAAAACTTTTCACAATCTTCTTTTCATTGACAAGTATGACGAAATACGGCAGCAAAACAAGACCAAAGGGTTCGTATATTGCTAAAGTAACGAAATTCAAACACTTTTCAACGACTTTCAAGGAAATACTTTGAAAAATTTAAGGACAAGAAACACTTTGTGTTGCACAAAGAGCACAACTAAAGTGAGGAAACATTAAAAACATCAAAATTAAAACAAAAAAATTTTTTCTAATGAATCGAGAGCAAATGCTGTGTTTTCATATGACTTGAAGGCTGCCATGTTGTTAGATTACTTCAAAGTTTTGAACTTAACCATTTAGCTCACGATTTACTTTTTTATACAGTAAAAGGTTAAGATACATTTTCAACTTCACTTTTGAAAAGAAAGTAGTGTGGTGACATTTTACAAAAATTCTACCCAAAAATTTGATTTCAAGCACTTTCGAACACATTTTACTGTATTTTTGTACTTTTAAGGCCTTGAATTTTTAACTTAAATTCAAGAACGTTCAAGGACATTAGAGAACATACGAGGACATTCAAGTTTTGTACAAACCCTGCAAGACGCCAAGAAAGCAATAATGAACACACTCTCGATCTAAAGTCATTTTTGATTTTTTGTATATTAGAAGACAAGCCATTTTATATACCTTACTTGTATTAAAATTCGCGCAGTACTAGAATTCGCGCAGCGCTGAGTGCGCGAATTTTAGTACTGCGCGAAATATAATCCGCGCGAAAAGCTTTGTAGTGTAATATGAGACATTCATTGTTGGTTATGCAAATCAGTTGTTTTATTAACGCATATACATATTGACATATGCTTATAGTTGTCCTGGTAACATTAAAAATCAAAAATGTCTTCATTTTCATCCTGTACAATTTCAGTCGGGATATTCTCAGGTTCTACGTAGTATTCCGTCACGAATGCCTGCATTTTGCTGTATATCCTAAAACTTGCATTGTTCTGCATGACTGTTAGGGTAATAGGAACCTCCAAGCCTCCTTGTGGTAATGGGGATCGACGAAGTTTGATGTCACACACACATGCTTCTATGTTGCCCCCATATTCAAAAAAGAACTTGCAAAATCGGGAAATCTCTCGAGGCAAATGTCCGACCAGTGACAATGGTTCAATCTTGCCTCTGATTATGGTAAACAGACCAATAGCATATTTGATTTTGGTAAACAGACCAATAGCACATTTGAACTGTAGCTAAACTTTTGTTTGACTTATAAAGTATATTGTTAGGCAATATCATTTATTACATTTTTTAGTTCTTGTTGGGACAGTGAACTCACGCTTTATTTTGAAGCCATTTTTAAGGCCACCCAATCGCTTTTTTGATGAATATTGAGGTATTTCTTAATAAAGAAAGCTCAATATAAATGCGTTAATTATTAATAGTTCTTTTGAACAAACCAAAAAGAACGAGCACATAAATCTACTTGCGCGAATTTAAAGCTGCGCGAATAATTGTCAACAAAGTGCGCGAAATTAAATCGCGCGAATTTAAAGCTTAGCGAAAATGAGTACGACTCGAATTTTAATACAAGTAAGGTAATTTTAAAATTTGTTAACGGGTATGTGTGCATTTTATTTCGTGATAATGTGAAATTTTTGGCATTTCACCACACATAAGTCCGAGGTACAAACGAGATGTATTCAGGGGAATACAGTCCCTCTGTAATCGTGGCAATTTTGTCCTTGGGTTCAGGAAGAACGGTAGCAAGACCAGTTTTGTACGCATGCTCGGCAACTTTCGCGGCAATTTTCACTGAAACTTGACGAATATCTGCAAGCGGTGGATATATACATCCTTTTAATAGCTGCTCCTCCGAAACCTGACTTGCCAGGCTCTAAACGATAGTACACGTAGAAGTCAATGTTTTTGAGCTCTGCTTCCCTTTATACTAACTTATTCACTGAGTCACAAAAACCGCCATTTTGAAAAGCTTGAAACTAATTGTACATAGGAAAATACAGTGTGTACAAAAAATATATAACACTTTTGGAATGCTTAGTAGACTATAAATTTAGCTCAAAGATTGTGTTAGTGTGGGTACTTAAGCATTCTCACTTCAAATTAGCACTAAAAAAAACAGACGGAAAATTAGACCTCGAAAAACGGGAGAGTGGTTTTCAGAAACAGCATTTTTAAGGAACGTGGTGTAGAAATTAATTTTGTTCTCATGAAACGAAGGTTTGCGCCTTGGTTTCCAAAGTATGACAAATTCCAAAAATTTGAGGAAAAGTTAAGTCTGCCGTGTAGATGTGTTAATTTGGGTTATTATCTATTTTAACTCACAAATTGCATGTACTTTTTTGTGCACCAGTCTTCAAAATGCGGTTTCTATAAGTCACTTTCCCGTTTTTCGAGGTTGAATTTTCTATTTGTTTTTAATGTTAAATTGAACTGAGGATGTGAAAATACCGGTACTAACACAAATCAACTTAGCATTTACAAACTGCTCATCTTTTTTACACACACCCTGTACATGTACTCGCTGTATACATTACTCAATACCCAGAAAGACTTATGATACCTTTGCAGCCTCCAGGAAAATGCTTTCAGAGACCCTTTGTGCCCCGGATACAATGGTACCAAGTGCAACACCGGGAAAGATGTAGCAATTATTTCCCTGACCGGGAGTGAACTGGAGTCCATCCGCAAGAGTGACCGATGAAAATGGACTACCACTTGCGAATACGCACTTTCCCTAAAATTGAGCATGTTGTTAAATGTGCACATTGCATGGTGACTGGAGTTTTCACGAAAAATTAGCCTTTCCACATGAAATTTTGGTATCATTTGTCACCTTCGTCCATGTATACGCCTGTTCCGCACTACATTCCGATTTCGAAGTTGGATTACTTAGAGCGAAGATAACTGGACGGTCGTTAAGACTTGCCATTGTACGACATACGTCCTCGTTAAATGAGCCGGGAACAGCAGCAACTCCTAAACAAGATACCGACATTGAACTTGGTCAGCCTCCGTATGTGTGCATTATAGGATATACCGTAGAGTTTCGAAAGTGTCCGCGCGTGCTACTTTCGAAATTAGTGTCTTCAAAGGGGGGCTGCTTTCATGCGTTTAGTTTCAGAGTGCGCTTAGTTACGAGTCGTTACTTTCAGCATCGGTTAACTTCAAGAGTTAACTCTTAATCCACGCTTTATTAACGGTATTTTTCAATGCGTTTCAGTAAAGTTGTCGTGCCTGACACAAATGTACATGAACGTTTTATTTGGATGATGAAGAATAAATGTTGTAAAGCACTAGAAACTTCTATGAAGAGGCGGTTACTTTGGAGAGGGCGGTTACTTTAGAAGGAGCGGCTACTTTCGCGACTCTTCGGTAAATACTTAAAAAGACAGCTGCAATCAACGGGGGCGGTTACTTTGACGGGAAGGGTATTTTCGAGACTCTAAGATAGTAAACGACTTATCCGACGTAAGATAAAAACCATAACTCACCAATAAGAACAGATGGCTTGATGGCGTTCACAGCGTCAAGTAAATTGTCAATGTAGCCAGTTTCGTGGGCGTATTTTAACTTTGTCTCTGTTAACCCTCCCACGGTTCTATCCTGGAATAGATTATGCAGCAAACTTTTGCTACCAAATGAAATAACCAGAGAATTTTTACTTTGCTTGAATATGCAAAGCAATAGAAGGAGCTTGACATCAATTTACAGAGTTTTCATTTCTTTTCAAGCAATTCAATAAAGTCATTCCATACACGGGGGCGAAACTAGAACGCTAATTGGAGGGGGGTGGGTAAGTATTCATATATTCAGCTCTGCCCTACTGACATCTTTTGAAATTAAATTTGCAAACAAAAGAAATTAGCAGGGCAGAGCTGAATATATGAATATATACCCCCACACACCAATTAACGTCCTAGTTTCGCCCCTGTCCATACAGTGCATAAGTGCCTATATCAGGGTCAGGGAAATAGCTTCTTTAGATAGTTAATTGGTTTTGAGAACGTTTGCTATACATTTAAAAAGTCGAAAATTTTATATTAATGGCCTTTTCGGGCCTAGAAGTAGGTGACTCGGCGCCGAATGTGAAGTACACATGAGAAAACGCTCGCTTCGTAAAGTATAAACGCCGTATAGTGGAAAAAATGGCGTCTGAACAGTTGTACTTTTCAAACTTTTATTGTTTACTAGGAACCTGTATCATGAAAGCTATATCTTTATTCTTTAATACATGTGTTCACCTATATGCACGTCACTTTCTGCACTGAGTCAACAACTTCTAGGTCCAAAAAGCCCCTGAATATAACATTTTTGTCCTATAAAATATATTCCAAATGTTCTTTAAACCATTTCAACTATATAAAAGAAGTCTTTTCCCTGACCCTGATATAGGCACTTCAATAATTCTCAATCCCAGGAATTACTGAAAATGTTATAATTTGAATACATGATGAACTTGACTCAAGCCTCTCGGTTAACCCTCAACAATTCCAATAATTTATAGAAGATGTAAAATTTATTGGCTACAAATTTCGGATCAAGTCGAGGGTCAAGTGTTCCTTGAGATCTTAGAAAACTTTTGCTACCGATCATTTGTGTTTACATGAATGACAGACACTTAGACAGGCTGCTTAAAGATCGATACCCTAAAACCTTGGTAGAAGGCAGTTTAGCGGACACCAGAGGCGCCTACGTGCGAAGTGCGGACTCGTATTGTTATTAATTAGCAAGAATACACAAATTCGTGGTACGTTTGATTGTTCGAAGCACATGAGAAGGCCATAAGACAATGAAAATTTCCCGCTGCTTATCGCTCTCGGCCACTGTATTTTTTGGACAGCGACAGAGGTGTGCGCTAAACTGCAGTAGCCTCACTGGACACGTACTTTGACAACGAGTCCTTTCGAATCAATCAATGATATTTTCCCTCTAGCTTCATTTTCGTCAAGTCCTTCTTCCTTCATCGCGAGTACTAGCAAATTTGAAATGCCAATAGCTGCCTAAACAAAACAAAAACACGATGATGGTAATATTTAGAATGATAAAGTATTGGAATGATAAATAATTTCTGATTACAAATCCAAAGTTATGACGGCATACATTTTGTTTTTCCCAAATCTAAAGCTTGACCTAATATAAACATGCTGACCACAAGTAGACCTCGCAATAAATGCAAACATATCTTACCATATTCGATGTATGCTTAGTTAACCGGATCACAACAATGACCTGGAACTAAATCTGCTAAATATCTGGTTCGTGGCAATTGTATAGTTATGAATGTGGCAAACCGCCGTCTTCTAAGGTGGCAACTGACGATATTTACGACTAATATCTGCTTTTCTTGAGTTGATGTAGAGTTGGAAAGTAGAGTGACTTGGTTTGTTTTTTAAAATTTTTGGTAAGATTGGTTTTTTAAACCTTCTTTTAGCTTATTTTTCATTTTGAGTTTTGCTTTTTTCTACCTTTCAAGATGGCGTTGTTACACATTTTGTTTACACACCCCAGCAAACGTTCTCACACAATTTGTTTTACACGATCCAGCAAGCGTTCTTACATGTTTTGTTTTACACATCCCAGCAAACGTTCTCACACATTTTGTTTTAAACTATTCGCCAAGCATTCTTACATGTTTTGTTTTACACAACCCAGCAAACGTTCTCACACATTTTGTTTTACACGCCCCAGATAACGTTCTTAAACATTTTGTTTTATACACCGTGTGCAACGTAGAAAGAATTACCTCGCCTGCTCCCAAAAACACAAATGTATTATCCGAAAGTCGATTTTTCTTTGATAATCGTTGACTTGCAAGTACCCCTGCAACAGCAACAGCTGCGGTACCTACAAATCCAGAATGGCAGGCTTGAGACTCTGGAAGTGCTGTAATTTGACATAAGATTACCGCATGTAAGTCACAACCCCTATGTTTTGACGTTGGATTATGAGCGCAAGCTATCACTGCGAGCTTTGAAACTGTAAGCTAATACAAATCAGTTCATGCATAATTGTATAGAGTAGAAACTTCGAGAATTTCAAAACGTTAAAATTAGCTGATTTTTCCTGCGTCGTTATAGAGTGTTTCCATGCGAAGTCGAAGCGGCCATGTTGGACTATTAAGGGCAGATTACATGGGCGAGTTGTCCCGTCTTGGCGAGTTGACCCGGTTATCCGAGTTGACTCCGTACTCAGTTTAATGAGTAAAAACAACAGCTGTGAAGCAGTATGTGTGATTATGGCTCACAAGTATCAAAAAATACATTTGGTCCAGCAAAGTCGACAAAACAGATAGGCATTCATGCATTATTACTAAAAATTGCCTTTCCCTACAGGTCAACACCTTTTATGTAATTGCAATTTTTACTCGTTCGGCGAGTTGACCCATTTTAAGCGGACAACTCGCCCCATGTAATCGGTCCCTTTCATGAAAGTGCCGATGCTCAACAGAGCATGAAATTTACATGAATTCTTTAAACTAACTATATGGCGTTTTCGCCCAACATGGCGACCAATGAAAACACCTTTTTTAATTATTGACCAATTATCTTCGGTGTTTCATCTTGTTTTCTGCGCCAAAAACTGCTTTTACTTCAAATCAAAACTTTTCAACGACCAGAAAAATAAATTTCAGTTGGTTCGACGGAACTGAACTTCCGAAGGGATACTCTTTCACATCACCAACCTTGAATATCGTCGTTGAAAGTGCAAATCTTTGAACGATACTTTTCAAGGAAATGAAACGCGTTGTGATTGCCAAAGTCTTCGAATTGAATAAGAGTGTTCTTACCAAACCTTCAAAAATGCATTTTTCATTAAACGAGAGAAGAACTAGCAATGATTTTTTTTTCATATCGTCACCTGTCTGTCAAGGCATGAATCGTCTCGTCAATTAATTCATTATATTCTTCTCCCCTAACTCTTTTTTCTCGTATTCCAACATAAAATGGATCACCCAGCAGTTCCTACGACACGAGTATCAAGTCATTACATCAAATTTATTACAAAATTTACGAGTTTGTACAACTAATGTTCGTCTTATTTTCTTTTTTTACCTCTTCTTACATTGGTACACAATACATTATCAGTTCGTATTTTTGGTAATATGAAGAATGCTCTCGTTTTTCGTTATTGATTTATCACTACCCTCACTGACACAAATAATCTTAATTTATGTTTTATGCAGTGTAAAGACTGTTCTCATTCTCTGTTCATTCATCACTACCTACACTGTGACACACATTATCTTAGTTTATATTTTAGGTAGTGAAAGACTGTTCTTGTTCTCTGTTGTTCATTCATCACTACCTACACTGACACACGTTATCTTAGTTTATATTTTAGGTAGTGAAAGACTGTTCTTGTTCTCTGTTCTTTCATCACTATCATCTTCAACAATCGTTATCGTAGTCAAAATTTTAGTAAATACTGCTGACTGTTCTCACAATCTCATTCAGCACAAGCATACCAGGGTCTATTCACAAACTTCATTAAGATGAACCTGATTGTTAGTTCCAACATCTATCTGTATAGGCAGACACATTGCAGGATCAATGCCGGCGCATGCCGTACACAGAGCAAGTTTGCCCACAGGAATACCCATTCCATGGCAACCCAGATCGCCTAGACCAAGAATTCGTTCTCCATCTGTCATCACAACCAACTATTTAATAATAAAATGATATTTACTTGACTATGAAAGCCTTCTTATATCCAAACTTAAAACCCTCTCTTAACACCCAAGGCAACTCACTTAATTCCGTCATCTAAACTTCCTACTCCCCTCACATGTAATTTAACACCCTGTAATATATGCTTGTATTTAAAACCTCGTGTATATAATTTATCTCAAATAATCTGAAGTTGTCTTTCTTTATTTTATTATTGTGATGGCTTTTTTAAAAGTCTTATGTTGGGCTATTATGTTCATATTGAAAATTCGCTTTCCGCCTGGCAAATCTCAGGCCACGATTGTAAATGATCAAACTGAATACAGACATAATGACATAAGTTCATGTGAAACAAATTCCTCTTGTTCATGATTGAGAAGGCTGAGACGACGAGTCGTCAACAATTGAGAGGCATTAGTTCTTTAACACTATGCGATTATATAAAAGCACAATTAAGAACTTACTTTGACATTTTGCTCCGGCCAGTTTCCAACAAGTTGATTAACATGCCCTTTGTCTTTGATTGATATGAACAAGCCTCTGCAACGAAGTCAACAAAATACATAATTACTGGACTAGTTTTAATTATTGAAAAATATACCATTCACAAGTTTGATGGTCAGCTAAATGTTGCCATTATTGTTACAGTTATTGTTGTAATTACTGTCTTACATATGTTGACATGGCCATTTCACAAAGAAGACTTTAGACAAAAATGATGCAGGTTTGTAAATATGATATTATAGTTTAAATCATTTGACAATGCTGAAATTTTTCTGAGAATAATCATTTAAGGGTATAATGGGGGAAATGGCAGAGCCAGGCTGCAAATTTGGTCAGGCATTCTGTGTCCATTTACTGTAAAAACAATTTCTTTCTAAAGAAATGAATAATGATAATGCTTTGAATCCAATTTACAGAGCAGAACCAACTACTGAGTGCGAAAAGATGGGGAGGGGAGAGACATGTTTGAACAGGATACCTTCAGGTAATCAATATCCCTAAATACATTCATAATTACATGTCATGATTGAAGCAATTAGGCAGTCAAACCTAATTGGTAACAGATGTTCTATTAACAATTTTTTTGATGCTTTGTGTAATAAAACTGTCATTTTTCTTTTTTTATTGTAATCTCTAACTATATTCCTGCACATGTCATGGATGGATTTCATATTTTTTTACAGGAGGGTGCTAAATATTTTGGGGAGGTGAGCTGTTAAATAAGTAGCATACAACAAAGTAAGAGAGTAAGAACTTTAGAGGGGATTGGAAAGTGTAGCTAGCAAAAGGTAGTGTAAAGTTGAAATATTGCTCAGAAAAGTCACTGCACACTTGTTTTTCTAAAAAAATTGTGGGTTAACTGCTTCTTAAGGGTGTAAAAACTTTTTATTATGGGGGGAGGTGCAAAATGAAATTTGGGTGATGGCATTCCCCAAAAAATATATCCATGGTATATATTATAAATGAAGCCATTGATTATAAAGCATTTACCCAGCTTTAAATCAAACCAACCACATGTCTTAGCATGACTACATATGATATTGTGCATATCTGCACACATAGTAACATCCAGAAAAAATTTATTTTACATGATACATACTTTGGACTGGTGAAAATCTCTCCATATTTCTGGCAAGCTTTTCCCACAGTTGGTGTGTACACAACAGGCATCAACTCCACCAGATTGTCCATAAGCACTCTGTAGAAAAGCCGCTCATTTCTTTGAAGGAGAGCCATTAGATCTAGGTATTTATGCAAATCACTCTCCTTGCGAGAGAGTTGCAACATTATTCGTTGTGCTTGCAACTCCTGATTACCAAGCGTCGGTGGCAACAAGCCATGAATGCCCAATATCTGTCGCTCTTCCAAAGGAAAGCCTGTGCCCTTCATGTGATGGAAGATCATTAGTCATTACTATAGGAACACTGTTACTCGAGCTTGCTCAATGCATGAAATGCTTTGAAAGCAAGTTTAAAAGCTTGGCAACATAGCATCAAAGTGGCAAGCATTGATTTGCACAAAAGAATCGCAATATTGGCAGATGCTCATCTCTTTGAGGCAGGAGAAAACACGAGAACAGTGTAGGGTTGGAGGTGTTATACCCTCCCCCCCTGAAGGTTTTGTGAGTTTATCCAGAAACTGATATAGAACAAACAAGTTGGTCGTATTAAAATGATGGGCAGCCCTTTCAAACACAGACCCTAGAAAAGTCGATTACAAAACGTAGAATAATACACCTCAGATGAAACAACAATGAACGAAGTACAGTCACGAGACTAGGTTAGCGAAAAAATCAGTGAAACATGGCATATTTTATAATTAAACCCCAAGCAACAATGCCGATAGCCGTTATAATTCTCACGGTGAATCATTCAGATGACGCAGATTGAAGTAAATGCGACCGCATCACATTATAATATTAGGCGATTTAAAAATCTTCGCGAATAGTCGCTTCCGCTTTATAACCCTAAATCCGAAGGGCGAATTGCCAAAATGTTTCAGCTAATGGACAAATTAATTTTTTGATTTAGAAATTCTTTAAAATATACGAATTCTAATGAATATATCATGCGACAAACCTTGTTTAATCGTGGGTCTCGCATAATATCCGCTGCTTGAATGGAAGGGATTTTTGACATGTATCTTTGCGCCGTCCGTGAACATTTAGCCAAACCATTGCCCCAAAGCAAACTGCATTTCGCGTTGTTCATGCTTTCTTCGCTCCTGTAGCGTGAAGACATGTTTACGTACCGTTTAGCTTGTTATAGCGACTTATTTGACAAAGCTAATGGTATGGCAATTGGCAATAAAGCATGTACTCTAAGCTAGAACCCCACACCAAATTCACATAAGTAATTGAGTGGCCTAAGGTGATGAGTATGTTTGCTCCTGGCTATTGTAAAGTTGTAATAAGATCACAAAGTGTCACTCATTGAAATTTTAGATTTTTTTACTCACTTTGGACTTTTATTATTGTGGCATAAAAATAACATGGATAACTGCTCAATGTGGGTATGGAGTAAATTAAAGTGTTAAACTTGTGTGCAAAAGTACAAATCTCAAGCGTTTTTCAATTTTTCATGTGTTATCTTGAAGATACACATTATTTCGATCATTGATGGAAGGTAAGTCGCTATCGTGGATAGCCAAGAGACCGTTTTTAAACTGAAGACAAGCCAGTTAGCTAACCTGCAATAAACCCTGCCTCGTGCCAGTAAAATACAGAAACTCCTATCTTTATAGGTTCTCAAAAACATAGAATTCTTAGGACCGATGTCAATCCAAGTCCTCTCTTTGGTTACTTTTGTTGGATTTGACAAGACAGACATTTAACGTCGATTGCCACAAGATTTTCATGTACTACTTGCCCGAAAAAGGAACTTTTCTGTAAGGCAAAAGCCGAAAGGCTAATCTGTGGAAACTCGTCTGAAAAATTAATGTGTTTAACTTTTTAATTACCTTTTTAAGTACAAGTACAGCGTTAATTATTTGTACGAAGCGTTAATTGTTCCATTCATTACATTTTTAATTCTACTACGTCATCAGCTATGGTCGTGTCAGAGTTGTACGAGAGAGCATACGCATGCGCAAGTTAGCCAGTTGTGTACGTCTTGTCCCAAGCGAAGCTACGGAAAAATTTAGGAAGGATATTTATTCATTATAATCCTTCCCATCCATAATACAATTTCTCACAGGATCTTCTAAAAAGGGTACAATCGCTAATTACAGATAAGTTTATCGTTTTCCTAACGTTATTGTTCATAACTTTTGTTCCATTTATATAGAAACAATTAAAGTATGTCATCCGAATCATTAACCGATGACGAGCACGCCGTGTCTGAATTTTATGAAATCAGCGCGCCGCAACGGCCTGATAGTGCTCCCATTAGCGGTGAGTCACGTTTATACTCATTGCTTTCGGCTATGGAGGCTAACATGTCAGAAACGAATAAATATCTGAAAGGTATATTTGACGAGCATAATGCCGCCAAAAAGCGACCACGTGCGTCTATTGAAAACAATGAATTATTGATAATAGACGAAGGCGAACAGCATGAGCACTCGGCCCCAAAGAGGGCAAAAATTGCCACAAAGTCTGGGCACAATTCTGACGGCAATGACCGCTCATTTGACCAGCAAAGTCCTGAGTCTGAAAGTACTGAGGGAAACTCTGAGATTGTGCATGAATCAGACGATACTTTGAGTTTATTCGGAGGACCAGAAATTGATTCAGAAATTGAAAACGCGGTCGATAACGATGATCTTCTTTCTGAAATTGCTCAAACACTATCTTCTAAGGAGCAAACCGGGCCCCCCATTTCAGAAAAATTTGCAAAAATCATAAACGCCAAGCTTAGCGAAGATTTTGACGTTACCAAATTAAAAGAAATTCTTAATAAGTACCCTCGGCCTAAAAATTGCGAGCAAATGTATGTGCCGAGAATAAATCAAGAAATATGGCAAAAAATGAAGCCATTTACAAAAAAAGGGGATATCAAAATGGCGAATCTACAAGATTCCACCATCAAAGGTTTATCAGGGCTTGCTTGTAGCATTGACAACCTTTTACAATGCAGGGAAAATAAGACAATTCCAAATTATAGAGCTCTTATACCAACACTGCTTGATGTAACTGCTTTATTTGGCCTTGTATGCAAAGAATTTTCATACAAGCGCAAAGAGGCAATTCGGCCCATACTTCATCCTGATTTTAAACCGCTCTGTGCAAGGACTCACAAAGTGGGCCCTCTTTTGTTTGGGGAAGACCTAGCAAAATGTGCTCATAATATTCGAAGCTCTAGTAAGACAGTAATGAATCTTATACCCTGGCCAACAAACTATTTTTACAAAACGGTTTTCATCAACCCAATCACAGGCACGCAAGCCTTTTTTATACCAACAAGGGAGGGCACAGTTCCCTCCCAGAAAACCCCAAAACTTCCAGAACCGGAAAACATTCACAAAGAACTAGAGTTATTAAAAAATCAGGTAACACAATTTTCAGAATTTGTTGAGCATGTACTTAAACCTTATTTGACCAGAAAAGTTAATTCATTTCAGGCTGGTCAAATTAAACTATGCCACAATGAATGGGCAAAGCTTACTACAGACCCCGATATTCTTGAGATGGTTTCAGGGGCAAAAATTTCTTTTAAAGGTCTTAAACCAGTTCAGCACCAGTCTCCTCCTAACTCTCTTCCTAAACAAGGAAAAAGCGAAATCGATGAAGCTATTCAGGCATTGAGAGATAAAGGAGTAATTATTCCTAGTAAATTTGATTCTACTGAATTTGTATCACCTATCTTTACCACTCCTAAAAAGGATGGTGGCGTCCGCCTGATTTTAAATTTAAAGAAACTAAATGAATTGGTCGAGAACTTTCATTTTAAGATGGAAAATATCCACACTGTACTTAAACTTATCACAAAAGATTGCTGGATGGCCTCTTTAGATTTAAAAGATGCCTACTATAGCCAACCTGTCCATCCAGAATCTCAAAAGTTCTTAAAATTCCTTTACAAAGGAAAATTTTACCAATATACAGCATTTCCTAATGGCCTCTCCTCTTGCCCGAGGAAATTTACTAAGCTACTTAAACCAGTTCTGGCCACATTACGTGTAAAAGGTCACATTGTCATATACATCAATGATTTACTCCTGGTAGGCTGTTCCTATGAAAAGTGCCTTGACACAATTATACAAACCTTAATTTTATTAGAGAAGCTTGGTTTTGTCATTCACCCATTGAAATCTGCATTTATTCCAGTACAAGAAATAACTTTTCTTGGTTTTTTAATAAATTCACGAACCATGACAATTCAACTTGCCAGTAGTAAAAAAGAAAAATTGCTCTCCCTTATTAAAGCAATTCTAGCGCCCGCTAAAGTTCGGATTAGAGAGGTGGCTCAGGTAATTGGTCATATAGTATCAAGCCTTCCAGCAGTGGAATTTGGACCGCTTTACTATCGAAAGCTTGAGAAAGATAAAACTTTAGCATTATCACAAAACAAAGGCAATTTTGAATCGTTTATGATTATTTCCGATGAATCCAAAGCAGAGTTGAAATGGTGGCTAAAAAATTTAAAGGACTCTTTTAAATACATTCTATCTATACCAGTTGACATCGTCCTCTATTCAGATGCATCTCTGACTGGTTGGGGCCGCCCTAGGAAAGAGTACACTGGAGGAAACTGGTGCAAACATGAAACTGAATATCACATCAATATTCTAGAAATGAAAGCCGTACTATTTGCGCTAAAATCGTTTCTTTCTAATCTAAAAAATAAACATGTTAAAATGATGGTAGACAATAGTACTGCAGTGTTTGTCATAAACAATATGGGCACTAGTCATAGTGTCATGTTAAATACTACAGCATTAGAAATCTGGGAATTTTGCATAATGCACAAGATCAAAATATCTGCCGCACATTTACCAGGGTCAAAAAATGTAATTGCGGATAGAGTCAAGAAAATTGTACCGTGAAGGCGAATGGAGGTTAAATCCCGTTTGTATCAAGATTGCCATAAGCAAGTTTAATTTCCAGCCTGAAATTGACTTATTCGCTTCACGACTAAACAAACAGTTTAATCAATACTGCTCTTATCGATCAGACCCTGTGGCAACATATATTGATGCCTTCTCCATCCCGTGGAACAACTTAAAATTTTATTGTTTCCCTCCTTTCAGCTGCATCTTACAAACTGTTCAAAAAATTCTACAGGAAAAAGCCACAGGCATTTTGGTAATACCAAATTGGCCAGCACAACCTTGGTATCCCCTAATCGAACCAATACTTTTACAACCTCCTCATGTTTGTCCACTGTCGCAAAACCTGCTCAAACTACAAGCTGCACCAACAGAAGTGCATCCACTAGTAAAAAAGCTCGAGTTGAAAATATGTCTTGTGTCAGGCAACAACTTACGTCAATAGGTGTCTCTCCAAGTTCAGCAGAGATAATCATGGCCTCTTGGAGAAAGGGAACAAAAACCCAATACCAAACTTATATAACTAAATGGAGTCAATTTTGTGTTGCTACAAAATGTGAATTTTTTAATCCCTCTATTACCACAATCATTCAATTTTTAACTAACCTTTTTCATTCAGGGCTATCTTACTCTGCTATAAATTCTGCACGCAGTGCATTATCTGCCATATGCCAGACCAACAATCACACTATTCCATTTGGGCAACATCCTTTAGTGAAAAGATTCATGAAGGGTATATTTGAATTAAGACCTACATTCCCTCGCTACAATTCTATTTGGGATGTTAATATTGTGTTTAATTACTTAAGGAAACAACCCCCTATACATGAGTTAACATTAAAAGATCTTACTATTCGATTAACGTTCCTTCTTCTAATACTAAGTGGAAAACGAGGGCAAACTATCCACCTGCTAAATTTAACCGACATGGATCTATCTGAATCGAAATGTGTATTTTCAATCCGAGAAAAAATCAAAACAACTAGACTTGGTCATCATATTGCTCCTATTACATATGAAGCCTACCCTCATGAACCAGAACTCTGCATTGTACGACACCTGAAGGAATACATTGAACGAACTAACGAATTGCGCAGTTCTAATTGTAAAAAACTTTTAATAAGCTTTATAAAACCGCATCAAGCGGTTTCCCGGAATACTATCTCACGTTGGTGTAAAACATTAAACGCTGCAGGTATTGACACCAAAGAGTTTGGCAGTCACAGCACTCGAGCTGCATCCGCTTCATTTGCTGCAACACAAGTAGGGGATAAGACGAAAATTGTTGAATCGATTGGCTGGTCGAATGCAACCACTTTTCAGACATTTTACAATAAACCTATTAAGAAAACTTTTAATCTAGGTTCCACCATTTTACGGCAAAACGAAATTAGCTAAATCGTTATCTTTGGTGGAAAAATTTAAATTTTAAATATAATCAATGTATGTAAAATTTGCCACCATCTCTTTTTCTGTGGTTAACCTTTTTTGCAAGCAAACTACTTTGTTAATAGACACATTACATCCTGACTCCATTGCTTGCTGTGAAATCTCGTACAACTCTGACACGACCATAGCTGATGACGTAGTAGAATTTAAAAATTAAACGAAACTTACCTTAAGTTGAAGTTTGATTTGAATTCTACAAGTCATCAGCGGGGAGTGGAAGAGTTGTACGAGAGAACATACGCATGCGCAAGTTAGCCAGATTTCAAAGCCAGCCGGAATCCATTGCAAGAGTGGAAGAGTTTGAGGTGGGTAAAATTCAATTTGGGAATGGGCGTACAACTCTTCAACTCCCCGCTGATGACTTGTAGAATTCAAATCAAACTTCAACTTAAGGTAAGTTTCGTTTAATTTTTAAATTTTGTTTCGTCATTAACAAAAATAATTACTCCTCTCTAAAATCTATACCCCAATCTTCTTATCGTCGCAGTAGGACATAAAGGAAATTTCTCGCTAAAGTCCACTAATTTCCACTTTACTTTTCCATGTTTTCTCCGGTGACTACCAACTTTATTCGGAACTGATTTCTCCAGGGGCGTAGCGTGATATTTTGAACAGAAGGGTGCAAGGCTCAAATTTACTGACGAACACAAAGTACTTAGAGAGCAAATTTGGTGATTTAATACATTCAGAGGTCTAATATTAAACCATAGTATAGATTTTTGGGGTAGCGCATATCTTATTATGTGTGTGATTTCCATAGAGACAACCAGTAAATTGCATTTCTGACCAATAGGAGAACTGAGGTGACTTTGTTGCGCTTCACCGACCACTTCCATATAGCTTGCGGGGCTTAATACCCACACACCCCTGTATATTGCGCCCCTCGCCTCGGATATGTCTTATCGTAAAACACAACTCATAGAATGTTCAAAAACTTCAGATCTGTTTCGTTACATATACTTACATCTAACAAAAGCGTAACTGGAACGTTACTTTGGGAGGTGCATATTCATACATTCCATTGTGCCCTAGTGATTTCTTTTGAAAGTGATTTGAAATTCAAAAGAAATCAGGGCACAACTGAATATATGAATATACACCCCCCTCCCAATTAACGCTCTAGTTACGCCTCTGACATCTATTTGACCCAAAAAAAACTTTCTCAGAAAAAGCCCATATAGAATTTCAAATTCCCAAACCTCGAAATTAGTTTATTTTCTTCTGGGGCGCAGCCGTATCTTCTGTTTTGAAGAGCTCACTTAAACTTTCCACACATAGATCAAGCGTATCAATTGTCGTATCAAATTTTTCCTTTGTTATTTCACGTGGACTTTCAAGTTAATTGACAAAGGACAAAGGTCAAAACGTCGAAGACGTACGACCCACTTTTATAAAACGATTTTAGGAGGGCTTTTCAAGAGTCTCGCGGCCTTACCCAAGTACCACAGTGCTAGGGGAGGGTTTTAGATTTATACTATTCCACTTTAAAGTTAATTTTAGCTTTCCCCCAAAAAAATTAAAAGGCTACGCAGTTCGCAGTTCGTGAAAGTTGGAAGATCTTGATTCAATGCAAGTTTCACAAAGCATTACTTAAGTTCTAAACATTCCTTTTCAAGTTTAGAATTATTTTCTTCTTAAATTATACCATGAAAATGCTTTATAACGATAAACAATTTTGCAAGAATTTACTCTATAAGCGGTGTACGTACGTGTCAAAAACAGTCAATAACCTCCCGTCATGTGACCTGCTGTATTGCCCAAACATATACCAAGATGGCTGTTTATCGCTTTCACATAATACAGATGTGGCGCATAAAAAATCGTATCTTTTTATAACGTATGACATTCAAGAATATTCGACAAGTCGTTTATCAACACATATGGATCCTCTAGGTGCAATTTCTCAGGTAGTTGATGGACTAAATTTGCCCGGATGGAATGCTTTCATTCCACCAAACTACCCGTCACCATCGAATGTTGTTGCTTCAATATTTCCCGTTAGACAAGACTTGAATGAAAAAGTCACACTATGGTAAGTGTGGAGTATGGGTTTTTATATAATCATCTATTTAATTTCATCGAAAGAAAAGAAAAAGGGGTTAAGATTTTGCTTGCGATTTGATAGTTGTCGTTGACAGACCGCCAATTGACATTGTTTAGAATTCATTTATTTTGCCGTTCTACTGTCGTTTTTGAGAGATACGTAATTTTATACTCGCGTCTACAATTATATGTTTACGTTTAAAAATATTTCTTTCGAAAATCTCTAAACGATGATATATGTTTAGCAAAACAGTGTATAATGAACTTGAATGAGGATCCATATTGCATCAGTAATCAGTTTTTATCTGGGCAGCTACAGGTCAACTGCGTCCTTTTCGTGTTTAAAATTGTTTGGAATTCCTTAAATTACGTCAAGGGATCTTAAAATTAATTTTCACATGTTTTGTTGAAAGTGTTTGGCCAAATTCTGTTCATCCCGACTATTGTTTTCTCCTTCCTGTTGGATGTTTCATTCAAATCAAGTGAAAGAACCAATTTTTGATTTCATTACCAGTAGCCATTTCATGTTTTCTCATTTTTTGTTCAATTAGCTTGTTTTAAAACTAGTTGAGGCAATAGAAAACCATGAAATGCCCTTTATGGTGTAACTAGTATATGTAAATTGTTAATATTGCAGAAGTTTAAGCATGTATTTTTTGCCATTGTTAAAACTCCAATATTCACATTAACATGTTTTTTCTAATTTCAACCAATGAAGGATTGGTGATAACAGACATCTATTAAAGTTTGAATTTTAATAATTGGTTAGAACAATCAACCAACCAAGCAATTAATAATTGGTTAAAACAATCATTCAACCTTCAAACAACTCTTCCCAAAGGATGTTTAAATGACGGACAGAAGCATTTTGTGATGCTCTAAATGTTGTTAAACCACATGTCTGTCACATTTGCCCTGTGACTCTAATAATCTGATATTGTAATGTCATTTCCAGCTTGCAAGCTCTTGTGCTTTAAATTTTTCAACACAAATTCAATTTTGTTCACTTGCAGTTCTCAGGAAATACAAAATTGTTAATACATATAAATATTTGAACCACAAGGTGTTCTTTTTCCTTTTTTTATCAATTGATTAGTTTGTAATGTGTATACAAATAGCTAATGTAAGAGTTTAATAGCTTCTCATGCTGAGTTTTTGAAAGTAAATGAGCTTTGTGCTAAATTTAAACCATTTAAATTTAATCTAATGCTTCTATGATAGTTCGGTTTTTCCTTTGACTTTGCCCAATTTTTCGAATTTCCATAATTCTCAACTTTGTCTTGTGAATGTTTTCAACATAGGAAAACTGCAATTACTTTCAACGTTGCTAATTGTATGATTTTATCAGTTGGGAATTTTATGGCAACATCTCTTGACAACAGTTTTGCTTTTTTTTTAAGTTGTCCTTACCTTGTAAGTGAAAAATTACCTGAAAGTATAATCTATGATTTCATTATTATTAGCTATGAAAAACATTGTCTTGAAATAAAGGCTTTGAACTACTTTTTGCGAGAGCAGATATCAGTGACTATGTCAACTTTAAAATTTTATGATTGACAAGTATCAAACTTTCAAAGAAATCATCAAATTCCTTAGAACCATTAAAGTATCCTTGCTTTGCTTATGAAAGAAGCCTAGGCATCCTTTGAAACGTGTGAATTCTGGTATATTTTACTGTAGCTTTCCTTAGTGGAAACAATGTAGCTGTAACTGTTTTAATTTCACATGAAATACGCCATGATTTACTGCAAAAACATGACAGCAGCACTTATTTGTTGCCAATTACTAAGTATATTTATCCTTTGTGAAATTTGTCCGTACTTGACTAGCATAAATAAGTATTTATTTTTTGGATGTTTGTATTTACAAAAAGCAAAAGTTGACTGAGTGCAATATAATGTTTTTAAGTATGCAAGAAAACAAAACTAGCTGTTTTGCCACATGTGTTTCAGGAATGGTGACATCACAGCTCTTAGAGTTGATGCAATTGTCAACCCTAGTAATGAAACCCTCGATGATAAGAATCCAGTCAGTAATCATATCCATCGAGCAGCCGGTCCTGAACTATTGACATACTGCAAGAAGGAAATAAGAGGTATCTTCAATGATGGAACTTGAATTTACTTTATTGCACAAGATAAACTGGTATATTAAAAATTGTTTTTGAAGGCAATAATCATGTTTTAATAAATTTGGAAAATTATATTGTCAATGGTATCATGCCTGCTTCGGTTTCACTAATTGAATTGTATTGGTTTATTGAATGTAATTGGTTTATTAGTATCTCTTAGTTTGCCTAAAGTGTGTTTCTCTGTTCCAGGAAAGTTAATGTGTTTTCATGTTCTGGTAAAGTGAATTTGTTTCTATGTTTTAGGAAAGTAAATGTGTTTTTATGTTCTAGGAAAGTTAATGTGTTTTTATGTTCCAGGAAAGTTAATGTGTTTTTATGTTCCAGGAAGGTTAATGTGTTTTTATGTTCCAGGAAAGTTAATGTGTTTTTATGTTCCAGGAAGGTTAATGTATTTTTATGTTCCAGAAAGGTTAATGTATTTTTGTTCCAGGAAAGTTAATGTGTTTTTATGTTCCAGGAAAGTTAATGTGTTTTATGTTCCAGGAAGGTTAATGTGTTTTTATGTTCCAGGAAGGTTAATGTATTTTTATGTTCCAGGAAGGTTAATGTGTTTTTATGTTCCAGGAAGGTTAATGTGTTTCTATGTATCAGGAAATTTGATATGTTTTTATATAACGCAAAAGTTAATGTGCCGTCATTTACCAATTAGTTCAATGTAGTCACGAACTGTGTTTTTGGTCTGCTGTTTTACCTTGATGTTTGTTGATCGCTGACGGCTGAACGCAAACTCTTATATTCGCATACATCTGGTCGTGTCGTTGACAATGTTAATCCAACATTTTGCCTTATGTCTGTGCACAGTATGTTATGACAAACATGAAACTAGTTCTAGTATCTGCTTATCTAAGCAATGTTACGCTTGCTTAACTTAAACTATCGTTCAACATGTGAACAATGAATAGAGACATTTGTTTATCAGAGAGAAAGATCTACGGTGATTTTTAGCGAGGGTGATTTCGTAGATCTGTTCTGCAACTTTTTATGTGTCGATATGTTTTATACTATTTTCTTAAAATGAGATTCTGAATTAATATTTTGTGGAGAAATTAACTCTCTCTCTTCCGCCAACCATTCTGGCGAAATTGCATTCTCCTCGCTCCAACTCCCCCCTCAGCCCAATCTTTGATGTTGGTAAACCATACTGGATTTTCCTTTAGTTAGCAGTGCCTTCATCTGTTGCATGTTTTTGACATAATTTGGCAAAAGCTTTTGGCGTTCTTGTATCTGTTATTCATATCAATTATTTTTATGATATTTTAGTATGTCGTACAGGCGAAGCAAAACTTACTCAAGGATATAAACTTCCAGCAAGGTTTGTTGTTTGAATAGAATTTAAATTTACAACGGTAAATATTCAAGGATGGATAATGCTTTTGTAATGATTTTGTAGTCATATCCTAAAGTCTTTTCAACGTGATCTCAAAATTTGATTTAAAGCTTTCTCGGTTCTTTCTTTACCGAAGTTTGTTATGTTTTTATGTTCGTTATTTTTGAAGTACATTTATGTTTCAAGTCTTGAGATGTGATTGGTCGATGGCGACGAGTCATTTGCTTTGTACTAAGTCTGGAAGAAAATTAAGATCTTAAGATTAAAATATTTTAAATAAACAATCCTGAGAATTATTTGTCGTAAAATTATGATTGCCGCAAAGGCCACCTTTTTTTTTCTCTTGAAATAATTCTTCTGAAATAAATTTTGTGTTTGACTCTCACATGATCATTATATCAACTCCAGTTTTTGTTTTTTTGCAACTAATTTGTTACTGACAGATAATAGGTGCAAAGTAATGCAGATATCACATTCGATAGATTATTACACAAATTATCACATGAGAGTGTTTATTTGTCCTGTTTTGTCATGTTTGTAGCTTGAGGGATATATATATATCCTAAGGTGGTCGATTTATTTAGTAAACAGTGTTTCCTTTTTCTCTTGAAATTCCATTTTACAAAATTTCAATCAGCCAGATCATTACATAATTAACTTGGAAGCCTGACCGTCCTATGGAAATTAAGATCATTAGGCATTTCTCGTTCCTTTAGATTTGTATTGTTTTCAAAGCGAACAAATACCGTTTTAGCCCGACCAAATTTGCGGACGGGCAATGGTCTTGATAATCTTTGAAATGTTCTTATGTATAATTTCCACATTTTTGCCTAACAAGGAAAAATTAACCAATGATAAATCGATTTCTTAAGGCACGTCATTCACACCGTGGGCCCACGATACAATACAAAATACCAAACAGCGGCTGATAGTGCGTTGTACTTCTGCTACAGAAACAGTATGTTGATTGTAAGGTAAGTGGGATACTACGCCGGGGTTCAATTTATGCGAAATATGAAGCCTGCGTCGACTCGTGTTATTGTGTTTCTGTTAACAACAATTTACCTTTTCTGTAGACTTTATGAATTTTGTTGATATGTTAGTGTATTTTGTACGATGATTGGAGAAATAAATTAAATGGTTTGAATCCTAGAGTATCGCTACATATTTGTAGATGTAGATCGTCCAGGTTTGTAAAGTCGTGAGAAGAACTGTTAATGTTGATATTGATCGACGTTTCGACAAACTTAGCGGTAGTCATCTTCAGAGTCAAGTAAGGCGTAATTTGTACTTTTTGTCCTCACTTTACGCTGAGAATGATTACTACTAAAGTTGTCGAAAATTCTGTCAACATCAACACCAACATTCCTTCTTACCTGGACTATCTACGTTTACAAACATATAATTGAAGTGCTTTTTCATACTCAAAGTATTTACCAAATGGTGTTTGCACATGTTTACGTCGTTACACGACTGGCGAGCGAAAATTTAAACAAGAGCAATCGTCTATTTACTGCAAGTAGTGTTTCATCTTGCAAAAGTCTCGAAACATCCCAAGTGATTACATAGTGCAATCCTGTGCTTGGACCAATTTGACGATAGCGAAATTTAGCAAACACGACTTATCGTCTACGATGGCGTGAAATATATGGCCAGGTCATTTTTACGCCATTTTGTTGACGTCCTAGAGAATGGTGACGATACGTCGTGTTTGCTAAATTTGTCTATTATCTACTTTAATCCTGTCGTCAATTACAGGGAAAGAAAGCTGGCTTCTGTTGCTTTTCCTGTTGTGTATTCACCAAAACGAGGATTTCCTCCGGAACCTGGATGTCATCTTGCAATTCGTAAGTAATTTTCTCTTCGTAATAAACAGATTTTTATTGTAGGACGCGACGTCCTGGTAATTAATGCATCCCTGATAATAAATTAGCAATGATTAACTATAAACTTGAGCTTCACATATTCATTTTGAATTTTTGAGATAGAGCTTCATCATGTTTATTCCCGTATTTATTCTTATGTATTTAATCTTTGTGTGCATCGTTCTTTAAAGGTACCATCAGAAGATTCTTGGAACATTATGGCGATGGTGTAGATCGAGTGGTTTTCGTTGTTTCCGGTTCCAATGAGGTATTCTTTTTTGTTTTCGAACTCGTCTCTGTTTTTTACATATTTGAATTATTTTGTGTCTTTGTTTCTTGATTTCAAATCGTGTACACTGACCATATAGTAGCTATAGTTTCGTGGGAACATCATTTTCACCATAACAAGATATGGTGTATACGTACCATAGATGTATTATTGATGCATGCTTAGCGCACGTGTGGCCCGCGTCTTATATCCAATATAGCGAAACATCAAGGCAAAACTAATGTATAGGAGGTCCCAAGAAAACGGAAGCTGTACAATTAATAATTTGTGCGTTTAAAGGAAATCTGCATTAGATAATTTCGTCTGCAATGGCTATTTGTTCCGTTTATTTGTTCATGTTCGTTGCCATTTATGGAAAATACGATTACGTTTTTGTGGCTGTTATAACTCAGTTGATATCGCTTAGATTTCACGAAGCTTATGCGTTATTAATTTGAGACGAACATCAGTGTATACAATGCTTTTAACTTGTTTTGCTTTAAATACTTCACAAATCCTACGTAATCCCAGAGGTGTATTGCTGTCAAGTTCATTAAACTGTTTTAAATGCTGGATACATTATTGTGCATCATTATTTCAGCAAAACATACGTAATTAATTTATGTGGATTCGGGGGGGCACCGTGTAGATTGTGTGACAAATATTAGGATTATCACAGGTTTTGCTAAGGTTTCTTTCGAATATTCATCCGATCAAGTTTTATAAGAAAGAGAAACGATGAGGTCAATTTAGCATGTGTTTAACGAATGTAATGAAACTGAGAAAAATAGAGCAAGATGGTCACGTGATCCATTCTTGCGTTTCATTGCAAGAAATACTCAGTGCCATTTTAAGATCTAGCATGTCGAGCTTAAATGGGGTATCGTGTTTTTAAAACGTATATTATTTGTTTACTTCATGTTAATATCATAGCTGAGATCTATGAACACATGATACACATGGCATTAGGCATAAATTGACCTTAATACTTTAAGTTTATTTGTTTGTTTGAAACCGATGAGGAAGAATCCATCACCTCTGAAAGATACTCATAGATATGTCTATTCTATGATTGATGGTTCCTATCGACTAAAGATAAATGAGGTTAGTTGATTTAAAGTGCCTATATCACCCTCAGGAATAATATCACCAAGACGAAAATTTGATCTTCCTTGAGTTTTTTGGGTCTCAAAGTTGGCTTTTTTCGTGTTTGACCGTGAGGTGCTGTGACTGGGTCTAGTTCACCGGACGTGACGTACATTGGAAAGCACGCTGCTTTTGAACGCTGTAGTTTATAACGAAGTCAAGTAATTTATTTTTTAATAAACTTGAGTTATATTTTGCACTTTGTTATTGATTCACACTGTATTTCTATAACGTTAAAAAGAATCTTGGTCTCCAATGTACGTCACGTCCGTTGAACTAGACCCAGTCACTTCACCTCACGATCAAACACGAAATAAGCCAACAAAAGACCCCCCCAAAAGTCAAGGAAGATCAAATTTTCGTCATATAAAATAAATTGCAAATGATCGTAAAATAGTCGACTTTGTCAAACTAGACAATTTCTCTGAGGGTGATATAGGCATTTTAAGCTAATTTTAGCTGTATTTTTGGCTAGTACTAAACCATTATGTTTCACTGAATATAGACAAATAGCGATCGCTAGATGCTTGTGCGACTGAATTAGAGTAACAGACTGCACTAGGCATGTACTGTATTAAACTATAACATGCCATCATACCAAACCATTTGCTGCATTCCTTCCACTCAATTTCCTTGACATATTTAAGTCCTGGGCTTGTGACCGGTATAGTCGCTTTAGAAGTTAACGGACGAAATTCAAGGCATCATTTATACTCAATCAAAGAATTCAGCTTTTTGGAATTTCCATCTTTCATTTGTAACTTAATATAATCAAGCGACAATAATGCGTCAAATTTCAAGTACTAAACACTACGTTCAAGCATGTTATAGTTTAGTGCTCACCTCGTAGAATTTGTTACTCTAAATTTATTTTATTTTTAATGGAAAGTGTACAATGTAATTCTATTTTTTCTTTTTCTAAAGAAACCTTATTGTTAATACAAAAGAGAAGAAGTGCGAAAAGTCATTTTTGTGATAAAATCCATATTGCCCTCTTCTTTCGCCATTGTCGACAATGTCGACATCTCATGTAGACTCACAATTTTCTCAGAGTTTCTCTTTCTTTATTGAACGGGATAATCTTTCGAAAAACCTTTCTTGATATCTCCTTATACAGTAAACAACAGTTTTTTGTCTATCAAATGTATTTATCAAAAATGTGTTTATCTGGCTCGCGATAGAAATTTGTCGTATGAAAGATAGTAATATAGTTCATCATTGGTCTCTAGACTGGTAAGCTTAACGACACTTTGTTTATTTCTGTTTTATTAGGTCATTTACAAAAAGATCATGCCACTGTATTTTCCAAGGAGCAAAGCTGAGGAACAATTCTGCATGGACCAACTTCCTTCTAATTTAGGTTGGTTGAAATCCATTACTAGCCGACAATTTTATGTAGTATAATATGAAACATACTCCGAATAAAAAGTTCATGTTTAAAGTGCCTATGAAATGCAAATGTTGCAAGTTAAATTATGTTTAAAATGACTAGAACTTTTGAAATGACAGTATACTTTCTAAAACAGTTAAAGCATACCTCTTATTCTCGAGATTTTGACGTTTTTGCTATTTCCAATTTATGCAACTTGTGACGTCATGTTGCATAATGAGTTCCCACAATGTTTCAAATACTCTTCAGTTTCCTGACAACTTCAGGTTGATGCTAGTAGGCAACATTTTTTAGCATTAACACGTCACAATGAAGGGAACTCTGCCCTGGTGAAGTAAAGTATACGTAGATAAATATACCTAATATTTTTAGTTGTCATTATGCAATGTGACGTCACAAGTTAGATATATCGGACAAAGCAAGAACCTCAATATCTCAAGAATTAAAAGTGATATGCATAAACTTGTTAGAATGTCCATTGTCATTTTAAAATATCTCTTGAATAAGAGTATTACTCAGATAGCCAAATTTTTGTTCCATTGGCAGTTTAACTCAATATTTAACAAATAAACCAGAATATTTTTTTATTTTAACAGTAATATTTCAAATTTATTGCAAATTCATGATCGGACTCTATTTACAAGCTAACTGGGGCTCTATCATTAATGAAATGAAAAAATGGATCTTTTGTATGAAAATTTCAACCTGTTTCCACATAACGTTAGCGTATAGCATATCTAAAAAATAACTGCTCATCTTTGAAATCAGCCTACATTAAGAATAATTCAGGAATAATTAATTTCCAAAGAGATGTAAACGCAAGTGAAAAGGATTTCATGCTTGAAATCTACAATGTGCAATAGCTGCAATTTTTATGTATTGTTTTCAATTGTGTTTAACACTTATTGGGGATCAATTTTTACTGAATCATGCAAATTTTAAACGTCGGCTGATTTCAAAGATGAGCAATTTTTCGAGACATCCCGTAGATATAACATACATTCAACGCTTATCTGTTATATTATGTGAGTAGAATCTCATTCGAGTTGTCAAATTGTCCTGTTTTTTTCTCTCGATCGAATCGAAAATGTTTTTTACAGTAGAGTTTAACGTGAACATATTGTTGTTTTGTTATAAGAAATTGTTTTTACATCTAGGAAATGAAATGGGCGAACCGGTCATCGAAGAAAGGAGTATTAGAATTTCTGATCAACCGTTTAAATCTAAAGGTGAGGCAGACTTGTGTCCAGAATTTTTTTTGCCAGGGTGCTCCAATGTACGTTTTACATGAATTTTTCTCAAAGCGGAATTTTCAATAATACGTTTCGTATTTCGGATTTGCGGTTCAGGAGAATTTAGATTGCAACATCTGACCATTTTTGACAAGAAAGTGGTTTGTGTAAGAAGTCAGGTTTCAACATCAGACTGCATTTAATGAAGGGACTAGACTGCAGCATGTACCTCATATTTCGTCATTAAATCATTCGTGATGAAAACACTAGACTGGAGCATATATGTACTTAAGTTTTAACGTCAGATCACCTCAAGTGAGGACACTGGAATGTAGTATAAAAGTACTCGAGTTTCAACCTCAGATCACTCCTGATGAAAACACTAGACTGGAGTATATAAGGACTCATGTTTTAACATCAGATCACTCCTGATGACAACACTAGACTGGAGTATATAAGGACTTAAGTTTCAACATAAGATTATTCCTGATGAAGACATGAAAACACTAGGCTGGAGTATATGAGAACGCAAGTTTTATCATCAGATCACTTCTGATGAAGACACTAGTCTGGAGTATATAAAGACTCAAGATTCAACATCAGATCATTCCTGATGAAAATTCCCTGCTGCAGTATGTAAAAGCTCAAATTTTAACATCACATCAACCGGATCTTACGTGTTTCATTTCATCGATCCATTGTTATTTACATGTGGTAACAATTTTTCTTTCGTTTTTTAAATGTTAACCCTTTTTAGCAAATTCAGACAACGTGAATTCAATACGTCACACAGAAGACAACATTACCGAATACGAGAATATTGGTCGACATTCCTTCGCGCACATGAACGGTGATCACGATGTTATTTCACACGAGAGGTTGAACTATAAATCGCAGGAGGAAATGAGAATGTACGAGCAACAAAAAATGTAAGAAAACCTCCGTAATCTCTTCTCTTTGGTAAATGATATAATTTAATGATGGACTTTAAAGGAGGTCAACCGTGTATGTTGTGGGAAACCTGTGAAGGAGGCTATGGGTGTATGTTGTGGGAAACCCGTTAAGGAGGTTATGGGTGTATGTTGTGGGAAACTCATGAAGGAGGTTTTGGGTGTATGTTGTGGGAAAACTGTTAAGGAGGTTATGAGTGTATGTTGTGGGAAACTCGTGAAGGAGGTTATGGGTGTATGTTTTGGGAAACCTGTTAAGGAGGTTATGTTGGGAAACCCGTGAAGGAGATTATGAAGGAGGAATGGAAGGAGGGTGGGAAACCCGTGGAGGTTATGGTGGTGTAAAGTGAAGGAGGTTATGGGTGTATGTTGTGGAAACCCGAAGGAGGTTATGGGTTGTGGGAAACTCATGAAGGATGTTATAGGTGTATATTGTGGGAAACCTGTTAAGGAGGTTATGGGTGTATGTTGTGGGAAACCTGTTAAGGAGGTTATGGGTGTATGTTGTGGGAAACTCATGAAGGAGGTTTTGGTGTATGTTGTGGGAAACCTGTTAAGGAGGTTATGAGTGTATGTTGTGGGAAACTCGTGAAGGAGGTTATGGGTGTATGTTGTGGGAAACCTGTTAAGGAGGTTATGGGTGTATGTTGTGGGAAACCCGTGAAGGAGATTATGGGTGTATGTTGTGGGAAACTCGTGAAGGAGGTTTTGGGTGTATGTCGTGAAGGAGGTTATGGGTGTATGTTGTGGGAAACCGTGAAGGAGGTTATGGGGTATGTTGTGGGAAGGAAGGAAGGGTGAAACCGTGAAGGAGGTTTTGGGTATGTTGTGGGAAACTGTGAAGGAGGTTGGGTGTATGTTGGGAAACCCGTGAAGGAGGCTTTGGGTGTATGTTGTGGGAAACCCGTGAAGGAGGTTATGGGTGTATGTTGTGGGAAACCTGAAGGAGGTTAGGTGTATGTTGTGGGAAACTCATGAAGGAGGTTATGGGTGTATGTTGTGGGAAACTCGTGAAGGAGGTTATGGGTGTATGTTGTGGGAAACCCCTTAAGCAGGTTATGGGTGTATGTTGTGGGAAACCTGTGAGGGAGGTTATGGGTGTATGTTGTGGTAAACCCATGAAGGAGGTTATGGTGTAAGGGGAAACAGGAGGTTATGGGTGGTAAACCCATGAAGGAGGTTATGGGTGTATGTTGTGATAAACCTGTGAAGGAGGTTATGGGTGTATGTTGTGGTAAACCCATGAAGGAGGATATGGCACTGATATGTATACTACACTGGATAACGCATCATGTATAAAATATAGTACGAAAATTGAAGCCGGAAGTTGGCTCATTTGCTTACGACCTTCGTTGGGGTATCGGTCCCACGTTACTATACTTCTATTACAATATCTTAATTTTTGCGTTTTTATTTTTTCTACAAACTTTCGATTCAAGAAAAATTTTTATGAAAGGAACAGGACGATCGGAAAAGATCTTTAATCTTAAAAAGTTTTGTCTTCTTGTCTTTGTAATGCCAGAAAATTGAGATGGTACAAGGTCGATTTGCATTGTTTTGAGACGAACCGAGGATTATATGTTGCTGCTGCTTCTTCTTACAATTGTGGAAATAGTACATTATCCTAATACTGTTACCAAATTTTCATCTGCAACGCGATGTTCATGGAAGATTGCTACAAAGATTTCTTCAAAACATTTTTGTTTCTTGACAAACTTAAACATTAGACAACACTTTCTTTCGGGTTGTTATTTACATTGCAAAGATCATAATGAATTCAAGATACGTCTTTATTATATCAGTAAAGATACAAAACAAATCAACATAGACAAATAATCGGAAAGAGATTTTGATAAGCATCGGTAAGTTGAAAGCGGTATCATCAAACTCTACGAGATGTACATCATAAAAATATGCGAAAGTGCGTCTCTGTGTTGCATTAAGCAAAGCAAAGTTTTCAACCAGTTCCTTTGTGAGCAACTTCAATATCGGTGAATGCATTGCATTTATGAATACCTTTGTTCATACTTTTTGTAATTTTCGTATTCATCTTCAAAAAAATGCCTCGCACAACAAAAATTGTCCTAGTCAACTTCAACTTTCAAATTTCAATACAACTTGCCATCTCAATTTTGCAGTCGTTACCTAGCAAAGAAAACAGAATTTTAGGGTTAAAACTCTCTGCCGGTTTTCCTCTTTATTTCATGAAAATTTTGCCCTAATCAGAAGTTTGTAAAAGGAATAAAAACGCCAAAACTGTGATTTTGAAATACAAAAATATAGTAAAGTCAGGAGTAAATGATCGATCGGCTTCAGATGAAATTCTCTCGTTATAATTCATCTTATCTTTTGCAGTTACGCGCGATGGTTAAAAAGAAGTAGAACCGACGATTTTTCCGATCTCAAGAAACTAAAAATGATATATCACTGTGGTATGTGCTTGCTTACTTGCTTAGTATTGTTTTGCTTTGTAAATTTTCCTTGCTAATAACACTTAACAAACATCTCCATGTTATTTCGAGCCATATTTATATAGTGAACCAAACGGTCTAGAACTAAGATGTAGGTGAGAGTCTTAGTGCGCTTTAAGATGAACTTGTTCCATCTTTTTTGATCATCCACAATGGTTAGTTGATCTTGTAATGAAACCGCTTGATACTAACACAGTATAGTGAATAGACACTAGGGGAGCCCTCCCCCCTCCCCAGTAATTTTGAAAGATTAATAGTCTTGCCCCAAATTCTCAAGTCACACCTGCATAACATCACTGTGATTATTTGGTAGACGTCTGTACGGTAAACGTACCAGAAGGCGTTATGAACGTTTTTGTCGGTGTATGATTATGTGTACGCAGGAATCCTTAAATCAAATTTCGAGAGATCAAATTTAGAAGTAATCCTATAGGCATGTCCTGGGATCTCCCTAGATATCTCATGCCCTGAGCAAAAGCTACCCCATATGTGTCCGCCACTGCACTAGTGCCACTCCATTTATTTTTTATATCGTATTGCGTATGGGATTACCATTTTGGCAGCCAGTCAATCGCTTTTTTTGACCAATAGGAATGATGAAATAGTAAACGGCAACTAGTAATTTAATATACAGCAGCCAGTTTCACATGAAGTGGAATGACTATGGTACTCCTTATACTATCGTATTAGTTTTTTTTATTCGGTTTTCTTCGCTTAATTGCATACATCAAATCAGAGTGAAAGGTCTACTCGTTCATTTGAAAAGTTGCTGCACCCGTTAAAAACAGGGATTCAATATACGAGAAAGGTTTAAACAAGAAGCTAAATTTATCGGTGTTCGTCATGTAACCATTGTGGACCCATTTTTTTATGTTACAAACTCACCTCATTTTGTTTTTGCTTGTATCAAATACATGCTCAAGCACACCTCATTTTGTTTTTTCTTGTATCAAACACATGCTCAAGCACACCTCATTTTGTTTTTTGCTGGTATCAAACACATGCTCAAGCACACCTCATTTTGTTTTTTGCTTGTATCAAACACGTGCTCAAGCACACCTCATTTTGTTTTTTGCTTGTATCAAACACATGCTCAAGCACACCTCATTTTGTTTTTTGCTGGTATCAAACACATGCTCAAGCACACCTCATTTTGTTTTTTGCTTGTATCAAACACATGCTCAAGCACACCTCATTTTGTTTTTGCTTGTATCAAACACATGCTCAAGCACACCTCATTTTGTTTTGCTTGTATCAAATACATGCTCAAGCACACCTCATTTTGTTTTTTGCTTGTATCAAACACATGCTAAAGCACACCTCATTTTGTTTTTTGCTGGTATCAAACACATGCTCAAGCACACCTCATTTTGTTTTTGCTTGTATCAAACACATGCTCAAGCACACCTCATTTTGTTTTTTGCTTGTATCAAACACATGCTCAAGCACACCTCATTTTGTTTTTGCTTGTATCAAATACATGCTCAAGCACACCTTATTTTGTGTTTTGCTTGTATCAAATACATGCTCAAGCACACCTCGTTTTGTTTTTTGCTTGTATCAAATACATGCCCAAAGTCAGTTTAAAAGAGACATTAGTTCAAAGGATCTGTGGCTGTTTTAAAAAAAAGAGACAGCATTCCGGCTATCACTGCCGTTGTTGAGCTAGGCTTACTGGCTACTTAGCGATATTTCCGACGAAATATTGAGGCATATGCTAAAGTACAAATTGCACATTTGCAATAAAATGTTTCTTCACGCAGCATTGATTTTTGAGAGAAGGCCTTTCTTTACAAATAGAAGTAAAAACACTATCAATTTGATAGTTTTCAAGCTCTGTATATGTGTGCTTATGGTAAAGATGTTTGGGAAGCGCGTGTTTACAGGAATGCGTGTTATTTGTTTAGGACACGACGCCATCGGTCGACCAGTTGTTATCGTTATCGGGAGGCGATACTCAGACTCATCCATCGACAGTGATAAAGTATGTGAATCGTGTAATCGAATGAATCGATTGTATATTTTATAGTTCAAACTGTGTCTCGTTTGAACGTTGTAACTAGCATGAAATGATTAGCCGTCGAATGCTTCTGTTTGCGCGGCATTTGTTTGAAAGAGTATTTTATGTGAACATCGACAAACAAAAGACGAGCTTTTGTGGTTTTCCTTTCTAGCTTGTAGGTTACCTGTGTGGTCTCTTGGACAAACTGGTCAATCAGGAATATAGCATTGTTTATTTCGATACGATGTGTCTGGCTGAAAATCATCCTCCGTCGAGTTTTGTCAAATATGTGTATAGAATGTTAGATGCGAAGTAAGTATACAAAAATGTATTTGTAGTATCAACTTGAACGATGGCAGCCATGCAGGACGCACCAGTCCTTTTTGCGCATTAATGTCGACGGAAGTATCAAACAGAAACATAAAATATTCCCCCATTTGAATCGAGAAAGTACAAATATAATTGCACGAATAATATCCAAACATCAAATTGAGTGAAGGTGAAATATAGCCACGTGCGACTGCTACGACCCCGCGAACTTTTAATGAAAATGAAGTCTCCCCGGGCCTTTCTACTGCATGAAATCCGCACAAAGCGTTTGTTAAGGAGTTATAGTTCTAGTTGATATTACCGGTCACTACCGCTCTTGGTTTCCTGGCAACACTGCTTCATTCTCTCCCCAGTCTTTTCCACAGCGTTCTTCTATCGTCTTGTCCCCAAACGATTTATTTTTTCCATCGCAGATAGTAAGAAATTTATAGTTCTGTGGATATTCTTATTTTTCAGTGAACATCCTGCTTCCCTGCCCCTGATGTCAACTACCCTCTGCGTTCTTCCCTCCTATAGTCCCGTAATGGTGTATTTTTTCAATGTAGATACGTTAGGAATTTAAAATATTTCTATATCCTGCATCCAACATTTCGGTCGAAGTTTATGTCCTGGTGGTTTACCACGTTTACTGCACCGGAAGTGAAAGACAAAGTCCGTTTCTTGACTGGTGTCGAGTATCTATACGACGCAATCAATCCTGAACAGTTGGATATTCCGCAGTTTATTATAGAATACGATGAAAAGGTTTGTTTTCATATTTCTATGTAGCAAAAAATGCTTGTTGTATCAAGGATATTTTGTGCAGATGTAGTTGAGCAAAATGTTTTAGTGAAAAGTGAAGGATGTTTACTGGAAAGAATGACTTAGCTGTTAAGTATGTAAATTTTAGTAATAACTGGCCACTAAGATGTTTTAGTTAGAAATTGTTTTAATAGAAAATATGCTTTTCTTGGATTAAAGGAAAATTAGGGAATTCGGTATGATGTTGTAATTGGTTGAATCTAAAGAGGTTATAGAAGGTGTCGTGGTGATAATATGAAAAGATCTTGCATTGGAAAGATGTTGTGATGAGATGGTATTGTGGTGAGAACGAAGTTGTGGTGAGAAAGATGTTTTGATGAGAACGTTGTTGTGGTGAGAACGAAGTTGTGGTGAGAAAGATGTTTTGATGAGAACGTTGTTGTGGTGAGAGCTATGTTGTGGTGAGAACGATGTTGTAGTGAGAAGGATGTTGTGGTGAGAAGAATGTTGTGGCGAGAGCGATGTTGCAATGATAAGGATGTTGTGGTGAGGATTTTGCGGTGAGAACTTTGTTGTGGTGAGATGGTGTTGTGGTGAGAACGATGTTGTTGTGAGAAGGATGTTGCAGTGATAAGGATGTTGTGGTGAGAGCGATGTTATAGCTATGCTGTGTTTCAAAGTCGCTATACTATTAATCACCCAAAGTTTTTCACAGTTGTGTGTAATTCTTCATGTCTGCACAATTTTTCAGTTAAACGGAAAGAATTATTATGCTGACTGGAGACCGCCGACCACGTCCGATCTTTAACCGATGGCCAATGAAACGAATTTACGGTATTGTGGCTAATAAATATTGTATTTTTTGGAAAGTCGTCAGCGAAACATGTTAGAAAAGACTGAGACCAACGTTTGTTGCAATAGGTATTGAATGTTACAAACTAGAGTCTGACGTAAGAACATTTCGTCTTGATTCTCGGTCGTTCTTTGAACCGTTATGCTTTGCTGGCATTGAACTTAACGAGATTCTTCGTTTACTGCGAGCGATATGTGATTTTGTTTTTCCCGCGCCATTTCACGCAAATAGTTTGAACTACTGGATTTACAAATATGACGAAACATGTCAGGATTTGAAGAGTGAAATTGCTTTTCACTTGCTTGGATTTTTTTATGCTCGTTGAATTCTCAAATGTGTGCTCGCATTTAATGATAAATTTATATGCTGAATTTATATGCTGAATTTATATGCTGAATTATAATTAATTAAAATAATTATCACCTCATTTAAACTATTTTTTGGGCAACATCTTGACGACATACACCATAAATCGCTACTTAGTGCGTCACCGTTGACTAAGTTTGAGACATAGGTACGCTTTGGCGTATGCCCGTCTACTGAATCTTTTTGAAGGAATAAAAACGACGAAATTGCTGCTACCACTATGTTATATACTTTATATCTCTTCATATCATTGAAATCTGGACTGGTGAAGCTCAAGAAATGTAATTTTCGATAAATAAAAATTCGTTTCGTTTGTGCACATAATCTTGACCCTCTTCTGAAAACTGTTGAAGCTAAATAGCTGAAGATACAATAACGATGCTAGCTTCTCAAGCCATCGCAAACATCAATTCTTGATTTTCAACCAATTCTTTGGGATTAACCAAATAATAATATTCGCCCACGCCTGCTGGAGTCGACAACAGCATCGATAAAACATTCTTTTGTATCACACCTCCAACATGGCTGAAGTGAAAAACATCAATAATATTTTGTTTGATCGAGTAATACGAGAAACTTGAAACACTGTCTATGTATTTATTCCAGTTCAGTACACTCTGCTCACAGTACTTTGATAAGTAAAATTATAAAAAATTATTGTATTTTTCCTGCGAGTCTTATATGCATTACTAATCTTTTTGTTTTGAATTACCGTGAAGTCAAAATGACAAAAAATAGAAACGGAAAATACATGTCAAACCTTGTGCATTGAATACAACGAAATATTGCTATCGCTATGTGTGAAGTGTCCGTCTGCGTTCAAATATCATACATAAGTCATTTGAAATCGGCACAAAATCGTCGGGACATGGTCTTATCAAAACGTTCTTAAGAATTGTTTATATTACAAAACAACACGGCAGAAACTTTCACTTATATATGATATTGCCTGTTGTCATCTATTTATACGGAATTAAACATGGTATAAGTTGGGTGAACGAATTATCGATCCGTTCGTAAAACTTCACAGAAAAGTTATGCAACTAGTTATAAATAAAACGCTTTAAATGTTATAGCTACAAATGCAGGCTCAGCATGCGAGCGCATACGTTAATCATATCTCGTTAGTGGGAACGAGTCGACCAATCTCAAACAATTTCAATTTGGCGTTTGTATTATGTAGACAGCGTGTCTCAAAAAAAGACTTTAGAAATTAACCTCTGGTAAAATTTCAATACCCGATCACTACGCTAATCTCACTTGCGCATTACTCGGCGTGTTTTGCTGTTTAAATTTTTGTCGAATTCCTAGGAGTGGAAAAACTTCTGCGCTTGTACCAAACGTATAAAATGCATACATGCAGCTGACAATCTTATGCAATCGCATTCGTGGGCTTAGCGTAGTGACAGGTAATCTAATGATAACAGCGATTTCCGAAGATCCTCTTTTTGAAACCCGTGTATGTTATTGCAAACATTGAAATGTGTATTATATGATTTTAACTATGTTCATAATTCTACTATATTTTGTGGCAAGGGCGCTGTGTAAGGCATAAGGGGAAACTTTCGACCGTTTTGCTCATATTTATTTAACGATTAAAAGTTATAAAGCATGCACTTTATAAAGTCTTTAATTATGATGTTTGGTATACACGTTTCACATTCCTGCGCAAAAATAATTGCACTCAACTATGTCCTCTAGAAGATTGCGAAAGACTTTTTAGAGCGACTGTGGGAAATAAAGAAAATTATAGTTAGACGTGGGGTTAATTAAGTGGATTTTTGTCTTTTTTTAAACTTCCTCTTGTTGCAGACTCATTTGTATTTAACAGCGATCTGATGTTTATAAGGGAATGTTTATCATCAAAGGTGTCGATTGTCGAATATTTGGACATAATTGGAAAGGTCTTTCTATTATAATCCAAGTGACATATTTCATGGGCTTCCTTCAGCATCATGATTGAATACCTCTTTGTTCCATCCTGTATTTGTCACTTTTAAGCAAACATGTATTCCCTAGCCGTAATCTTCCAGAAATTTGAGAAAAAAGGAAGGTATATAGTTTGTTTCTTTGGGCTTTGGTTCATCATTTCGAATTCTTCTTTTTATAGCCTTTTTACCAATGCATAGTTGTAATTTCATTCTCTCTGAATTTCCTTGTAACTTTAGTTTTCTCATGTGGTTTTTGCTCAGACCGAACAGGGCTTTGTGTACACCATAGTAACTCTTAATGACGTTGATAATTTTTGTCAATTGTATAGTGAAAAAGCTTAGTCTTCATGCTCGTTTGAGAAACCGTTCAGCTAGTTTTTATATGATTGTCGTTTCGCCATATACATTCGGGGAAAATGAGCTGTTTTTGATATTTAGTAAATTTTTGTGTTTCATTTAGCAAAGCATTATAACGATACTCATGATTGATGTTTTTAACGTTGGCCGTGTTGCATGTCTTTTACAAACAAAAATTTTATCTATGCTATTGTAGACTCTAGCCGGCGTGGGCGAATTATATTATTTGGTAAATCTCAAAGGATTGGTTGCAAATGAAGAATATAAAAATACGAACACGATAGTGAAGCTAATATATGCATGCTAAAAGCATTTGTAGCGGTACTTGATTAATGTACGCTAAAATGTTTGAATTCGATGTCAGTAAAAAGTCGACAGTCGGTTAAAATTTCTCAATTTTGTTCAGTTGCATAGTCAGGCCGATCTTTTAATGGGAAATATTCAGCAAAATTATTATTTCTTTACAAAATTGATTCGATTCGTTGTTTTTCCTGTCATTGATCAAAAAAATATGTGCATAGTAGGAGTTAAAAAGGGCTGGCTTCGCTATTATATTGTCGTTTGCCAGGCAAAAATGTGTTTTTCGAAAGTGCTTTTTTTGTCTTCAAGGTTTGGAAACCACCTGTGGGCGCAGACTATTCAATACTGTCGTAGATTGTATAGTAATTTATATGATTAAGTGACCGCTATGTTCTCTTTAAAAATGCTTCCAAGCTTTTCGATTAAAGCAAATGTCGCTTGTCACGAATTATAATTTTCTCGGTAATCATTATATTTTTTTTCTGATTTGTCGGTAACGGTATGCAGTTAATTATATACCTGCTTGTCGCTAGTCGGTAAACCCCAAACAACCGGCCTAACGCAGACATTGCCTCCAACCAAAAGACGTAGTTGTTCCTATCAATGGCATTTAATAAGAAATCGACCCGCTGACGTCGTTATGATTGCCATTTAACGAGCTATAAAAATATATCAATTATTAACAATGATAAATTTGGTATCCCAGTGGTTGGTTAATTTATCATACTGACATCTTATAAAAGATAAAAGATCGTGCGTCGTAAATCAGACCCCGAGATAAATTTAATGTATATGACATACTTAGTTGACGAAATCTGTTTTGTTACTTTCGATGACGTAAGATGTGTGTCAGACGCTTCAAGCGTACTTATTACGGTAGCATTTTGTAGAAACCAAACTTTCTGAATCACTTTTGGATGGAGTTCTAACTATCATAATTGTCTTCAATTTAGGCCACGAAAAGAGTACTTTATACATTCTTTGAAAATATTCTGTTTTTTCCCCTCTTTTTTCATGTTTCCCGGTTTCCTCCCCTTAACGGCATTTATTTGTTTCGATTTATTCTAAACTCTGTAACGCTATATCTTACCGTAGTTCACATTGCCATCATTATGCTGTTATTTAAAAATAGATTAGTTGGCTTTTCGCAGACTTAAACTTAACTTAGGCGCGTCATCGCAAACGCGTTAGAGAACGTGATAATTATTGATTTTTTGCAACCAAGTACAAAATTAACCATGTTTCTTAAACGCATTTTGTGCGTGATTGACGTTGATTTTTGTGATAGCTACACTTCATTCTCCTTTTGCAATGTGATATGGTTTGACGCTATGTTGCTCGTCTCGATATTTGACAAAATCTAAGAAACTATAATTGGTCTTATATGTGCTCTCGCACTTTAACAAATATCGAAAGTTACCTTCTTGTGTTCAAAGCAATTTTGGTTCCTTTGATCGGTTTAAGCGACAATAACCATAGTTATCAATGTTGCTTGTTTTTTTGCTTTAAGATACTGTGTTTTTAATTGCCAAATTTTTTACTGAAATAAAAAGAATTAATCCTGTCGCCCACATTTTCGAGAAAAGTCACTAGGCTCGAATAGTATATGGGCAGCATTTAAACCAAATTTTGGGCCTGTACTACAATAAACTTCTCTCTTTTGTACACACCCACCCACAAATATTACATGCTATAGCTATTGTTTCAATTTTGTCATTACTTCTTGCGAAGTCGTAAGAAATATTTTGTTACTGTCAAATCAATTTACGAAATAACACGGTAATATTATTTGTTGTATTGTTGGTAATATTGTTGTATTTGGTAATATTGCACGTTAAATTTATTGTTGATGATTATCTCGGCGCTAATTCTGATAAAATATTTGTGTATGTGTGTATCTATGTATGTGTCTTAAAGTTGCTGTGGCAAATTAATGTGTATTCATATTTTCCGTATCCAGGGTGTATGTTCAGCTTTTCCTAAAATCTTATATTTGTGTTAATAAATATTGTGTCAAGAGTATTTTCATCAGCCAAGACGAACCAGTTACTATAAAGTGGAACCCTACTGAACTTTGCCGTAACGAAGAGCTATTTGTCATTTATATAAATTTATAAGATGAAATAAAGACGCGTTTAGTCTCAGATTGCGCAGATTTCAACGACATTTTTGTCAAAAACACTTATGACAACTCAGTGAGCTGTAGTATATATCCTGGAACGTTGACCTCGCCTCCGTCTTAAACCGAAATTGAAGCAGTTTTTTGAAGTTCCGTGATAACGTTTGGCCAAATGAAAACCGCTCTACGTTAAATACAGTAGCAAAAACTGCCATGGTGGGTTTTTCCTCTCGGTCTCTGGTAATTTACCGAAAAATTCAGTTATAAATTCGTCTTAGTGGGCTTCAACAAGGCTTATAGCAGCCTACAGTATCAGTATTGGAGTTAGGTTTCCAGTTAGTATTACAGTTGGCTTTGATAACCACTTTCAGTTTCTATCTCAAAGGCGGCGATTTAGTTTGAAGCTCTATGTGTTTTTTATTTTATACTTCATGTTAAATGAATTCGCTTGTTCCTAACATTTCTTACCTTAATCGTTTCGCTTTTTTAGTTGCTGCAATGATAACTTAATGTAACATGTGTTTAATGTACGGAACAATTTTACTAAATCTATTCATAATTGAAAATGTTCCTATGCAGATGAACAGTACAAAGATAAGGAAAAAACAAATGTCATATCGTTTTTTCAGAACTTTCGTATCAACACTGAAGCTTCCGTAGAAAGTGCCGATATTATCATGTGACAATTTATCTGTAGTGTTTTGTCTGTTTCACTATAAAATACGAGAAATGTTGAACTTGTTTCAATGACAACGGTTCAGTTACTTCAATTTTTTAAGTTTTGAAACTCCGTGACGTAATTATTAAGCCCCTACCGTCGTTTATTTGGGATATGAATCATTAATATTCCCATTGGACATATATGAAAACATTTTATGATGTGTATTTTCCTCGTGTTGTGAAGGCTGGCAACATTGTCATTGTATTTCGAGAAATTCGTTGTAGATTTAACTCATCGTGTGTCTTCATTTGCATATCTTCGTTAGCTATGCATGTATTTCTGATAACCATGTATGTATTTCTAGAAATGCCTTGAAACACACGGCATTTTTACCTTTTTGCCTTAGCAAACTTAAATATCTATAGCATAGTGGTTTTGATTTCTTATTTGTGTAGCTGTGTCTGAAACAAGTTATTTTAGTCTTCAAATTTCAATGCAGCTGCTGCTCCTACGCTTAATGACACACGCTTTCGTTGTTTTAAAACATATCCTTGCAGCTGCCGAATGACGCCGAACCCTACGTATTCCACCCACGAGTTGCTTACGATGTATTATTTTGAGATTGCGAACGCTTCCGACGCGAAAATCTATTTGCATCGTTATCGAACAGCTGCACGCGACTGATTCCGATAATTCATGCTTCATTTGCCAAGTTTCTATTATTCGACTGCTCGTTTTCTGCTTTGTTTTCTATCGTTTACTTTGTTGTGGAAGTAATGTGGGCGATGTTGGATAGACCCTGTAGTCTTCGTTCAAATGTGTCCCACAGCGCAGGACAATATTTTGGCAAGTATTAAAGTTATCCAATTGATTGATCACCAGTATGCGAAATTAATAGTCAATGTATTTTCAGTAAAACTCCATTTTGCAATGAATTTTAAGTGTTTGAGAGATAAATAAGTTTATGTCTAAAATATGTGCATGTGCATGTTGAACAATAAATTTAACATCGCTGTACTTTGAACACACTTTAAAGAAACCATGACACGAGATCCTTTTTTGTCTTAAAAGATTTTCTAGAACTGTTAGGATTTTCTTTTCACCTTTGTGTGCATTTACATAACTTGAGTGATTTATATGTAATTTATGGTCAGTCGTTTTTAATTAACGTATCTCAAAATCATGTTTCATTTCGTTCTTACGCTACAAAAACAAGTTTTTTGTTTTATCTGAATTTTTTATTGTTATGAAAATTATCGCATATGTTGTATGAAACTAATTCGCTTGTTGTTGAGAATTTCTCTGATTTACAAATCATTAAAACCTATATAGTTCCACCACAAGTAAGCATGCAAACATTAATGCTATAGAGTAAGTCCACTACAGTTTTCGGAGGTCATTGACAATCAAGTGTCACGGGAACTCCTAGCATTGTTATGCACCAGCTGTGACCGATTTGCATCATGTTTCAAGCTCAGATTATGAGGTCATTTTTGCTTTTGTATTACATTATTAGCTACGCCTTTTGTAGCTATGCAATTATTTGTACCGTATTTACTAACACATCAATATGTGTTTGCTGTTTCCGATTTGTTACAAATAGCCACATTTTTTGTTATCAATTGACACAAAATAGCCATATTATTGTATTTATGTTGTGCGTTTTGAATTTCCTGTTCGAGATGTCGTAGATTTAAAGGCTCGGGATCATATTTTGTGATTAGAGTTTAAGTAGCAAGGGAAGTCCCCTTCTGATCTTTCTGATATAAACACCTGTACGATCAGATTCGATGTAATTTCAGACCTCCTTGCGTTATTGTTCTATCGATGTAAGAACGAAGCTTTATATACATGGCCAACACAAGAGAACTTTTCTCGTTAACTTGTTTTTGCTGTAATCGTATTAGAGTATTTTTTGTACGTGTTGTCTGTGTTGGTGTTTGGGCTTACGTTGCTTAGGGGAAGTTCGAGCTTTAATGGCCTCTTTTGTGTTTTAAATCTTTTCAAAAGCAGTAGTTTTCTTTGTGTTGTTAAAATTAGGCATTTCTTATCGGTTTCACGATTTGAGCTTGTAAGTTCTTGAAGAATACGTTGATTTCATCGATGCGTCTACTCTGATACAATTACTGTATACAATACCTTAAAATTTAGTTTTTCCTTATAGCTTACTCTCTCGAGAACGCGTTATTTTTCATAGAATTCATATGTCGACATTCTCGTATTTCTATTTTATCAGCTCATGATTTGAGCGCTTAATCATCCCTTGACGACGTTTTTTACTTGATATTACTTTGTCTGCATAGCTGCTGCCGACTGTTCACCGACGGAAGGCGTGATTGAGTATTCTATCTGTATTCCATGTCAAATGTTCAAACTCTGTATTAAATAAAGCTACTCGCTAAAAAGCTACAACGCCAGGCTTTAAATTTCAATTTCCATAAGCCTTATTTGACGCCAATAAATTATCAGTACCAACATTTAGCAATGTCTAAACATAAGGGTTCGTGTTTCACCACACCGCTTAAACTACTGCCTATTCATGTAATTTTTGCCGACTAATCAAACCCTACGCGATTATCGCACATTACAATAACGCTCAGAAGTGATTATGTCCATGTAAAATGAGTTTTCCAATTGTAATTTATGAAAATATTGGTGTCATCGTAAAGCATTCGACCGCCTACGATCATACAAATAATGAATGCGATAGAAAGCTACTGGAATAATTTATATCATATCAGGCTTAATGTAATGTACTTTTTATAACAACGCAGATTCGTTATTTGATTCGCCTGTATTATACGGTACATTTTATGACCACATTTTATTACCTCGCTTTGTTTTATGCTAGTTTAATTTCCGTTTGATGTATTGAATTTCTGAAAATTGCGTTATTTCGTTGTTATAAATTAAACGTGGGACGCGAGATAACATCGCATTTTATCAAAATAGCGCGTGAGTGTAAAGCGGATGTTGCTGTATTCACACTTCCGTTTCGATTGATGTCGTCATACGTTAATTGGTCTGTTATTTGTTACTACGCAATTATTGTGTAGCTCGACCAATCATTGACCGGCAATGTAAGCAAGAACTAAACACATACACTGTAGCAATAGCGGACTCAGCACTTCTCCTGGCATTGCGAAGCAAGAAGTTCTCTCTTCAAAGTTGTCAAAAACTAATTCTCTCAACCGTGGCCAGCGAACTTCAGGTCGCTCAAACAACCCGTATACCGAAGCTGTTTGCTAAAGAAGCGAAGACTGAACAAACTATGGAGCAATTTGCGACGATGCCTGAAAGCGAAGCGAAACGATTCGCAGTGCTTACATACGAACAAGTTGTTCGTCTTGGGGAAGTGCTGAGCGGCACCGTCGAAGTACATGGACGAGGCAACTTTCCCACCATTAAAGTCGTTCTCAAAGACTTAGTCGAAGCCGTGTCATCTCGGCTACGCGAGAAAGGCGTTAAATTACGAGATATTCGCTTGAATGGAGGAGCAGCAAGCTACGTACTTTGTCAGGACAAGAAGTATACTTTCAACGACATAGACTTGATATTTGGAATCGATTTATCATGTCCACGACGAATTCATATGATTTTCGACGTTGTTATGGAAGCGTTGACTGACTTCTTGCCTAACGGAGTAAGAAAAAACCGAATGTTTAGTACCACATTGAAGGATGCTTATGTTAAGAAACTGGTCAAAGTTACAGATGATTGCAATCGTTGGTCGCTCATTTCGCTGTCAAATGACGAGGGGCGAAATGTGGAATTGAAGTTTGTCGACACAATGAAGCGACCTTTTGAGTTTTCTATCGACTCATTTCAAATCAATCTGGATTCTCTTTTGAGTTTTTTCAAACTATCAACTTTGCCAATCAAATCGAACTTTTTCCCCACCGTGTTAGCGGAGTCAGTGTACGGGGACATCGGCATTGCTCTACACCATTTGGACAATCGATTAATCGCCACTCGCAATCCTGAAGAGATACGAGGTGGTGGTCTCCTGAAGTACTGCAACCTTCTAGTAAAAAGGTACAAGCCAGAAGATGATAAGGAGATCAGGAACATGGAACGCTACATGTGCAGCCGTTTCTTCATTGATTTCGGAGACCTCGACACGCAAGTAAAGAAATTACAGAAATATCTGCAAGATCATTTTTACGGCGAGGAGCGCGTCAAGTGCGAATACCTGCGCATATTGCATCGCACGATCGCCAATTCGACCGTTTGTCTCATGAATCACGAACGCAAGCAGACCCTGATGGTGATAGAGCAAATAGCGAACAGCATCGAACATGGCATGCTCGAAATGAATTATTATTGTAGGCCGTCGCCTGCTCGATTTTCGCAACATCACGCATCAGCGCATTGCTATTACAAAGGACCTGGATACCGTTTACACAGCCCCACTAATCACCATCATCGATACCGATTTTATTCACACGGTAACTCGCTGGCTCCGATGGCCAGTTAAAGCCACTATAACACTTGATGGTAACGACCGTACTGTATTTTTGCGTGATTTTTCCACGCTTTGACATAGGTATTTCTGGCTGGTTGATTTACCCATAAACCCCTACTTCGCTTGTGGATTCGTGCGATCTTGTTTGGCTCGTATTAACGAAGACTATACTCTACATAAGTAACCGTTTGCTGGCATCTTGGTATAATGCTTTGTATTAATATGCTCATGTAGACCCAAGAATGTACTTGTAGTGTGTTTCGCTGTTTCACTAGTACGGAACAATGTATGACCTGTTTAAATAGCCATGGAGAAGAGAGAACAATAAAGGAACTTTCAATTTTGTTCTCATGATTTTTGAGTTGCTGCTGCACGTATAATTCTCCGTGGCAGCAATTTTTTAACTGTGAATGTGACTAGGTTTTCTTAGCAAAGCCTAATCCTTTGAATTATGTACTCTGCTATTGTTGACAATAACATATTTTTTCAGTTATTGAATCGTATTCTTACTTCCCCCATACTTGACCTATTTTGACGTTGTAACCCTATACGCTTCAGCACAACGATGCTATTACGATCTCTGTCGCTCTTTCGTTTGTAAAGACCGAGATAAACAACACATTTTGAAACCCCGACTTTATATCGACATGTCAAGTGTTATGCTATGAAAGGATCTACTCGTACACTAATCAAACTCGCAATTTTTATAGAAGTTTACACCTCGAATTATTTACGGTCGATACTGAGGGCCTACGAAATTAAATTTTTGTCATTTCTCGTACTTGCCACTTTATGAGAAGGGAAAGCAAATTAGATTAGAACATATGTTCTTAGTGTATAGTCGAACAAGTGCTGTGCATAACATCAATATTCTCGGTCATTCGTTTGTCGCTAAGAGAGATTCTTTCACCCAATGAATATCGTCGCATAGTTTCACTCCATTTGCATTGCCATAGCATCAAATGTAAATGGCAGCCATTTTCGGAGACCGCTTTAATAGCTCACGTAGAATTTGTACGTTCAACTTTTTTTTTTCTTTACCGTCGGAAATCATCTACTTCTCATGCAAATATGCTTTGCGTCCTGAATCGTCTCTTTTGGATCTAGTTCGTTATTGGAGCAATCTGGATAATAGGAAGTAAGTGTTGGGGTCAAGCTTTATAAAGTAGTGATGTCAATCATCTGAAATTAAAACTTGTTGCAAGAACGCAGTTGTGGCGTTTATGTTCTTTATCATTGTCGCCATTAATGTTTTGTCTAATTTGCCCATCTATATTGTTCTTAAAGATTATAATCGATCTATGTTATCGTTATAAACTTCCATCTTACTCCACATGGGATGGACGAGAAATTAAGACTTTGAATATATTTAATGTTTTCGTTCGTCAGGCGATGGTTGCGGGGGGTGTTAAAATTGTTACTATTGTTTGTGCAATGTTTATGCTTTCGCAAGAGTGTTTGTAATCTCGTGTATGTCTTATAAGGTAGACTTTGACTTCTGCTCTTTTTGTGCTTGTTGGAAATTGTACAGTCCAGTTTCGTGGTTACGACAACAGACAGTGTATTATTGACATGTTTAAATAACTTCATTTTTGAAGGGGTCGAAACGTCTCAATTTTGCCTCAACGTTTTTGTAGCTATATATACATAGATATTTCACATCACGCTAACTTGATTAAAAGTACGTAGTATATAAATGCGGCAATTTAGCTAATCTATGAGCCTCAGACGCGGAATGCTCTTAAGAATAATTCGCAAATGAGATGTATAGTGGGGCCAGTTAGTGTTGAACATGTAATTATGATAGCTGAGATAACAGCCTTCTGGTTTCTGAAATAAACAGGACGAAGCGGCCAACGCGCTGAAGTAGAAGTAACATCGAATACAATACGCAGCGATTAATATCAACAGTTCTTTCAGTACAAATTTGCCCAAGACTGAACTTGTTTATATCGTGATGAAAGGCCAGTATCATTGACATTCAATGACCTCAACCTATTTCTTATTATTGTTTCTTATTATTTCCTATTGGCGAGTCTGCCCAGTATAATCATTGTCGACTGATTTTTGTCAATGATTTTCGAATGAGAATCATTTAGGTTATGTTGGTATTATATTTTTACTCGGTCGTACACCTGGGCTTTCCAACAATACGTGATTATTCGTTACAGAACTCGGCTACGCAGGGGGGGGGGAGTGTAACATTTTGCGAAGGATAGAAGAGTATTCGACGTGTCATCGAGTCGATTCGAGAATGAGTAATGTATTGAAAAGGCAAAAATGAGTTTTAATTTTAATCACACCATCAATTATACTCAACTTACATCCATTATGTAATTAGAGTTCCATGCAAACGAAGCATGTGGTATGTAGTAGATAATTATAGTATTGAGTCGCATTTAAGCATTTCAATGTACGAAAATGCACGACATTTTTGGAAAATTATACATACATGCATCGTTTGTAAAGCTTCGTTCTAATGTTAACTACTCCCATACTTGTCTTGTTCGCATATTGTTCTTTTATACCATGGGGGGTATTATTTTTCTATTATTTACTTTCGTTTGTTTTTTTCACGCATCATGCGCGAGAGCATTGTAGACAATACCGTATAATAAGTGCAGAAATACAATAAAGATAATTATGCTGGAAGCAAGATACCTAAGTCATACGTAATTCGTTTCGCCGTGCTTTGACTCACGCTTTCCATCGTATTGGCCAATATGCGAGCCTTACACGTGTACTGCACGAACCGTACATGAAGGTGACGCATGAGCGCAATCGTCTTTACGCGTGCTAACTTGAATGCGAGTGAGAGGTATGATATTTTCAGTAAGGTGTAACCTTCGCTAAAAATGCTCCAATGCCTATGATTTATAGCTGCAAATGGTACAACAAAGTCGGAAAACTTGTACAGGCCGGCAATTCAACGAAACAGAATAATAATTATTCCATTGAATTTGTCTTTGTCCTACGCTAAGCACTTTTGTGAATGCTAATGCAGGAGTCTTGTATGTGTTTTTAGCAGCATCGCAATGAAAGGTGAACAAAAACATGCCATTGGATAAGCAAAACTGATTTGAAAAAAAACTGAAGGTGTGATAATTGCAAACGCAGGTCTGGACACCGAAGATGTTTGCATTGAAAACTCGGCTCTGCTAAAGAAGTTGTCAAAAAGGGAAAGGTTGATGAAAATGCAGAATTTAGAAAGAGACAAAACAGTGGAGTCGTGTTTTATCGAAATGTGTTGTATTTGTGCATAGAGACATTTCAGGATTAACCATTTTGGAGTTCTGTCTTAGCTAAAACGCGGTAGCGTCTGCGATACAAAATATTAGAAAATGAGAAAGAAGATATGAAAGAAAAAATAGAGAAACATCAAAACTTGATCTGAGAAATTAAGAGTTTGGAAATATAAGGAAGTGACCATCCTGCAAATGATTGTTGTTGTTAAAGAACACAGAGTTTGTACGCCGCTTTACTTTCGGCCTTTCAACTTGTGACAGCAAAGGAGAAAAGGATGCATTTCACGTGATTACTTACTACAGAAAAAGCCGCAACGTATTCTTTCACCATATCACAAGATAGAATTTTCAGATGGGTGATCATATCACGTAGTTGATAGAGAAACAAGACGTGTGAGCTTATCTCGTCATTTTTACGGCATCTTCAATTAATGCTGCTGTAGGAGGTTCAATGACAGACAGGCAGTTTGATTACTTTGGAATAATGCATATTGTTCAAAAGATTTAACAAAGTGGTTATCAATGCACCACGATACCACTCGTGTGTAGTGTTACGAAATATCACGAAGGGTCTCAAGCGTGGTTACGCGATAGCAATAGACAACTGGGTATATATATATATATATATATATATATATATATATATATATATATGGGAAGTTTTGTTTATTTGATCTCCGTAAGTACAGTATATATATATAGGTGCAAAAGACATGTTTTATTTTGCATTAATAACTTATTGTGTTGAGCTGAACAGTTGGTTAATGTCATGTCGATAATAAATTGTGATTTACCTCCTAAACCGAACGTTAAGTTCTTCGCAGAAGCCATGGTTGATACGAGATAAATTATAAAATGAGATTAATTAAATTTGAACAATCAGTTAAAGCTGCCACAATGTAAATGGTACTAATTCTTGTGTTCGGTCAAAAAATTGGAAAATTTTCAACACGAGACTTCATTCTTTAGTCTCTGTGCTGCCGATGGCTTTTTTGACTGCTTTTGATTTTTCTTTGACGTCAAAAAATCTCGTTCTAAATTCTGCTTATTTCGAAGTATTGGTCCCGCTCCAAACGTCGCATACAACGTATCAACTATCAACTATCAAGTACGTGATGAGTTTGACGTTTGAATCAGTTATGTTTGAGGTTTATTGTTAAGTTTGATTTTGAAGCTGCTCAGTGCTCACTAGAAATAGACAATAATGTGAAACTTTGTATTTCTTTGTGATTTACAAAAAATATCGAAATGTTCGTTAATTTGCATTTATCATTGCTTGATACGAGTAGAAATATGGAAAAACGAGACAATGTGTAAAATCTCCCGTTTTCTCAGTGTCTTAGACAGCATTCTTAATACTTGAACACAGTATTTATTGATTGTGAGTGCACTTAAACGCTTTCAATTGATTTCGACAGTTTTCTGTTGATTTCAGTTTCACCATATAACGCTTTTTCTAATCTTTGTTTTGTCTGTGTTTGATTTCTTTATTTATAACATTGGTAAACATGTTACGAAATGAGTGTTCCCATTAAATCACACTAAAAATATTTTTGCCTTTATTTCAATTTGATATTTTAAGTCAAACAGTTAATCCGATATTGAAATAACGCTTTTATTACAACTGCAGGGTGCTCATATTATGTGCTATTTATGAACCAACTTCTGTAATTGGGTTAACGTCGCTCAAACAGATTCCAAAGTTCTGATATCTGACTTTTAAAGTGCGATATTCTTATCGTAGAAAAATCTGCGTAAAATCTAACAGAAAACATGAAAGAAAAACCAAGTGCCAAATGAATTTTGAGAACTTCCAATATGATCGCACATTGAAGAATGAAATAAAGAATATTCTCTTTATAGTCTTTACAAGATTCACCAACTGGGCTTGGTAACTATTAACGTGTGGGACTTGGAGTTTTTCTGTTATCGTATTTCAATAAACATCCTTCTTGTTGTGAGAACATGTAATGAGTTAAGACTAAAAAATGGCTTATTATGATTATGTTGTTTTATAAGCACAGCGAAATGCGCTAGTCGACAGTTTGCATTTATGTCACAATAAATGTATAAAGAGTGATGCTTAGATATGTGGGTTGATGTGTAGTACGGGGGAACAAAAGGATATTTGATTGGAAGTTCTTTTACGACATATACTGAATCGAAAACGCGCTATGTTTCGCATGGTTTTACATAACGGTTTGCGTAATCAACATTTTTGCAAATTCACCTGTAGGGGGTAAAACTTGTTACAACAACAGGAAAATTAAAGGACAAACATCGCTATATGAATATCTTAATACGAGTTGATAGTTTACCTTGACTTATTAAAAATTACTAAACAATTCTACGATAGCTATTTGCAAAGATTGATAGAAGTCAGAAGGGAAAACCGTTAGATTTGCTATCAAAGCCTTTCATCGTTTGAGATTATTTTGACTATTAAAGTGTCGTATAAGGGAATGCAAGTCGTTTCTTTGAACTGAAATAGTAAATTGAAGTATGAGGCGTTTATTTGAGCTGCATAAAGCGTAGAAATAAAGAAATCTTCACAGGCCCACATACGTTCAGTTGTCAATTTTTCTTCTCGAGCTTTTCCCTGACTGCGTACTTTCCACGAACAAATTCCTTCCCTAGCGGCTGATAAAACTCGTTTCCCTAGAGAAACCTCGAATGACGTTTGATTCTAAAATTTTTAATGCACTCTTCCCCTACGAATCTACGAGCAACGAAATTCTTCGGTTGTTTCGAACAAGGAATCCAAAGTGACGTTGAATTGTGCGATATGGTGTAGATCATCAGAGCATTTTATGCTTTTCCTCGCACATTCACCATCTTCAAGATGCATACTGAAAAAATAGGCTTATGGTTTTGCATGGATCTAAAATTTTTGCCTAAGTGTGTTCTAAATCTTGGTCCACGGTTGCCGCATTCCGAATTATTCATGTCGCGAATCCACCATGCACGAAGGCAATGAAGCACGATTCTTAAAATTGGTCTTGGTTTCGTTGCCCAAACTAATGCTTGTTTAAATTGCTGTGATTATTTAAAAATGGTATTTAAAAATAATTTTGCAATTTCGAAGCACTGATATGTATAAAGACTGGATAACGCAACTTAGTGCTTGACTTGAAGCCAGGCGGCGGCCATTATTTGTTCTACTCTTTTTTCAGTGCGTTATATACTTTTTATATAACAAACTGCTACTCTCGCATTCATTTTGGATCATATGTTTTACTCTTGGGATATAAAAAAAATTATCATGATGACATGACTATAATATAACGGTTTTGGGCGAAAACTCATGTTCTCTAAATTTCTCATGGAAATCTTCTGGGGTTGTTTAATCTTTATCGTTGTTCGTCAACGCCAAAAAAATAAACTCTATTTGTAGAACAATATCGAAATCAAAGTTCCAATATTGAAGGAAATGGTACTTAGTATTTTTAATCAAAAAACATGAAAAGAACTCATTAGTAACAAACTGTTCTCGTTTCACCATAGCAACGGCTCAACAACGCTTGGCAAGTAATTAAATACGGATATTGGCGATATAATAAAATTATTAAATTCACAAGCTGATGTATTTTTGCTCTCTGAAGGCAATTTGTGTACCAAAGTTGCCCGAAAACGAAGAATTCCTGGCGACTCGCTTTAATCTCGTATCTTGTCGCTCTCATATCTGTTCAAGAGAACGCTCGATCCTTATGTCGATGTAAAAATCTATTCCTGGATTTTGGAAAACGAATGCGACTTCTAAAGTGAACATGGCTTAGTATTATAATTGTACAATAATTCTGATATCATTGCATTAAAGTATTATCATAGCACATAAAATTAAAAAATTGTCAGTCTTTTAATCGCTTCAAAGCACCTCCATTTATCGGGAATGTAAAACGGTTCGAAAATGTGCGGAAATGGCGTGTCCCAGCCACACACGCGTTGTATTGGTGATTCCAGCGACAGAAAGCAACGTTCCTACAAGGTAGAGAAACAAGCAATGGAAATAAAAACTGGGATGTGATTTTGTGAACTAATCCTTTGCGAGAATAATGAAATCCGAACCTTAGTGAATCCTAAACGGGTTTTTTTCGAAAAGTTTCGCAAAAACGTGCGGCCGCCATCTTTCTTTTTTTAATTATCTTATTATCAATCTTATAATTAAACACACTTTTTATTGAACTTTTGATTATGCAGTTTGCAAGCGCGCTTTTCAACTAACACAAATTGATCAAGCTATGTCAGTATCGAGAACAGGTTTGTTGACAGAGTATGTCCGAACTACGTGACCGTAAGTGAAAATAGTTGATAACCTTGCCTATAATTAAAATGTGACAATTATTTGATCGTTTTGCTAATCACGATCTATCAACGAATAGATAACAAATACGGAGTGTAGAATATAAAATGCCGGAAACGTCGACCTATCCTCTCAGAATACATATTTGCTCTATGGCTCTTCGCCAAAGTCTCAGCTCGATTGATGCATTTTTGTAATCATTATTTTTACCACACTGACCTGTATTGTACTAGCGATTTCGGCACCAAACCCACTTGTCTTTGGGGCTTCGTGTGCAATCAGCAGCCTTCCAGTCTTGTTGACTGACTAAAAAGGTACGAAGATATTCTCACTTATTTTATTGTGCTAAAGTTTAGTAAAAAAAACGGCCTATACTTGCGGATTGTAAACAATGAAACAAGAGATCAAAACAGTTTGACAGCTTTTAAAACCATCGGCGCGCAGTAACAACAAACCTGTTCGATGGTTTCCACATCCCAGGGTAAAATTGTTCGCAAATCGATGAGTTCACAAGAAATTTCGAGTTTTTCTTTTGCTATTTGCGCTACATCACGAAGTACGTGGACTTGCGTACCCCAACCGACCATTGTAACATCGGAACCTAAAGTAACATTGCACTCCATGTACATAGCAAGCTCTGTAGATATAAAAATCAATACCAGACGGTTGAATTACCTTCCAAAACGACTTCAGCCTTTGATAGAGGCAGTTCGTAATCTCCAACGGGTACATTTTCAACTATATCAAAAAGTAAAGAGCATGAAATTTTGTTATAGAACTTGACTTTTCGGCTGTCTTTTCATATTTATTATGATTGCTATTGACTTGAATGCACACAATGAAGAATCCCCGTCGAGTGGAACCGTGAATTGGGAATCCTTGTATAGCTTTAATGGTTTCAACAGCGTGTCATGTCGAGAACCAGTCAAACATTTCTGTTATGTTTGAACATCGCTGTTGGAAACATCGCGATAAGCAATACGTTATAGTTTCATATACTGAGTGCTGCTGACATTCTCAATATGTATATACGATTGACCATCATAAAACTTACAAAAAGAGCATAAATTTTGTGATTTTTTATGAATAGATAACGTTCAATTTTCATCTTAAGATATCAGACTGTCCATGCATGTTTTGCCTTGATTTTGTCTTTCAGTAACTTGTTTTGTCATTGCCGATAGATGATGCCAAGGTTACGACATTCAAAGCTTAAACCACAGGAGTTATGACATGGTTTTGACTGAAAGCTCATTACTATTATAGAAGGTATTCCTAAAGTCGAGTTTGGCTTTACCGAGATTAGGTTACAAACCATGGCACAGTACTTAATAAAATTTTCCAGAAACATCATTTTATATATATGGATCGTATTTATATTACAATTTGTTTTGTACACTGCAAATTTATCATTACAGCAAATAGTGATAGCAGGCATGATTAATCACATATCGGATAAGTTTATTTCGTGCAGAACATACATTTCGTATAGTATATTTAATAACGATTTTAAATGCTTAGCAATTGTGCTTGGAAGCGATTCTCACACTTCATAAAAAATACACGTTTTAGCAAGTTCGGGGGGGGGAGTAAAGGATAGTTACGTGACATAATATTTATGTAATAACTAGAGTACGATCTATTGCCAAAAATGACGTGTACGGATTACATGTGCACGACTATCCAATTGACGCGCACCACGCGTTAAAGCATCACAGCTGTATATCAAACAACAAATGCATTGATTGTGCGTGGGATGTAATCTGGGGATATTAAATGGGTATGTCTCATGTCCCACGAAACAATGGAATTTTAGCTTGGCGTTTACGTTGAACGGCCAACCTCGACTACCCGCTTGCCGTCGAGGTTTGCCTTTTCGACAAGTTTGCTTTTGTATCCTACAATTCGCATTGTCCCAAGCTAAAATTAGTTGTTTTGTTTACAGTTTGTCAATAAATATTCAATAAATATTCATATTGTATACTCAAATAAAAATATATTGTTGGAAATGAAAAATCACTTATTAAAGTACTAAAAAGTTGCAGTAAATAAGCCCCTACCACTAGAAGGGTAGGAATAGTTAACCTAAACCTGAACCGCAGAGCGACGATCACGTGACTTTTTCTGGTTGACACGTCGTGCTAAAATTCTCTAGTGCAACAATCGCAGCATGTTATAAAGAACAAATTATAATAAAATCCCCTCATACCAGCCTGTCTATATAATATTTTCGGTTCAAAGAACAACACGGGGTTATCGTCTCGAATAGATGCTAACAACAATCCTTTTGCTTGAGTGGGACCTCTTGGTATGACAATCTACGGAAAACGAAAGCAGAAAAACTGCGAGGAGACTGGAAACAGGGAAACCAATGATACTGCAAACAGGCACATGTACAGGGGAGTGAACAAAAAAGTAGGCCCATAAAAATTATGGGCTTACTTAAAGACATCGATGAATGTACGTGACCGGATTAAAAAAACTCATTTATTTTCGTATGTGCATAATCTTTAAAAAAGAAAGCTTATACAAAACATATTATTGTTAAAAATTCTATCTTTATGGTAATTAGAGTTCATTTTAAATGAATCATACATGAAACTTTATGTTTTTGCTCGTTACAAAGCTGGTCTGTAACCTAAGGGACGACCAACAAGGAATTGAAAAAAATTTTTCATCGACTGTATCTTGACTGATAGTAAGAGGATACGTGTATGAAAACGATTGCTTTTACCGTAGAGCAATAGTTTCTTCAGCGCAATTGTGATAAATAACCTTGCAGAACAGTAATACTCTGATGTCAGAAATATGCCTGCCATTTCTTAAATTTATTGTTCTTTTACTTGTGTGATTTAAGTTTTAGTACAGAAAATTGTCAACATTGCATTTTTGTTTCATTTATTCTTCAACAGTAAGACCTCATTTCAGTAACATTTCTCTGTGATTGACGAGTCCATAACAATAATTTAATTTGGGAGGCTGCTTTTTTGTCGTCACTCCCCTTGTACACGCTTAACCTAAGCGGCCATTTTACGCCGGTTACCTTCACCCCAGGTATATGCGAGAAAAATGCCTCCACGGATTGCGAGTGATACAGAGCACCATGGCCAACAGCACCGCATGGAGCGCGTATCGTTAACTTTCCACAGTCAAACAAATTACCACTCCGGTAGCGAAATTTGCTCCCTTCGTTCAAGATCTATTTTTTTGAAAGAATTAATCGAGTCTAGGAACTATGAAGTAAAAAGTTTTCTTTCCCTTGTCTAGTTTTATCTCTTTGCTCGCGCTGAAAATTGTGAAGAGTGCGAGTCTAAGCATTTGCTTGTCGTGGGTGTTTATATATTTACGAAGATAAGATGCCCATGAAAGAAACAAAACTGTTTTAAGTGTGTAAATAAAAATGATAAATATTCATTGAAAAAGGGAAAAATTAAGAAGTCATAAAACGGCGATTCAAGCGGTAAAAGCCACAGGATTTTACAACTTTTTCCTTAGTTTCTTCAGAAATTTTAGTTTAAAACAACCCTAGCTCATAAACCCAAAAAAACTAAACGTTTTTTACCTGATCGAACGAGGGAAAAATATAATCGGCGAACTGGATTTCGGCTATGGCTGTTGCACCAGCCAAGGCTGCTCCTATGCCAAAACCAACTATGCCTTGTTCTGACAACGGAGTGTTAAATACTCTGTCTTTACCTACCGACGCAAACAATAATTTTTTCTGAGCCTGTCATATGTCGGAAAAATTCGCCTTAAAACCATAAAACTAACCGTATTTATCTCGAAGTCCGACGGTGCACCTAAACACGCCACCGAATGCAACGTCTTCACCAAAAACAACTAGAAAAATGAATGAGAAATTGTCTATCTTGCATCTGTATTGTTGTGCACGAAATGTTCATTTCTTCAGCGATTTGTAACACGGAAGACGTGACGGAACAGGGCGCTCAAATTTTTTTGTTAAAGAAAGCAAAGAACGTGAATAAAGACACATTGTAGTTACTTATGACTGAAATTCAATGTACTACAAAGCTAAGTACGAGAATTGCTTGATCTCAACGACAGTGCTACTGCGCATGCTCAACAGTACAATTCACTACGTTACGGTCCTGTACCACTGTCAGGTACGAGCGAAGCGAAAATCAGGCTTTTAAAGCTTCTTGAGGTCTGTGAACTAAAATTTCATTGGTTCTTTTCTGCCTTTACCAAACGCGTGAGCTTGTTAACTAAAGTCAAGCGCTTGAAGATAATCCATTGTAAATGAACTAATTAATGCCTGGAGCATTAGATTATAGCGGCTCACCTCAGTGTGAACAAATGAAAACAAAAGTACGACTAAATATATGGCTTCTGAGCCCGTTCGACGACCCATATTCTAATGATAGTATGACAATGGTAATGTGGTGGAGATATCTATTACAAAGGGGTATTTACTAGAGAGACATCCAATGTAAGAATCTAAAACAAACTTACCCATCGGGGGGGGGGGGCATTTATTCGATGTGAGGCGTTTATTTGATAGGCGGCATTTATTGAATTATAGTGGTTTACTATTTTGTTTTTTTTGACTGCCCCATTTCAAAAACGCCTCACAGTGAATTTCTATTAAAGTTAAATGCGTAATTGTTAGAGTTGTGCTCAAATGCAATTGTGACTTTAATACATTTGCAAGAATAATTTGAGAGAAGAATGAAATGCTTGGCTTTGTAATGCTTGAAAAATGTCAAATAATTTTATAGAGCAACATACTTGCCGTTTCATCTGATGAAAGTACAATATCCATAGCATCTGTCAAGGCTTGAAATAGGTTCATCCTTTTACTTTCACCTTAAGTCAATGGATCATGTAAAGAATATTAAGCATTAGTTGTGTTAGCGACAAGTTATTTATCATCAGGTTAATTTCTTTGTATTTCTATTGCCTGTAATTTATCATGTGAACTACAGAAAAAGGCAGAGTTAGGGCAATAACAAAGTCAAAGAGAGTGAAAGAGGTTAGCCCTTGTTCACCTCTCCATACTAATTAAGATTTACGTAACAAGTCAAACTATAAATACACAAACTTACATAACAACAAACAACAAAATTATGATATACAATTTAGATATCATAAATTAACCATCAATATGTTGTCGAAAATGATGCAAAAGCTTAGGTTTGAAAACATTATCATGGTGTTCCTTAGCTATGTCCCTCGGTAAATTATTCCATAAATTATTGTTGCTTACAAAAAAATAAATATTTATGACAGTTTGACTTAACCAATTTAGTTTTATGGGTATTTTACTCTTGATGTTTGACCTTGAGGGTTGTAACTGCAAAAGTAATGAATGATTGTGGTTGAAGTCCATTAAACCTGTGTGTTTTCTTAAAGCAATGTTAAAAAGCAATTGTTCTCCTCACTTCTAGAGATTGCCATTTTAACTTATGCAGCTTTCAATGATCTGCATGTAAGGTACATCATGACTGAAATGATGAATTTCTTGTATGAGAAATCAACAATAACAATTACTTAAATGGGATGGGGCATAAACGTGCAACAATAATACATACGTTGTCTCTGTAGAGGTACTTTGCAAATTTTTGACCAAGTTTTGAAGTTCACTGAAAACTTGCAAACAGCTTTTAAAAAATTTCCTTTCAATTTACAAGAAAAGAGCTGTAGCTCATAGACTTGGACATTTCCAAAATCATGATGAACTTTCAAACTTGCAACAAACTTTGTACATAAGTAATACAGTACATTTACATCAGTTCAAAATATTTCAGGATAAAGGTTGCTGACTGAATACTAAAAGTTGAATCTGTCGGATTTATTCATCATGAAAATCAATGCAAAACTTTTGATTAAAATATTGCACTTATGGGCTATAGCTAAAGGGAGTGAAAGGGGTTTAATATGGGAATGTTTACAATTCCAGTTGTGTATCAAATATGTGGTAACAATCCTCATATCCCCCTTTTGATAATCATTAGGTAATCGGATGAGAGTTTCCCGATGATCAGAAAGACCAGTTTTAGCAATCTTTTAAATTATAGAACACTTAATTTTTAGTTTTACACGTGTACAATTTAATATTCATTAAATTTACCATCAAATTGCGTTGAATCAGCGACATAAGAAAACGTAGAAGCATAGTTTGACCGACCCCTTCCTTGAAACGTTGCTGTTACACTTTCCAAAATACGAGTTTTTCTTAAAAAACGTGGAACACAAAAGATCGATACCGTAGCCATGTTTTGTAACGGTATCCACTTTGGTACCCCACCCACCCCTAATACGGTAATTTCTCGTACCACATTTGCCACGACGGAACTCCGCAGTGCGCAGGTGTTGCTGTGCTGTTGTGCTCTCTACCGTCTTCTCGTGGAAGTCTCGCGTGGTCAACTCGCATAGGCGCGCAGAAACGGTTGTCATAGCAAAGCTGTAAACAAACTCGAGTTGGTAAGGAAATATAATTGACAATAATATAATGGGACAAGATTATTATGGTATTTTAGAGCTCACAAAAGGTTCTAGCGACGCAGATGTAAAGAGATCGTAAGTCAAAGTATATTTAAATTTCTCAAAACTTTTTTCTATTGAAAATTTTGAGGAATTTAGGAGAAAACATACCCAAAGACTCTAAGTCTGAAAGCCATTAAGGCAAAAGCGTCATCTTGTATTCAGGATTCAAGTTTAAAGTTTAATATATGAACAAGATACAAGAGTTTCAAAAACTTTTTCCTGTATCAAGTTTATTATTCACCTAGAAATCGTTGTTCTTCATCTTTTACATCATGTTTTTGACTCTGAAAGTTAGAGAACAGTTTTTATTGCATTTGAATTTAAATTATCTGACCAGACTGATTTTTTTGCTTTTTCTACAACTCTCGATGCTATAGATATCGAAAATTGTCGCTGAAATTCCATCCTGACAAGACAAATGAAATTGAAGCAGAACAAAAGTTCAAGCAAGTTGCAGAGGCTTACGATGTCTTGAGTGATCGTAAGTCAATCTACATTCACGTGCATTTGAAACTCAACTCCTTAAGTGTTGTTCTACCCAGTTGCAATGTTCATGAGTTGAAATTATTCCTTTCAACTGTTAAAGTCACAGAATAACGGCAATATTGTCATGTTTTAAAAGAATACACAGAGGGTCAGAGTGTGTAGTCTCTATTTATATCAGTTATTTCTATGTATCATCTATCATTGATTTGCAGAGATAGTGCACATCACTGTAATATGTTTTTTGTCGAATCAAGCTACAGTAATTTTCACAAATAGGATAGGAAAACCAAATCAAGAACATGGTCAAAAATTGATTCTCTAGTTCAAGGAAGCACAGTAATATTGGAATGAACTTTAACACAATAATATTTTCCCTAAAACCTTGCCTTACCTCCAGAACATCATGATAAATTGCAAATCTTGTGTATCCATTTTTCATGTTTGCCTTATGAATTAGCTACTAGCTACTGTAGGAAATGTTTTGGGCTCATGTATTATTATTTTGGTCCAAACACATGTTATTATGAAGATACTAACAAGATTTACAATATTTTCCAAGCAAAGAGACGTGCCATTTATGATCAGTTTGGTGAAGAAGGACTGAGGAATGGTGTTCCCGATAGTGATACTGGTAAAGATTTTACTTGCTTACAATTTTTAAATTTACAATACTAACTTCTTATTCCTCGAATTTAAGCTAATTAGTTGCATTTTATTCATAGAATGCACATTGTATGTTATGTAATATGTGGGAAGGTGCCCTTATATATGTGCAATAAATGTTTTGTAATTCTAACAGTCTCACATTATTGCTTTGTCTTTGATATAAAATTTTATTGACTTGAGTACATTTATTGCAGTTCAATTGCTAAGTTTGTTGAAAAGATAAAAGATTTGTGCCACTTGATTGCCAATTACCGGTTTGTCTTTTATTAAGCATTGAAAAGTTTGTAAAAGTGTGTGAAAAGTATGCATGCATGAATGCATGAAATCAAGACTGTGAAAAGAATGACTGTTACAAAATTAATCATAGACATGCTCTTGATTGGCTTGGCAGTGAGCTTTGGACAGGTGATCACTAATCTGTACTTTTTCATTTCATTTGTTTCAGATGGATGGACTCCTGGGTATGTATTCCATGGAGATGCATTAAGGGTCTTTAGAGAATTTTTTGGTGGTGATAATCCATTTTCAGGTAAATAATTAGATAGAGATTGATTGAGACAGAGAGATGTCCTTAACTTTTAAGGTTTACAATTTGGGTTTCTATGAAAAAAAATATGATGGGGATAAGGTATTTATTGTCCAACTTAGGAAGTGAGAACAATATGGCCAACATTTTTATAACTGTGCAAAAACATTGGGCATGCTCCTGTTATGTCATTCAAGATACTGTACATATTGATCTTTTAAGCATTGGTGCCGCCAGCTTGAAATTTTCGTTGTGCTGTTCACTTACTGTAAAAACAGCAGATTTCTAAACAAAGAAATAATTTTAATCAGTTAATTATCAGAAATTTACATTGCACCACCAACATTCAGGCTTGCAAGCTACTCCGCCGTAAATGGATGATTTTTTGGAAGGATGATTAAACTTCAAATAACATAAAAATACCTTTGAATGTAAATGAAACTGCCCAGGTAGAAATCTTACAAGAGATCATAGAAGTGAAGGAGATCTCATTTAAGAAATGGAACAAGATCCTATTGTGATCTGACTTGCGATCACACCTTTATATTCTTGTAAGATCTTGTAAGATATAAGAGACTAGAGAGCTATAGCAAGAGTACGACTAACAGACTGTGTAAGGGATTGGCACAAGAAAGTTTGTCGTCGTTGTCACTTCGTCAAAATGTTGTTTTATAGTTGTCAACAACAGAACGAGCTTTTTGACTGTAAAAAACACAGCACTTTATGAAGCAGCTACGGCTCTATTTTTCAAAATAATATCGATGAATCTGCAATACTGATTTGACAAGAATATAAGACTCTTTTGAGAGAGAAATCCTCGTTATTTTACATTTTATGCATTATATTTATGTAGTGTTTTACAGTTTGTTTACACTCCTAGTCATACTCGTAGTCTTTGCCAAAACTCGCTATTAAAGGAAAGAAGGGTACCCCAGAGTACTCTTTAATGGTTTTCATTTCATGGCTTTCGCGCTTTATTTCCTTTATCATCATTATGTTACATTTGTAATATTGCAGAGTTATTTGATAACTACGATCCAGAAATTGGATTTGGAGGTTTGCATGGGCGTGGTCGGCGCAAACAAGATCCACCGATCGAAAGAGAGCTATTCTTGACTTTAGAAGAAATCTTCAAGGGATGCACTAAGAAAATGAAGATTTCTCGAAGAGTATGTTTCAGTCAATTGTTTCTAGCATTCGGGTTTCGGGTCCGTAGACGAATACGCTCTTTTTTAATTTAAGAGCCAGCGAAAATTTGCACAGCCTCAATGTTTCTAATTTTTTCACGGTTTCAGACTCAAAATGTACCAAGTTCTTAGCACGGAGTCTTTTCTGTGATATATCTAAACTTATCATACTAGTGTGTAGCATCAAAGTGTAAAATCTGTTTTAGCTACTAAATTTTGGGTTGTTACAGTAAGTACAGCTTTCGAAGGTTTCAAAAAGAAGGCCCACAACACTAGCCATTTTATGGTTTTACACAAGTTACTGCATATAAGAACGGTTAATAAAATCACTCTCTACATTTTTTCCTCAGGCTCAATTTCCAACATTAATCAATTTTACTTATCCGTGCCTTAAAAAAATCACACCACAAAAAGTGTTCCCGTTATTTGCAATGATCCATCCCATAATAAACCTGTTCTATGGTGTTTTTCCTTTTTGTTTTTGACAAACCTGGTGTTACGTTGCACCTGATAAGAAACGTTCGGGAAGATGACAAGCGTCGAGGAGTTCTTTTGGCCCTTTCACACCATCCATTTGTCAAATCCATTTGTTTCGTTTCCGACTTTTGGTATTATAGTCATGCGAGCAACCATTTGTGTTATTCAGTACATTTACAGTATCAATATACTTTGCCAACTTTCGTTCTTGTTTCCAAGTCTTTCTCAAATCTAATTTTTCTCGCCAAATCAAATTCGATCAGCGCGGAAAGTGAAAAGTCCGGGGTTCGTGTCGGAGGCTCACGTTTTCCGTGTTCACACGATATGTAGTTTACAATGCGACAATATCGGTTCCGACAAATCGTATCGCGAGAACGAGCTTTAAACGAGATGACCTTGTTTTCAATAGAGTAAACTCTCTAAACTGGTCATATCGTTTGGAAATTATCGCACTTTTTTCAGAAACATCGAATGCAAAGAAATTTTTATTTTGTGTATGCTATGAAACACCTCAAACCAAGTGTCCACTTTATCAGATTGAGAAATCTCAAAAGAATCTGTTGACTTTAAATTGCTCACACTTAAGTTTTTCCTTTATGAAGTCAATATATATCCGACCAAGAATATCCTAAATCTTATTCTTACTAATGTACTTGAGAAAACCGTAAACCTCTCTTGTATTTCAGCTAAAACTGTGGATCTTTCGAGTGACAATAATCTGTTGTTTTTTCATATCTTACTTCATGCCTTAGCAATTGGATACGTCAGTTGTAACCAAACTGACTGAAATGGTTGCTCAACGGTCTAGATAATTGCAAATTTAACATCGAAACAATTTTGGTGTTAATACTGATTAGGAAACATGGAAAAACTCCTTCTCAGTGTTGTTGATTACATTCCACTCAAATAATCTAATCGTCGAAATAGTCCTTCATTAAAATATGGTGAAGAAACCTACGTTCAAAGAAAGACTCGTGTAGGAATAGAGCGACACGCATGTTATGTTTGAAAATATGGAGAAAAGTACCACGAGCTTTCTCGAAACGCCGAATCTTTTACAAGATCCAAACGTGACTTACACTTTACTGACCTCGCACTTTACTTGGATGAAACAACAAAAAGTTTTGGTCAGTCTTCAAGTGCAACTCCAAACACTCCAATCCTCCTTCAGCAATGTGGAAACAAACAAATGTAGTACAATCTAATCTCGATTTTATCCAGCAAATGTGAAATGGGGTAAACCACTTAAAGTACTTCACTTGTCAAGATCTCGTAAACCAAAACATAGCGCAATATACGCTTTATGGATCTTGTCAGAAAGCTATTGGTCTTTTCATAACCGATTACCTTAAATGGAGGTTTATGAGGTATCACCCCAATCCGATACAAAAATCACGGCACGACGATGCAATCCGGTGTATTGTAAACAGGGCCTTAGGCGCTGTTTACACTGTGACGAACCAATCCGGTTTGTCTAGCGTAGCGAAAATCACTCCGCTCTGAAGGTGACACGAAAAGCAATGCGATACGTGGCAGCGTAGTGTAAACAGTGCAATCCGATAGAAACTACAATTGGGTGCAACATTTGACAATTGTTATGCCCGAAATTTCGCAGTTGTTGCTATTTATCTCACGAGATCAACTGTAGTTGTTATATGCTTGCTATTTTCTTTATTAGTATACAATTCGTATAATATGTTAGTATTTTGTTCATCTTTTGTATCCACACCTTTCCAGTCGATGTCTTTGCTAAACTTTTGCAACGCAAATTTATTAAATACTTTGAAAAGTATCTTATAACCTTTCCATGGTTTTCAAGTTTTTTCCATTGCTTTCGCCAAAATGTTGTATTATTTGTCGCACGACTACCTGTTACCATGACAGTAGAGATTTCGAAAGAGCTAAACGGCAATGTTGTGTGAACTCCACATAAAATATCTATCGGATTGGAAATCAATCCGATACAAAAGCAATCCGGTATAGTTTAAACGGGGTCTCATCTATAGACCAATCGACGCACGCGTTTTGTTGTTGTTATTTTATAATTACCTATGTTACAAATTTCTAAGTCATGCAGTGATTATTACCACGCACCTATTTCAATCTCACGCATTCCTTATCAGTCGAGAGGGAGCTATATATTCATTAAGTTACTTATATGAGTAGGAGTTTGACAATTCATTGATTTTTTAACTTCATTCTCCAGGTAATGAATGATGACGGTCACACGTCCAATATACGCGATAAGATTCTTACCATCAACGTGAAACCAGGCTGGAAATCTGGAACCAGAATCACTTTTCCCAATGAAGGTGATCAAGGTCCGAACAATATTCCAGGTAATCGTGACTGCCGAACAAACTTTCTCGTGAAAAGAAATATACATATGATATATTACGGTGTGGCGGATCAAGGGTACTTTATTGTAGAACGGTTTAGGGTCCTGTCACAAAAAGACAAAAAAATTATAATTTGAAATTATAGTAGAAATTCAGTTTTTTGTGAGTGATGAGCATGTTGGAAGTGCCTGGGAATTTAACTTATAGTATTTACTTAAACCTGTCGCGCAATCCTAATTTAGTATACAAGGGGATCAATCCCTACACAAAGATATTTTCTGAAGAAATCTTTGTTTTTGCGTCCGATTATTGACTGTGAGAATGTTCCAATAAACACTCAGCTTGTTTTGCTGACGGGTGTCCATTTTCTTCGTGTCACCACACTTTCAAGCACCGAAAACGAATGTCACGTGATTGAATACTGAGGTTCCTAATTGTGAACTACCCTGGATCGAAGGGATCATGTCACTTGCAACAAAACCTTAAGACTTAAGTCAAGAAAAAGATTTAAGTCAAGAAAACCAATCTTTTGCTTTGATGGTAAAATTTTTACTTGACGTATGTTTTCTATATTTTCAGCGGACATCATTTTTGTTGTGAAAGATAAACCGCATTCCGTATTCAAAAGGGAAGGAAAAAATTTAGTTTTTACTGCTGCAGTTCCTTTAGGAAAGGTAAGGTAAATCATTGTTTTTCTATTTCACAGATAATGGCGTAGGTGCTGGGCCTAGCAAAGGCATGATGATCGAGGAGAAAAAGGGGAAAAGTTTTACTTTAATTATGAACACGTTCGCCTCGTCTGTTTTCTTGACAAAATTCATATAACATCATCGTTTTCATTAATTTCATTTGACTTTTTCTAATTTGGCGTATTGAATATTTATCAGAGAGTTTGAAGCCATTAAAGCAATGTCTATTGTTGAAAAACTTTTATGGTAATTAGTATTTCCCGAGCATCGACCGTCCAACACGATATTGTGTACATTAACGTATGAAAAAAGACCTGTCATACACCCCTGCCAAGAAACGCCATGATGAACTTGAATACAGAAAGAAGGGAACGTATTTTCTGCCTTTCATAACTTTAAATCATGTTTTCATACACGATGACATTTTTTTATGAAGATTTTCCGACCACGATTTTGCGGTTATTTTGAATTCTATGGTATTTTTTGACAAAGACCCTTCGCTTCCCGTTTTATTTTGCGCTTCTCTGCCGAGCAAAAAAAAGCAATATTGAAGAAAATCGTTGATTACTCCCGCCCGCCCCCTTTATAAGAAATTCCCTATCAGGACATTTTATTTCGAATGATCTTTCTTCCTTCTGTAGGCACTCACTGGTTGTACTGTCGACGTCCCAACGTTAGATGGCCGATTGATCAGTATACCCATCAATGATATCGTCAAGTAAGTGAAGAGAAGCGAGATATAGATGACTCTAGAGAGTTTTCGACGAAAGTTATGGCTCTCTTTGTGTTCTTATTGAGTTGTATTCTGTGTGCATGATATGAGAAGTTCCTCTTTGTGCTAAATTCAACCGGATAAGCAGCTTTCAAATTTCGACATATATAGCTTTTTAAAGTGCTTATATCATCCTCACGGAAATAATTTATTTGGATAGAGTTGACGATTTTAAGAACATTTGCAATATATTTTATAAGACAAAATTGTAATCTTCTTTGACTTTTGGGTCTCAAAGTTGGCTTTTTTCAAGTTTGATCGTGAGGTGCTGTGACTGGCTCTAGTTCAACGGACGTGACGCACATTGGAGAGCACGCTGCCTTTTAACGCTGTAGTGATAGTTGTAGTAAAGTCGAGGAATGTATTTTTATCAAACTTTTGTTTTTATTCGCTCTTTATTATTGAATCGCACTTCGGTGAAATAGAACCAGTCCCAGCACCTCACGGTCGAACACGAAAAAAGCCAACTTTGATGCCCAGAAAGTCAAGGAAGATCAAATTTTCGTCTTATAATATATGTTGCAAATGTTCTTCAACTCTATCCAAATAGATCATTTCTCTGAGGATGATAACGGCACGCTTTCTAATAAAATAATACAACTCTTATTCGTTTAGACCTGGCTATTCGAAACACGTACCCGGGGAAGGTGTCCCCACCTCCAAAGACCCAGATATCCGAGGGGATCTGATTATAAAATTTGACATTGTTTTTCCAAACAAATTGACTCCAGTACAAAAACAGTTGTTGAAAGATGCTCTATTGCAGTGATAAAATATCATGTAATGTTTTGTACATAACTTTCGTAAGTCAAATTCATTTTGTTCATAAAGTGTAAGGAAAATTTTTATTAAGACTTGCAATAATTTAGTTGAAAGGTTTAAACAAATGTACACAAAAAACCTGTGGTAGATTTGTCATGCTTCCAGTATGCAGGTGCTTCTTTGCACCGTCTTGAAGCCTTTATCTGTGTACAAGTGACTGGTATACATTACGGACGCTAAGTTGAACAGCTGAAGCAATCATGCGAGCAAATACCTGAAGAATGCCCCCATGTATGTTATTAAAGCACTTTTGACTTTTGATATGAGTTAATTAAAACCCAAGTGTGAATACCTTTATGGTCTTTACGTTTGCCATTGATAAAACTGCATTCATCTTTGTCAAATGATTATTTTTAAGAAATATTCGACAACCTTAATGGATGTTGCATGTTGCTAACTCGCCTGTTAATGCCAACTTTTGTCAAGTTTAGAGCTCTTGGCAGTTCTGAATGTTTCATTAGCACGTTGGGTCGAGATTCAACATCAACATTATGACCAACATATAGATGTACATTTATTATAACGACAATATTCAAACGAATGTGTGACTAGTATGTGTATTTCACCTACAATAGCCAATCAAAGCCGAAATTTCTCATTGAAGGTAAGCGTTTGAACAGTTTAAAGCGCCTTATCTAACCTTTACACTATGAATATAGGATTTCCATCATAGCAATTTATAAACACAAGGTCATGTAACTCGGCGTCGTACTTGCACGCGGCTGTAAGAAAATAAAAATTGTATATTAGCAGGAAAATTATCTTTGGCCACATTGTGAATCCTACACTGGCGGAGATTTCATTGAAGGGCAATTATGCAAAGTGAAAGGCTTACCGAGAACGCCGCCATTGGGCCCATGCCATGGCTATAACGTCGCATTGCTTCACGAATATGATCTGGCTGAAGGCAGTCGGAATAAAGATCATTTGAGAGCACAGAGCTTAGCTATATGGTAGAAAAACAGAAGTGGTCAAATCATAGGAAATGTCGATAAACAGCAGTTATTCAACTGGACTAGTGCAGTTAACGGACACCTTACACTGCGCAGCTGATCAGCACAAGTGCCGCAGGCTCAGGCAATCAAAAACTTTCTAAGGCAGGCGAGTTCAGCTTTACATAATTTGATAGCTTAGATTTTTTAAAAAATAGAAAGCCAAATCCTAACCCAAGTTCTAACCGTTAAGCTTACTTCTATAACGGTGAGTGATACGGCATTTTTTGTATTCTGTATTGTTGTGTTGCCGTAAGTGTTGTTGTTGATTTGCATTTTCCCTCCAATTACAGTGCCCACAGTGTTCATGGTCACCGCAGAATAAGTATAGGTGTCCGCTAATAAACTCATTCCTAAACTGCACTCTAACCAGTGAACTGTAATACTAACTGGAACGCTAACTCTAACGCTACTTCTATACGCCATTTTGAAGCCAGTTATGATGTATTTATCCTTAGTTTTTGGGTTTATTACCATATCTTGTGTCGTAAAACTTTTTCATGGCAATTTGTGCTTTTGTATTTTATGTATATCGTTGTTAATTTTCTAAAATAATACATGAAACTTCTAGAAACTCAGGAAAACAAGCTTCAATTTGATCTTCATTGATAGCGGCGTTGTTAGCTTTCCAGTTGATATTGCAGTTCACTGACTTTTACTCAATATTTTATAGCAGTTTGCGCACTTGACCTGCGTTTAATACCTTTGTTCTTTTCTTTTTAGCCTTGGACGATTTAGAACTTGCAGATAAAGAGCTCACTCCACCTGGTAACGAAGTCAAGTTCGACCCAGCACCACCGGTGGGAGTTGCACCGCCCAAAGAGAAAGAAGGCTGAGTTCCACCTATTGATGTCGTGGGCGTGCTGGGGGGTGTTGGCGTGGAACATCTGCTCGAAGGCATTGAGGATGTTGTGATGAAAGGTAAGTTGATTTTAGAAGCGTTGTTTTCGCGCAGTAAAGGCATGACGGCTGACAGTTCGTCGCTCCGTTCGATATCTTTCTTGACCAATAACGCCATCTCTACAATCTGGCGGAAATAGAATTTATTTACAAATATTTCGACACGGTAACATCTTGAATCCAGGGGTCGGTTACACGAAGCCTGGATAACGTTATCCATTTAATAGCAAAAATTTTCAAACTTGTAAAAAAGATGTTTATGTTTTTCTTACGACGAAGAAATTTTGTAATCTTCGAAACAATGTTTTATTTCAGTGATTGCTCAGTTCGAATCTTATATTTTTGCTTTTTAAAAGGTTTTGTAAAAGTTTAAAAAAAATTGCTATCCAATGGATACGCTATCCAGGCTATCGTGCAACCGGCCACAGAACAACAAATATATAATAATAAAAAGGTTGAAAAAATCAAAATTCGGGTTTAATTTTAAATGAGGAATACGATCATCAATATTAGGCTCGTATATTAAGCGTGAGGTATACAACACGACGGTCTAGGCCTTGCTATTTTATCAAAAAGAAGTTTGAAAATGACAGAAGACCTTATAAAACAGTCAGTAAATATCTCTTGAAGTTTTTTGATTGTCCATTTTGCAAACCAGTGACGTCATATTGCATAATGAGTCGCCAAAATTTTTTAAATATCCTTCAGTTTCTGGGCAACGTTTGGATGAAACGTTTCGGCAGAATTTTGTACCATTAACACTATTTCCGGAAGGCACAAAAATACTGGATAAATCATATTCCCATTATTTAATATGACGTCAATGGTTGTACGAAATTGGACATTCTACAAACTTAAATATCTTTAAGAACAAAAGGAGATACACATACACTGTTTTAGAAATTCTACAGTCAATGTCAAACTGTAATTTAGAAAGCTAAATTTTCTCACCACAAGTACAATAAAAGTGATTACACATCATTATGATAGTTGGGGTGGCGATGATCATTATGGAATACGCTAACAAGAACGTCTTTCGTCACACCGATGAAGAATTTGTATGATAGAGCTGACCTGTCCAACTGTTTCGTACGCAAGGTAGCTGAAGACTTCCATAACTGGAGTGTTTGGTTTCAAATCTGTGAGGTTCGTGTAATCCAGCCATTCTTTGAATTTTCCCGCCTTTTTGTCTGTTAAGTCCGAAAACGTTCGACGTTAATTAAATTTTCATCTCTAACATGGCACTTCCATCGGCTATTTTTCAATGGTAAGTGTAATGAACAAGATATGAGGTGATTGGTATAGGTTGTGTGAGAGATAAGGTTATAGGTGCAGGAATAAGTTATCATATGAGGAACGACATGGATAATCGCATAGGTTTTCAGAAATGCAAAACGGGAAATTTCGCCAAACAAAGAGGAGTACAACATAGTTATTTCCCTTTTTGCCTGCTAATGGCACAAAAAAGGAGAATAATTATTGGGAACGATGGGGGGTTAAATAGACGAAATGCTTGAATATCAGCCGCTATTTTTAAACAAAAATACCTTTACAACAAACGATTGGTTTTAAATTTCCACCCAACGAATAAAATTTAACCAATCGATGGCCTAGCCTAACGTTAGATCCACCGCCGACGAGATTAATCACAAATTTACTAAATACACGTAAAAATGCCACTATACTTTATAGTTCGATGTACATACTCAACATCTTCATTAGTGCAAAAAGCCTGCGTTACTTACTAAAATTTGCCTGACGACATTCAATGAATTCTAAATATTGCTGTGTATCCAGCGATCTCGACAAATACTCTGCTCTCTGCAATAAAAGTAGATTACTATTGTGATTTAATACGGCAGACGAAGCATTTGTCGTGAAAGCCCACCTTTGTCTATCAGCGATAAGTGAGTTTTAGAATTAGTATTCTAATTTTGTATACAAAATTGAATTCTATAATGCAACATAAAAGTCTGGCAAGGTAACAAACTAAAATTCTTATTGTAGTATTAACCTACCTCCGACCGTCCCCAACTCATGTCACCCCAAATCGAAAATTCACTGAGCACAAGATCATTTAATTCTAAGTAAATTAATCTCAAAGTCCTCCATTCAGCAAAAACTTTTATTTGTGATATTGAAATCATGTGTGATTTCTAGCGTATTGGTGAAACAAGTTTTTGATTTGGTCAAATCAATCCATCTCGTAAAATTGACAAAAATGTCCTTTTTGATGGACCTGGAACGATGTAGTATTGTGACGTCATGCAAGGGTTTTTTCAATACAACGACAGTCAAGGTCAATTCAACGACAGTCAAGGTCAATTCAAAACCAATTTTAACCATAGAAAAGGGAACGATTTGACAAAAACTGATACGCTAGAAATCACAACAAAATTTAATATCACAAATAAAAAGTTTTTAGAAAGGGCACTTTAAACAGTAACAGCTACATGTGCTCATAAGATGCTGCCGTGCGCTGTAGTTGTTTGTTTCATTTGAAGTGCTACTGTGACCGTGTATTTGTTCTATCTCGCCACAAGTTTTTAAACTTTACTCGCCTCAAGCCTTTCTCTTCTCTGATCGTAACCATCGCTTCCCAAGAAGCTACTGTCATCTATACGGAAAAGGAGGTAGTTAGCAAATGAATACAATGTACTCGTTACATGTTTTTAGATGTAAATCGTCCATATTGAAATAGTCCTGAGAATGACTGTTAGTGTTGAATTTGACCGACGTTTTGACAACCTTAGCGGTAGTCATCTTCAAAGTCAAGTCAGGAGTAAATACGTATAGAAAAAATTTAACGTCAAATGTCTTCTGTAAACAAATTTTTCATTACCTAATTGTTCGAAAGAACTGGGATCGGATAATCGTCTTCGTTTGTTTCCTAACTTCACGTCATTTCCACCTATACAAGATCAAACATTTTACGTCGTTTTCTACGAGTCACTGCTACAATGGCCACCATTATCCTGCAAGACAAGCAACATGCATGCGCACATGTCTGGTCGATGAATAACCGTTAGTTGTTGAACTAAATTATTGATATATAAACACATAAAATCGCTGTGAATGTCTAACCAAATGCTCCGAGAATTTCATCATCGTCTTGAGAGATCTGTTTCATCAACTTTTGCTTGCTTTCTTTAAAACCAAGATACATGTTCAACTTTTGTAACTTCGCCTATAACAGACATTAAAATTCTGTTCTCATGCAGATTATGAGAACTTGTGAACACTGAGTGCTACTAGGGTCAAAAGCAGTGTGTTGACATAACGCAGTTTAAACGTGAAAATCTCCGCGCCAGTCTTAATTCTCGAAAATCAGTATTATAAGATCATCAACAAAGCAGAATGGCGTTAATTGATAGGGAGGGACAAGGATTCGTTGAATTTCGAAGAAGAAGTCTCGAAAAATGCTGGTTTTGGAAACGAGTGATATTAGACTGTTTATACTATAATATACTATATATTCATAATATACGTTTACACGGCCACAGAAAGCGGCCTACATTTTTGTGATGACTAAATTGACTATAGCGAGTTCAAATAAAATTGCAATACCTTGTCTTTCCTCATAAGAAATTTTACATCTTCAGTGTGCATAAACTTGCCCCCTCTTAATGCCGTAACCTCCGCCGTTTGAACAACCTAGGCAGAATAATTGGGAAAATGGCTATTTGCATGAAAAATGCAGCAAGTAAATAACTCGGAAAACAATACTTGTTGTAAGTGATACCACAAAGATATCCAATACAGTTTAACGCAACTAAATAGAATACAATGGTAGCTAACATTGTACCAGACTCGATATCTGTTTGTGAACGATTGCTTCAATAAGTCGAGCCGACTCGGCACTAGGTTTTCTTGCATCACCAAACGCGTACCTGAAAAAGACATGGTTTTCTTAAGTGGGAGACAAACTTTGCTGAACTTCTCCATTGGATGCAAGAGATAGATCAACCGATATAATTTTGTACCAAAAAAGATGAACCGTTTAGTTGCTTTAAAAAAAGAAATTAAAGAATGAGTCACAGAGTAATGCGTCGCACGTTTGGCCAGCAATGGATGGCCATTATAGGTGTTTAGTGAAGCAATATTTCTACTTTTACAACAAAATCTGATCTATAAACATGTAAGCGCGATAGGTCAAAAAATGAAGAAGAAATAACAAGAGATAAAGTTGAAGAAAGACGTTGTTTCACATTTGTTCAGTGCGAAAACAATCCCTAACAGAAGTAAACACAAGCCCGCAAAGCATTACAGTGAGACTCGTTCTTTAATTGTTTAATTGCATCTTATTATGGGAAGAGTTCCGGCGATTTTCTCTTAATTTGAGAACCTTTTGAGTTGCCTTTGTTTCATTACCATTTTTACCAACAATTGTCATGGTGCGTGGTTTGTCGTGTCAATAGTCTTTAGTTCTATATTTAACACGACCGCATTCATCCCATTTCTTTTGCGCAAAGGATCATATATTTTGGATGAGGGTTGATCTTTACTCATTCTATTCACTATCGATGAAAAAGCTGCAACTGTGATATGGTACTAGGCTTTCACTAAATGCTTTTAATTTTGACGATGATATTGAATTCGACTTTCAAAGACTAGAAACGTCAAATCTCTTAAGTGACAAAGCTTCTTTTAGTGTTTGTTTGGTTAGAAACAAAGTATATTAGAACACAAAAGTACAGTTAAAAAAATTGGAATTTTGTATTTCGCTGTGATATTTTATTCCTCAAATTTGGCTAAACTTTGAAAGTTTCATAGAATTGCGAGATAACATTCAGAATACGTCAAAATTTATTTGGTTAAATGTGAAAAAAATTTATGTTCCTTTGTCGAATTGTTTTTAAAAACACAATATTTATTGTGGATGTGGTGTGAATCAAGAATTTCGACACATACACCAACTGTTAAAATAGTGCATTTTTGGTCAAATATACACTTCAATTTCACAACTATACTATTTCTGGAATAAGTGGGTACTAGCATGCCACTTCTAAAGACCACATCGTTTTAAAAATACAAGTGATGCATGCAAGAAAATTCTATAACTTTCTTCAACGCGGAACGCCATTTGAATAAGAATTATGTAGGCCGGAAGCATTTTCGAGGCGCATCATTGAAATTTATCTCTAACTTTTCCCACAGAAATTATAGATGGCCATTTTTAATAAAAAATAAATAAAAGTTACAGTTTCAGTGGCGAAGAGTTTGACTAACGAAGACGAAGAAACTAGAGAAATATATCTTGATTGAACTTTTCCTTCAAAGTTTCATGCAAAATGTAGCTAATTGAGTAAAAAATTGGGAATGATGTTTTGAAAAATCAACTATTCAAAACATTCAAAACAAAATAGTTGACTGAGAATAAAAAGATATCTCGCCACCTTCCATAGCATGAGCTTTATTTCTTCAGGAAAAAACAAAACAATTAACCTGGTGCCCTTTTCATATGCCTTTCAACCTTGAAACAGACGAGCTGGTCATCCGATGAGGTTATTTTGTCTGTTCTTAGCAACAAGCGTAGTCGGTTTTTATAATAATTGTAATAATTTTAAAGTTAACGTGCTTTAAGTAAAACCAAAAAGAGGGTCAATCTTTCATGAAAAAATTGCGGAAGTTGCTTGACGTTTGCCGCCAAACGGCTGGCTTGAAGTTTTCGCAATTTGATTTCATTTGAGAACGATCAAATAAAACTTCATTAAAAGTTTTTAAGAAAATCTGTCAGAAAAACTGTCCTGTTTGTTTCCTCAAATATTGTGTTCGACATGGGCCTTTTTCTCGAAGTATGTTTTTCATTATGAGATGATTTGTTTTGAACATAACACCGAGTTTGCAATGTTATAAGAGAAGATTACGAATCAATTAGACAAAGCTTTCAACACAAGGATTTTTTATCATTGTTTACGGTCTATCTCGCGTTGATGGATTAAAAACATGTGCAAAGAGAAACGATTACTGTCCTACCGAAGGGATGTGTTGTAGTTGCACAATAATTAACATTATGTGAATTGACTCACCATTTATTTTCCGAATATTTAGTACGAAACAGAGCAGTAACAATTACTGTGCAACAAATATCGAGCCAAAAGAAACAGCTAACCATTCGTTAGTTAAAGTGAAATTAAATATAGGCAATCAAAAATTTTGACGGAAAATCTCGAAACTGATGTAAGGATATCTCGTATGTTAACAAGTGATATAAAAAAACGATGTTGGGAGTATACGAAGATGTACAATATCAACGGATGATTTTTGAAGATCCTTTGCAAAGAAAACGGTAAACGCAAGCCGCTCCTTTTCCTGATGTACAAGCAATGACAGTGCAGAAATATTGCGAAATTTATAAAATGTGCACGACTGCATGGTCTATCGCGATTATAATCAAGCTAAGTGTTAACATGCAAAAAATACCGGATTTCCCATCCTTGTACCGTGAATTAATTATACAAAACCATCACAGAAGTGTAACGTAATTTAGCGAGAAAGAAACTCTTTATGAACGTCCTGTATTTACTAATTCGTATTTGACTGAAAATTACGACAATCTGATTACGCAGCAAATTTTTTAAGAGAAAAAATACCCAGACTAGCTGAAAACGTCGAAGTATTTAGATCGTTTTAAATCAGGAGAGCTCGCTTGCCTTCTTTGATTTCCGGTTTAAATGAAAACCGGAAATAATATTGCCTGTACGGTTTGATGATGTGTTGTCGAAGAAAAACTGAAATCGACACAATTTTGAGCAATTTCTCGATAAAATTGACGTTTTAGACTATCAAACTCCGTGTGAATACGACATCTGACTTACATCATGCATAAAATTTCGTTTTGAAACCACGGTTTGCCACTGGAATTTTGTAAATTCTGGTGTGAAATACTTTGTTGTGACGTTTGATTCGTCTCGTTGGGCTGGCCGTGGCAGTTTCCATTTGGCTCCGTCTTTTCAACAGCTTCAACCTTAAAAGGAATATTAGACGGATATGACAACAGTTCCGCTATATCTCATCTTGATTCAAAACAAATCATAAACACGTTCGCATAATAAACACGCAAGAATATGCTGAGTCATTGTGTTAAACCTGTGAACTCACCTTGTTTTGTACGCAAACAGGCGGTTCATCGTTGCCCTTATCGGACTTATGCGGCTTTTTTTTAGCTTTCGTCATGTGCAGCTATCTTGAGCACCCACGTTTGTAGACGTAAAACGACTCTAAATTGTTGAGAGCATTGATGCAAGCGCCAACCTGAATTCGAGAGCTATGTTTGTATTGCGCATGCGTTTATGCATTCAAACGTATTATTGCGTAATTGACGTAAAATTGAACTTGCCACATGTGTCTATTCCACTTAAGGTCAAATGTGACTTTTAAAAGTGATAAAATACTAGGCAGAAAATCTAGATTTTTGTGCGTGTATTTATGTTTTAAGTCATACCTTTGTCTTGTTGTGAATTTTAGCAGATTGCAATTGGATTGAAAAAACCTTCTGATCTTTTATTCATGAAAAAATTTAACTTGCATATTCGCTTCTAATCATTCTATAACACTACGTATTTTGCACGTTCTTGGATTAGGCCTCCAAGACAGAAAGTTGTTGAAGAGCGTGGATACACAGATTCTACACTCGAGCAAACAATTAGTTGTCTTATTACCGAAATGAATAAAGTGAAAAAATTTCCAAATGAAAACTTCCACCAACACTTTCAATTTTGTTACGAACAATGACGATCACATGACTTAATTTTGATCAGTGTGCTAAGGTGCTAAGCCGGTAGATAACAAATGTAGAGAGTATTTCTTATGGGAATTGTACGCTGAGAACTGGCAACAATGTCGATTGACTGTTAGTTCGATCGGCGTTGCTTTACGTTATGCGATTTGTGATCATAGTTATTTTCAAAGCTTTTCGATATCCCTTCTAGTCTATTCTTTTTTGTTTTGTTCTGTGGTAGATGTGATCTCTCAGCAGTCTTACAAATACATTTCACCGATGTGAATACATCAAACAAAAAATATCGTGATTGTCTTGATAAAATTGGGCTACGGTTTGACCACGTGTCGGCTTTATTTGATCAATAAAGACTTTGATGCATCACCGTTTCGAGTTAATTAACTCGTATGGAGATTGTGTTGTGGAACCAAGCGGAGAATGCTAAATTTGCCAGATACAGTTTCATATTAAATAAAATATCAGCCCGAAGTCTACGTGATAAAATTCGCAGCATTCATACCCCAAAGTGCGAGAGAAAATAGGCAAGTCGTATGGGAAAATATTTAGTTGGAGATGTGTTCGCTGGGACCTTTAAAGCTGTTTGTTGAACATTGGGCAGGAACAAGGCCCCTTCTTCTCTGCCCTTTAGAAGCATTGATGCTCTTTAAAAATAGATTTTTCTTGCTTCAGTAATTCTGTACTTCTCATTTAAAGTCGAGATGAAGTTGTGGGGCGATGCTTTTACAATTTAAAGCTTTAAGGTAGTTTCCTAGTGGATACGCTGTAACTGGATAGATAGAGTGACTAACTGTTGTGATATAATGGAATGTCTAAAATGGCTAAGAAATGTTACAATTATTCACTAATGTGCTCGGTGTAGACGTCTTCTTTTGAATTGTTTAACTTTCAGAAAATCCTCGTGATGTATTGTAAAGTTGTTTTCTTTGACGCTTTAATAGATCTGTGTCTCTTTTTCTCAAACGGATTTTTTCTTCTTGTTTCTATGTTAGGATTAAGAAAGCCATTGATTTTGTCCTAGAAATTTTGAGTTTTTTTCAATAATATAAGATTTAGTAATAGAAACCGAAAGAGAAACCACATCTTCCATTTTTTTCTTTCTATCGTGTTTTTTTTCAAATTTCTTTCTTAACAATTCAATGTCACCAAATTACATCAATTTTTTCTTTGAATTCCCATGGGAAATTGTTGTAAAAAATGCGAATGTTTTTGGGTGGTATCCATCAAGGGTCCAGCATTAAATCTTCTCGATCGCGCACTGAGTAACTGCAATTATAGTACGCAAGTGACTGCTTGGGTCGAACTTAGGTGCATTCTGCATTGCTTAGTAATATACATCGAATGAATAATGAGTTTGGAAGCTTTCAAACGCAAGCGGCAATCGGCAATTTATTGTTACAAAAGTCCTAGTGTGTCGTACTGTCATTACATTAAAAATAGCTCAAACAGATGTGAAGTTATTAACAATTAACGCTCATATCTACAAGATAATCGGAAGCCAGCTTGAACTTCAAATACGCTTAATTCTATGCCGAAAAAAACCGCGGGGTTAACAAAGGCAATATTTGACAGAATAACTTTCCTGTAATTCTATTTTGTGTTCAATAATTGACATTGTTAGGCGTACTAAACGTGTACACGCTATAATTAGAAAAAAACAGTGCTCTGTGTTTATGGATACCATACGTCAAAACAGTACTTCGTTAAACATCGTACTGTGCTCGGCTTGTCAAATTATTTCTCCGCTCTTCGTGAACGTTCTCGAACACAATCGGCTCATGCGATACACTCCACGCGCACTGTGATTGGTTATAAAGCTTATGGGCAGTGCGTGTGACGTCATCTTTATTTGATTATTCAATAACACGAGTCATGTTCGTCCTGTTAATAAAACGATGAACATAAAATAACATAACATAATGTATTGACCGTCCATTGTGGTTAACATCGAGTCCCACAGAAGCCGAAACCATGACCACTATTGAAACATCGGTTTTACCACGTAAAGTAAAGGGGGAAAGATCCATGTGCGAGGCTTTGGCCGAATATCCGGGCGAATTGGTGAAGACTGACTCGCCGAATTTCGTGTGCAGCGTACTACCGTCGCATTGGCGTTGCAACAAAACACTTCCAGTTGCATTCAAGGTTGTCTCTCTTGGTGATATACCAGACGGTACGACAGTTCATATTTCTGCTGGCAATGATGAGAATTTCTCGGCGGAGCTACGAAATTCGACCGCTCTAATGAAGAATCAAGTTGCAAGATTCAACGATCTACGTTTCGTGGGTCGTAGCGGCCGAGGTAAGAGGATGATCAATGGGTATTTTTTGTACACATTTTTACGTGTATACGTATCGTATTTTCTTCGCTGAACGTGACTTTTATATCTGCAATTTATGAGGGTGCATTTGACCCAGTGTAGTAATTAGCTCTGTGGCGATTCTTGTGCATTGTATTTTGGATAATTGTTAGTGAGTTTAATCCAATTTGTGTTTGTGAGGAGGCATATACTGGAAATTTCGTTTTGTGCTTTCAGGAAAGTCGTTCACGTTGACCATAACAGTCAACACCGAACCACCACAAGTGGCAACGTACGTTCGGGCGATTAAAGTCACGGTAGATGGCCCTCGTGAGCCGAGAAGTAAGATGTTTATATGTTTTATTAATGTTGAAGAAATCTCGTTTGTGTTAGAAGGCAATTTGTGGTTAAACAAGATGGCAAAACAGAGATTTAGATATTTATGTGCGGTCAGTCTTCCAGCAATGTGATTAGATGTGATTTAATATTAAAAGCGTTTTAATACAGCGTGCTGCTGTCTCGCAATCTGCCGATTAACGATAAAATATTCAATACTTTGAAGTGGCACAGTTTATCACCAGCCTTTTCAAAAACGGTTCCATTTCTTAGTCATTAAAAATAGAATTGAGTTACTGACATTCTGTATTTGTTTTCATTCCGTAAAATGTCCTTAATTGCCGGTGTTGCTTATCACAGCTAACGCTAATGAATGGGTCGCGAATGTAAACAAACGACCTAACCCTAATACGATAGCGACAATTTCAACGAGGGTATTCGATGAACAAGCACAGGTTTGCAGAGAAACACGATAAACCCAAACACCGGGCTCACTGAGAGGTATTCAGACCATTGTATAGATGGAAACATTTTGAATAACTGTATGTTTTTATCATGTGAACCGCAAACAAAGCATGTTTATTGAATATATAATTTACTACATGCAGCGCCTGGGCAGGTGACGAAACCCATGTGAAAGACCAATAGCGAATCGCTGCCACTTCTTCCATTAAATAATAATAATTAGAGCATAAATGTTTGATGCAAATTTGCCTTTGTGATTATTGAACGGGATGATGAAAAAGAGATAGGAGATTCCTCATTTGCCATAAGTAATTATTATGAGAACTTAATGAAGTTGTGGTAAATGTTCTCACAGCACATCTGGCGTGACCGGCCCAACGCAGGTGTAAGAAGGCACTTGAAAGTACTTCATTCGCCTTGTAAACAACAATATCGATAAATACGCATAATTATACTGATACAAAGCACGTCACAAATAGACAAAATCGATATTGCGTAAAAGACAAAATCCATCCCATATTGAAAGATTTCCATCAGAAATGTCGCACGCATTCTTGTATGCAACACCATCGATATTGTTCGTAGTTTTGAATGATGAAACATTTTGATGATCTGTATGACTGTCTGACAGAATCGCTCGGCATGTCGCCTGAATTTGCCGATGTTTACAGCCGGCAATTAAAAAAAATGTACTGGCACACACGCAAATTCTGCACATTCATTTCGGCTTTTTGTCAAGCTGTAGAGACGATGATGGAATTTCTGAAAGTTGCCGCTATGTTTTACATTATTAATTTATTTCGTCTGCAATATTATAATTTGTTATATCGACAACAAGCTAATTTTTGGCGTAATCTCGAAGTTATCTAAGGAAGGTTTGACTTCAGTATTATTATACATAACTGTACCGATAAAGACAAGTTGCCTGAAGTGATACTGCGGGCTTAATTCATGGATTTTGTCGATAACTTGTGAATTTCATGTTTGATGGATGATACAATGTAAAGTGCATGTCTAATTAGCAACATCTGTGCGTGTGCGATGTTAGTATTTGTTTTGTTTTCAACAATGGCAATGTATAATATTAAAATTGTTTTGAAAGCATAATGTTAGATTGGCATCTGCTGACTGTATGTAGCCCGTTGAAACAGATGCCATGGGTGATGGAGTCAATGATTATTTCAAAAGGAATGGCTCTCATCTTATATATTATTCATTTCAACACACATCTCCATCTGCATGAATATATTGGCAATTATGCCAAACAGATACTTTAATAAATAATAGCAAATGAATTAGTAAATGTCGTGCTCAATATTTTCAACGTATGCCGTTTCAGCATTTGTTGTTTTTCAATTTCATTGAGTATCTGAAAGAAAGAATTATATCAGTTGAAATACACGAGCTTTCTGACCTTTTCCAGTCAATTGAAGACCTTTCCGGAAGTTTCAAGAGACCACTTCATAACACGTCTTTCAAACAGCTTGCGTAATTCGTCGTCATACATTTTAAAATGTTACGTCCACCAGGCTCCCAGAAGATATCGTTATACGGCGGAAAAGGATTGCCCAAATTGGATAATTTTTTAAAATTTCAATGACATTTCGTTTAAACTTAAAGAAAGCGACTTTAATTTTAGTTGTTTCGCAAGCTTTTGTCTTATCAAACTATACATAATCATTAACTGATCCCCCATTTGCGTAACGTCAAAAGAGAAATCGTAGGGAAACGAGTTAAAACTTTGAATATGTATTCAGTGTTGTGGATTTTACGAGATTGCGAACACAAAGATGGAAATGAATGATGTACAATCACTAATTTAACTAAAAGTGGATTTCATTGTCTTTCAACAAAACCACAAATCATGCTCACATAATTTGTCGATATTTTTAGTTCTTAAACATCTTACACGCGCTATGTCTGTTCTATTTTCAGTATTCTCGACGCGTTTTCTTTGTTAAATAATCTGTTATTTTTACGTTCACATAAATATTGTTTGCGAGCATTGTTGGTCCTATATTTCAACACACACCTACACTGTGGTGGCGGGGGCTGTCCGAGTGAACAAATTGAATTTAGAAATAATAAAGTGACTTCATACAATTAACTCGTTGAAATTTGATTTTGTCTGTCGTAATTTGTTTTTTTTTGGCAGTCAACGCATAAAAAATATCGCTACTCGCGAATATCAGATTATGTTAATTGGATTACTTTTTGTTAATCCTCTCAGGCTCTTGCCAATGCATTGGATATCTGGAACCGCAGAATATCCGTACTATATCAGATCTTATTAAAATTAGAAAGGATCTTTAGTGACATTAACCCACGCATGCAATAATTTATGGTCTTCTGTTCACTCTTACTAATTTTGATTTTCATCATTTTGTTTAGGGCACCGAAGAAATGACGAAAGGGATTTGCATGCAGTGTATGAGCCACCGTATGTGTCTACAGATACGCCCCTGTCCTTTGGTCTTCCTGGAGGTAAATGTTTGTTCAGTTTCAAATTCAGGAAAGATCGCTTGCATGAAGTTTTAAACCACTTGTCGTTGGTGCATAGCTTTTGAAACATTAGCAAATTTTTCACTGATCGGATTTGCTTCCAACCGAATTAAACTTATCGCAGATTATCTGTTTTCGGCACTAGCGTGACGAAGCTTTCATCGACACTTGGGAATTTGTTATTGACATAAGCAAGTCTGTTACTTTCAGTCGTCGAATCTTTTGGAAAGATGGATTTCGAATGCATGCTAGCATTCTTTGAGACAAAGATTTTTTTGCCAAGTTTTAGAAATCCTTCGATAAATTTTTTTAAGTTTTGATACCTTTGGAGAGGTCTTTTCGGTCAAATTAATTTGATGTTAAACTTATATAGCAATAGGCAGTGACAAGGCAACGTGTTTTCTATCATAACCATCTTGAGAAAAGTTGTTTATCCGTAATTTGGCAAACACTGAGGAAACCTGTGTTGTTTAGACTATTAATAGGGAGCAAGTTTTTCTTGTCTGTCTTCGATCCATTTAGCAGGCGCATTTATGGTTTTCACGGAACTGGTTGAAGAAATAAATGCGGTGTCTATCATCGTTTGGCCAATCCTAATTAACACTTTAGTTTGTGTAGCAGGCGGAAGGTTTATTTATTCACATTAACCACATGATTATTTCTTTGCCAACTATTTTATTTCGATTTTTTTCAGATTTGCAAAGATCTCAGACTTGGCCAACAATTCCGAACATAGTAAACCAACCTATGATGAACAATTACCCGGCCGATGTCTGCAGCATGTCCCAAAATCTCATCACATCACCTAAACAAAATCCATTGCTGCCCGCTATGAACGGCGACGCAATGTCCTCGCTTTTTCCTCAAATGTTCCCAACGGACCCTAGGTATTCCAGCACCACGCAGTTTTCATATCGTCCGAGTGCCACTCCGTCTTCTGTGACCTCGGCGAACGTACCTTCGCCATCCATAGGTCTCTTTCCTGGAAACCCTACCGCTTTAGATGCAAATCAGAATGTTGTGAATGGCGGTGGACTAACGCACATCACAAACACGATGAACATAATTAACAATCAAGTGACGTCATCTATGGTAAATAGTACCAATGGTCTGTTTACCACAACGTCATCGCTGAATGATCACGACCTGTTAAATCACGTGACTTCAACTACGCCAAAAGGCTTGTATCAAGCTTCCGCTCAGACTTCGGCAAACGCACTTCCTATGACCCAGTCTCCGGTTTACTCAAACATAGGTAATTCTTACGCCATGATGAGACCAACTTCCATTGGCCTTCACGATGTTGCTAATGTAAAATTTCAATCTGGCAATGGCGTGAGCTTCGCAGATTTGAGCAATTCATCATTGAACATTAATGGGTATTCATACTCACCAAAAAATGACACTCACAGTGAAATGGGGAAAGTCTCTGACGTTATGAATCAAATTGACGATCTGAGTCATGTTCGCATCAAGCTCGAAAACGAAACAGTACGCAGTGTCTCCCCAAAGGTGTGGCGGCCGTATTGAGTAAAAAATGTTTGAGATGATGTGCTAAACTCATGGAGTTACTGAACTCTTCAGATTCTGTGCTGGTTTAGATCACATTTTTGCATTCTTGAAAAGCTCGGTTCAACATTCTTATTAAAGAGTTCAATTTCAGCGTATTATAGAAAAATCTGCACTTAGTGAACAAATTAATTTAACGTAATTATTTATTTGTAATATATATTATAATATTCTTCAGAATATGTAAAATATGCGTTTGTGCATGAGAAATGAAGTCGTGTTTAAAACATATAATTTATGTGACCGAAGTCGTTTGACGTGATGAATTAGAATTGTTAAATTGTTTTAATTTGGCTCATTTCATAAATAAGATTAATGACAATCGTTGGTCTTTCAGTAAATTGTTAAAACATACTATATGGTTGTTTATACTTGAGTTATGCCGGAAACTTACACATACTCGAGTGTTATTGGAAAATTCGGATAAATTTCTCGACTATGTGGAAATTAGTGGAAATGCTCATTCCCATCGATATTGTAAGTTGGAAATCGACTCAAAGCTGAGGTAGTCGAGATTTTACTATACTGCTAAACTTTTTCGGCTACTCTTAGTGAAGGAAATGTGCATGATTTGAATCGGATTATTGGACGATTTTCAGCATTGATATAAATTAATCCCAACAAGCAATCTTATTAGTTATTATGTATTTGTTTACAACTTACTACTGCGTCAAAGATATCACACAAATAACTTTTTTATCAATACAGTTGACGATCTGTCTAATTATTCAAACTGTTTATAACAAACATCTGTTTCTCCTGGTACATGTATTGAGCAGGAGCGGATCCAGGGTATGTCAAATCAGTCACGCGACTGATGTTTATAGTTCAAAAGTTATCAAATTTAATGATTACAATTTTTAGTGATCATTGAATTCCCGATGTATAGTCGTACGAATTTCATTTTCAAAATTCTGTTTTATATCTGAAATCTTACGTAAATATCACGTTAGCAAACAGATCAGTACATTTTAGCATATCTGGAATTATATTATATAACTATATTATATAAATGAATTATATTATGTAATTATATAACTGACTGACTGATAAGCGGGGTGGCTCGACTGGTTCGAACGATAACGGAGTTCAAGAACGCTAATTTAAGCCACTCCATTGGTCAATAGCCAGATCAGTGGACGATCTGGAATAATCTCGACTGATAAGCGAGTGGCCGGACCGATAAGGGAGACCAATTGCTCTCGTGTAATTGGTTCGTTTAAATTTTTGTCTTACTGTGATTGGTTGGACTGATTTCGACTGATAGCCAACTGAGCTAACATAGTCATGTTTACTGTCTGAATTGAATGTTTGATCGTTTTACAGTCAGAGCCACCACAGAAATTTAGGAAAATCTTTTACAAATTCATACATTGACATGAATGCTGCAGTCCAGACTGTGAATTTTTTCAAGAGGGTGAAAAATTTATGGATGAATTGTAAATGTTCGGGAAGACGATCTCGCCTCGCGACGCGAGAGACATTTCAGTCACTGATGTTGATAAGCAAGCCAATATTGTTTTGAGTTTTCTCAGCAGAAATGTACATCCAAAATCGTAAGTAAAGGATAGCTGAAGTGTATGCATGACTGTAAAATATCAAAGTCAATTTATGCGAGTATGTGATGCGATTTATGTAAATGTGGCGTATGGCATGCAGATTGATTCTTCTAAAATTGTTGTTGCCGAAGGACTTTTAGCTATGATTTCTTTGGTGCTTGGGCATCTTGGCCGTAATATGGCAGCGAAATCCTACGTTCTTTCAAATGTATTTCATTAGACAAAAAATCTGTAGCCATAAGGTGCCATGCTATTATTTACCATATTATAAACAATGTTTGGAGCTTTTCAGTTCATGATCATCGATCATTTAATCATTGGACAGTTATGCTACACATTGTTTAAGATTTGAAAAAACTAATATTGATTACATGAGAAGTTGCTTACTATAACCAATGATAATGAGTCTTTCTGATCGATGAAGCTTTTTATTTTGACAATTTGACTGGAATGGTATTAAACCTGAGTATTTCACATACATGAAATGTTGTCCTATGTCACATATTGTCCCTTTTTCTAACTGAACACCTCATGTAGAGATGCCAAGGTGTGTTGATCTATGGCTCAAACCAGATTGTTTTCCAGAAATTCCTAAGGGATGTTGATGAAGGAAAAACATTTTCCATAAAGTAAAGATGTGTTCCTGGGTATGCAGATAAGCCTTGAAATTTGGCCAAACAGCAAAGTATTTTTCATAATCACTAGGTAATTTTTCTGATGACCATTATAATTTTCAGACTAAATTATTTCAGATTCACATTTAAACGAGCTTTGGTCATATGAAAAGATATTTTCATAACCAGTAAGCATGACACATGGAATAATTTTAATATACATGTTATTATATGATTAACGGTAGGTTGGTTACATTCTGTTTATATTGGCAAATACAATGCTACTGATAATTGCTATATAGCATGGCAGAAAAAAATTTTGAATTTTTTTTCAAAAGGTGAATTTGCTAGCACTGTAAGTGGAAATGACTTAAGGGTTACAAAAAAGTGCATGGTTTGAAGTCTGAGCTTTTTTAAATCTATGAACTGTCCCTTGTAGTACTTCAATTCTAACTTAACTCATTACAAAATAAATTTTTTGAGCCCGGGAGTATCGTTACATGTTTGTAAATGTCGATCGTCCAGGTTGGTATAGTCCTGAGAAGGACTGTTTTTAAGGTTGTTGACGTTTCGACAACCTTAGCTGTAGTCATCTTCAGAGTCAAATGAGGAGTAAACGTCAGGTTAGCCGTATTTGTTATCTGGTTCTTACGTCATTGTATTGTGTGTACAGGAAATGTGTATTGTCATTGTGAATTAGTGTGTGAAGTGAAATATTTTTATTTTTAGTTGTGATGTGTGATTTAGGTGTGATGTTTTTAGTTGTAATGTGTGGTTGTCAAATGTGTATTGTCATTGTGAATTAGTGCGAAGTGTAATGTTTTTAGTTGATCGTTTGTTTGTATTGTGAATAAGTCGTTTGTAAGTTGCCGGTAATTGCTGTGATCTGTTCAGGGGGGTTTGTTCCAAGTAGACCGGACGCTCTACACAACGAAAACAACTATCTCAAACGTGTTTTTGACAAAAACAACTATAACTCTGACTTCATCAAACGCAACACTTACAAACCCAACGAACCCGACGAAACCAACAACTCAGTGACAACAGCAACGATACCTTACATCAAAGGTACGTCTGAGACTATCTCACGTATCTTACGACCATACAACATACGTGTCGCACATAAACCAATCACAACGTTACGACAAGTGCTAACGAACATAAAAGACAAAGAACAACCCAACGAACGACAAGGTGCAGTTTACAAAATAAACTGCTCCGACTGCCACGCCTCCTATATCGGGGAAACTGGCAGGAACTTAAACATAAGACTTACTGAACATAAACGAGCTACTAAGAAACAAGACAAAACTAATCACATTGCCGAACATCACCAAATCACAAAGCACAACATTGACTGGGACTCGGCAAAATGCATTGCTTACAGTACTGACTATAGACAACGGCTTACATTAGAAAGTTGGTATACCAGCTTGTAACAAACCCCACTGAACAGATCACAGCAATTACCGGCACCTTACAAACGACTTATTCACAATACAAACAAACGATCAACTAAAAACATTAAGCTTCACACTAATTCACAATGACAATACACAATTGACACCCACACATTACAACTAAAAACATCACACCTAAATCACACATCACAACTAAAAATAAAAATATTTCACTTCACACTAATTCACAATGACAATACACATTTCCTGTACACAAAATACAATGACGTAAGAACTATATAACAAATACGGCTAACCTGATGTTTACTCCTCATTTGACTCTGAAGATGACTACAGCTAAGGTTGTCGAAACGTCAGTCAACAACAACAAAAACAGTCCTTCTCAGGACTATACCAACCTGGACGATCGACATTTACAAACATTTAACTCATTTCATAGAGGTGTGAATAGGGGTCTCTAGGGGGTTTCATGCCTGACAACTTGGTAGAAAATTTAAAGACTATATCTATTTTGGATTATTATAAAGTAAAATTTATGTTCCTAAGCATGCTAATGAGCCTTAACATTTGGCAAAACAGTCAAGTATTGTTCACTTCACAGTTTTGTTTTGAAAAAAACGTAAGCAAAATGTGTTGTTTTTATGCAAAAACGATGCCCACAAAAAACATTTTGTATCACTCTAAAATGCTGAAAATGGCATTTCCAACCCTTTGAAATTCAAAATTTTCCCGGGGAGCATGTCCCCCGGTCCCGTCCCCAGGTGGGGAATGCCTCTGGCCTTCCATGTCTGATGTTTGAAAAATCCTATATCCTCCCCTAGTATTGAGAACAATGAATTTGTTTTCATGAAACCAACTGACAGCTAAATTTACTGATTAAGTTCCATTTGGCAATCTCTGATTGATGATGTAATGATGTAATCATTGTAATGTCGATAATTAACGGCTCAATAACGGATTTATCGTAATAATAGGTAAAGTTATTTTTTGATATGCCAGTAAATAAGAGAAAGTTTATGGAATGCTCTCCCAAGGTTATAACTGTCTCTATCAGTATTAATAAGACAATTCATAAAGATATGAACAATTTTTGTCTCGTCAAATCATACAAATTGAAAATTTCATTGAGTGGCTCTACTTTTTAATTCAAAATAATGTGTCATAGGCTCTGGTAGTTTTCATCAAAAGTTGGTGGTAATACATGTAGCTTTCGCATTCTTTTTGATCAATAAGTAGATCAGTTCCAACGTCTCCCAGGTTTGCATAAGCCAGAACAAACAAAAAATCTTCTATTACTTTTATAAAAACAAGTAACGCAGATAAATTTGAAACAAGCGTCTTTATCCGTCCTCGAACAACAAGGGGGAATTGAGCCAACCAGCGGTTTGTTTACGTTTTGTTTACGTTTTTAAGAATCAACCAATCAAAACTCGCAAAACACAAAAATGTAGACAAAAGGAGTGAGAAAATTGCACTTTGTTTGAAGCCTTTGGCGAGCTACGTTTTTGAGTAAATAAATGTAAAAACCAAGGGTTCATGTAAAGCAACACATTTTCTTCAAATTCCTCGTGGGCATTTTTGAATTTCGATCTAGAACGGAATTTATCGGCTGTTGAACAACTACCATTTTACATGCGTGAAGTAGCATTGGTCATGTGCTTAGTTTACAGGAGTTACTTATTTTACTGGCGAAATTTAGCAAGTTTTTACACAATGTATAACTATTATCTTAATGAGCTTGAACAATTTAGTATTTGACACCTGTCATCTCGAAGTGTGTCCTCTAGCAATCAATGGTCTGCCATATTTCTCAATAACAATGATAAATCAGCGGACGAAATTCGACGGAATCGTCCTCATTTGGCGATTTTGGTCGAAAAATGTACAGTTTCGATTGCCTTTCAAGCGTGGGTATTTTTATGGCTAACGTTCTGCCTTGGCAAAGAGAAAACTTGAATTGTCAACCGACTATTCTTGGGTTGCAAGCTACGTCATAGTCGCCATGTTGGATGATCTTAACAAAGATTCTCCTTATTTACAATACAAATTTCATCCAACATGGCAAGCACTTAATTGTTCTCTTACTCCCAGGGGGATGGTTGCAAACCACCAATTGATTGTGCCCCTTGCCAACGACTTACTCTTCTTAGCGAGTAAGGGCCTGTCGCCCTTATGGGCTTAGTCTGTACAAAAACACTTCGGCCGATAATTCACCGTAAAGACTTCGAGCTCGGTTATTAAGAGCTTAATAATATACATGAAAAAATTTCACAATTCTGTTGATTTTTAACTTCAGCGTATTTACATTTCAGCCTCTAGTTATTGACGGGCTAGTATATTTCAATTCCGTCGGATATTTCTTTTCACAACATCATAGTTTCCACACACCGCTAGAAAAAGGTATCTACTTTTAGCAGTGCTCATATTTGTATCCAGAAACATCTTTAAAACGGTGAACTTCAAACTCGTTTGACAAAGAAAATCTACTTAAAACTTACGCCAGCCATTGTAATTGCTTTGTTTACAGTAATGTAACTTTCCCTCTTTTGAAATGTTTTATTTTGATTGGCTCTTATATTACTTCTCTGTTTGACTAACCACTGGTTTTTGCTTTTTTGCAGCGGTGTTTCGCATTTTTGCACTGGCATTTAAGAACAATTGCACTGCTCTTAACCAATCAGAATTGAGAAATTTTTTCTTTATTAAGTCTGAAAATGTATAATCCACTATTAATTACATTAATTCACAACTAGAACGGCGACTTTGTATTGATCTGAAGAATTTATGCAAATGGTTTGAAAAAGTTATAGAATTGTGTAGTATTTTTGAGCATTACCAAAAGTAAAACCACAATGACCATCTTTTTTTCTCTGCTATGCAAATATTTTGTTGTTTAGTCACAAAAGAAACAATACACTCCTACAGAAATTAACAATGATAAAGTTCTAAAATTTACTATTATTTTTGACTTTCAACTCTTTCCAATTGATCATCACAATATTGCCGAAATGAAATGTTGATGTTTCTTCATTTTGTTCATTTAATAGTAAGATAAGCTAGAAATATCAACGATACACATAAAGGCAGACTGAATTTTCTCACATAAAAATTTCCGGCATTCTTTATTTCATACTCAGAGCTATGTAAAACACGTTCAGTTGTTTTTGCACTGGGCGAGAATATTGTGCATCGGTTGCATCTTGTACGGGCAAAAGTCGTTCCTCCTTTCGTGTTTATATTTCTCTTAATGCAAAGCTTAAAACGTATCTTGCGCTTTGTGGCTAAAAAAAAACGTGTTGTGCTAACGTTATTCTGCTTCTGCGTTGTTTGGTTTAAAGGACCTTCAGTTGTGAAACTTATTGCGATCGATGAAATTTGCGTTTTATTTAAAGTCGTACCAGGTCTGTGCGCGGTCAGGTTTGTTGTGGCGGGAAACTCGAGAGTTGTTGACGTCGATGCCACACGTGAAGCTACCACGTGTTTTTCGAACGTTGTCTTTAGTGCAACAGTGTTGTTGTTCTCTGGTGGAATTCTTGTCGAAGACTTGATTGCTTTGTGTGATGGTTTTGTTAGTTTAAAAGGTGAGGACTTTCTTGAACCTACTTTTTGTTTGTGCGTTGATAAAGTCGGGCAATGTTGTCGCGAAGGTACTAAAATTGAAAGACAATATTTATGGCAATTCATTACATGCAATGAGTGAGTGCTATGACTATTTGAATGACAATTATGACGAACGTTTTCAAAGTAAGTTTGCTAAACTCCGAAACTGGACTCTTTACTATTTGCTGATAATCTTTATTCCATGTTTACTTTTATATTTTGTATGAAATTTCTGTCTATTTATTGGTGGAATTGTGGAAAGCCTAGGTCGTGGCTTGGCTGAATTTGAGCTTCCTAGTCTTGTTTCATTTCTTCAATCTTGTTTATTTTTTCATATTCGGTTGTTCAAATCACAAAACTTCCTGAAATTTTAACTATCAAAGTAATCTTCAAATATATTTCAGTGACCATTTGGACCATAATATAGTATAATACTTAATAGCTGTATATGTACTATCACAAAAACTTACCACAATTATATTCAAAGTGAACGTATTGAAAAGCAGCTTTGCAATGCTCTGAAATTTCTGTATAACGATTAAACAGGATGCATTTTCCTTTCATTCCTTGACATTTGCTGGATATGTAGTTTTCTACAAATATTTTGTTGCATTTCCTGTTTGGTGTGACATCTTTGACATGGGCACAAACAAAGTCATTCTGCCTTGTGGAAATGCTTATCCGTTCTATGCAGATAGTTTCATTCCTTTTGCAGTCAAACTTTTCTTTATCCATTTCACCACATTTAATACCTGATAATGTATTTATTACACTGGAAAATTTTCAAGCTTACATCCATATTACAGTAGTGCTCAATGTTAGCTCACTATATTTTTGTAAGAGGTATGGTAATATCTATGATTATAGAGCATGCTTGCCTGTGATAGGAGTGGTGAGTTAATGTACATGTGATTATAATCTGGTCACTTTCTTCTGTTTATATTAAGAGGGACATTGCCGTCACATGTTTTGTTAGTCAGTATGTCAGCATGATCGGAATATAAAATTTTTTCCACCAGGTTGTTAGAATTTGGTATCCCTCCCTAACATCCAGTATCCCAAATAAGGATACATAAATAGTTGGCTTTTCTTATTCCAGGGTCGGATACAACATATTTTATACATAATGTGGATGCTCCTTTCCAAATCCTAAAAGGAATTTGTACTTGGCAATTTATTGGTGATTGAGATGTTGTCTAATTATATGTGATATCTTATTGGGATGCAATTAAAATAAACTTTGTACCAAAACAAAATTTTGTCATCCAGTTGATATCAGAATGTCACAAATTTTAGACGTGAGTCAGTAATTATTTGATTGTGCTTCAACCCTTCTCTAGGATTTGTGATGTAGTCAAATCATCTAAGGGAAAACTATAGCTGCCTTTTCTGTTTTCTAATAATTTCAGAAATTGGCAGTTGCATGGCTAGCTTTTTGGTTAATTAAGCGAATCTAGTGTTCTGAAAATTTGTTTTGAGATTTAGGTGACAGCCGATAAAACTGGGTAAGTTGGCAGGCCTGCTTGCGGAAGACTGGCAGGTCGGACCTTAAAATGCTGAGTCAGCATCATGGTAAAAAACATTCGTTGATGCTTCATAAGCGAGTTACTGAAAGTAAACGTTGTAATATACTTTTTTACTCATTTCATACTACTCAATTAAATGGTACTGAGAATTTTTCAAATTTTTCGAAAATAAGTCTCCAGAATGTACTGTTCACTCTTCTAAGAAACATTTCAACTCCCCAGTTTTTAGCTAGACAAATCATTACTACACTTGAACTGAAGTTTTTTTGGGCAATGTTTGACCTCACTTTTGTGGCTGCACTAATCAACCAATACTAAAATCATTACTACCTTACTTTGTCTTACGTCATTTCCTTACCTGCTCACCTCCTTTGAAAGAAATGTTTATGTCTTATTAGAGAAAGAATGTTGTAGAATTTTACGTATCAAATATAAACGAATACATTAGTTTATCTCATTGCAGAAATTTGCTGCATAAAATTGCAATCTGGCAATGTGTTTGGAATGAAAAAAAAACACAAGAACCTTAGTTTTAAAATATAATTTGTTCCCAATTGAAAAATACCTCTTTTTGTTTTACTGAGATTTAAGTATGCTTTGACAACTTACCTTGTTTTCCTTCTGTGAGGCTGCACATCAGCATTAAGACAAACTGAAGTATTTTCATTGCGGTGCAGAGTTCTAGTTGTGTAGTAGCAATGATTTTGAACGATAGATATTTCAAATCTATGAACAATTTCACCTTCAACGAAATTGTATATGCCACAATTAATTTTTTGAAGTGGAGGAAAGCGAAGTTTTTTTCTATTAAACATTACTTACGACGGTTACGATGTGTAAAAATCTTTAAATAATGAATTATCGCAGATGATATCTGGTGGTGATAAGTGCTTTGATCGTCGGCTGAAATTTATTTCACTCAATTAAACTACATTTCTTAGTTTGAATATTTAAGAGAATTTTTACTTTTAAAAGGTTTGGACGTCAACACATTCCCAGTTGAGATTTTTAATGTTCAGTACGAAAGTGTAAATAAACTTGCATATTTGACAATGTAACGGAGCATATGTTTGCACGTTGCCAGTTGTGCCTGTACAGATAAGCCAATTTTTAAGTGAAAATTTCGATTGATATAGCTTTCGAGTTAATTCTCTGCGGTGGTTTTAAGGGCTGCTCACTAGGACGTGTTATGTATTCCTAGCGAACAGAAACAAGGGTAACTAAAAACAAAGAAGCAAAAAAAAGTCAACTTTTGCAAAGATTTCTCATTACTGGGAAAGGCTTAAATTGCGATTTTATATGTGCCAGTGTTGTTGTTTTCCCTTTACAACACTTGACGAGCAAACTTCGGTTATTTTTTAGCTAACACGGCGTGATTTTCCTATAGACAAAATTTTTCATTACTGGGAAAGGCTTAAATCCTATAGACTTAAATCCTATATAAGCTTTTCCTATAGACAAGATTTCTCATTACTGGGAAAGGCTTAAATTGCGATTTTATATGTGCCAGTGTTGTTGTTTTCCCTTTACAACACTTGACGAGCAAACTTCGGTTATTTTTTAGCTAACACGGCGTGATTTTCCTATAGACAAAATTTTTTTCGACCACTTATTTTTCTATCTTAGTGATTTTAGTCCTTTTTTAGTCTTTTTTATAGTTTTCCAATTGGAGGCTCATTTGTACCGTGTGATAAATTTTGGCAATTCATCTGTTTACGTTCATCAACTTATTTGTAGCGATTTTATGATACATGCTTGCCTGCAGTAATCAGTTCAATTTAATCTGCGGTTGTACTGCGGTGGTGTATTGACAGATTGAAGAACACTTTTTGCTGCCAATAGCGATGGGTTTAAGCGATTTCTATGAATAAGAGATGGCGCAGAGTCAGTCGGGTGAGACAACGACATGATTTGTAGCTTGTTGAACAAAGCCATCTTGCCTTCACGCGTATATGTGAAATATAATGAAGGAAATGATAGTTTGGCAGTGGAACAACTACGTGCTTCTCCCTTCTGATAGTCCAAATTCTTTTGCCATGTGTTGTGATAGTTAAGGCAAAGATATTTCAAATCTATGAACAGTTTGACCTTCAACGAAATTGTATATACCACATTTAATCTCCTTGAACGCATTTATAAATTAACAATATATCAAACGGCTACCAAAATGACTTAAACGCATTGATTGAAACTTTAAAACGCAATTCTTTCTCTTTCCATTTCATAGATGAAGTTATCAAATCTTTCAACGAAAAAAAAACAGCCAGTCGGACTGACATCAAACGAACCAGTCAAACGAAACCCAACACTCACTATTTCAAACTTTCTTACATTGGCTCCCACTCACACACTACCCAACAAAAACTACGAAACTTAACAAAACGCTTTCGTATTGACCTAGACATTGAATTTATTTAGTCCTCCTTTAAAATAAAAAACATTTTTAATTTCAAAGACACCATTCCCTCCTTACTCAAATCATGCGTAATATACGAATTCTCATGTGCGGGATGTAACTTCCGTTATGTATTGGTGAGACAACTCGCCATCTCTCCACACGCATCAAAGAGCGCACACATTCTGACAAAAACTCACAATTTACAAACACCTCCACACTTCACCACAATGCAAAACCAAATACCCTCATTCTTGTTTTCGCATTCTAGACACCGTTAATTCTTCTTTTTCTTTGAAACTCAAGGAAGCGCTCCACATAAAAAAACTCAAACTGAATCTCAATAAACAAGTACATCACATCACCACGATATTCAACTTGTTAATAATTCCACCTAGTAATTCGATACACTCTCACTTGAATAACATAAATATAACTGTAAATAAATAACATAATCATTCCTTGTACTGAAGATGGCATAAGCATGCCGAAACATGTTTACTTTAAAAACAATTGTCGTACACTTGAAATTCCTAAGACAAAAGATCTGTTCCAAAATAAATATATATTACACAAAAACATCAGTTTGCTTTTTTCATGTTATGAACGTTTTGTACGTCTATTAAAACGACGTATTTATAGAATTAAAATCAATTTCGCAACCGAACAGCGTATTATGGAAATCCAGTGTATATATCTCCTGCTTGGTTGGTAGCAATAGGACAAACCTGTTCTGAAAGAAATTAGATTAGAGTTTGTTTAAAGGGAAGCAATTTTATCATTACTGATAAGAATATTGGTATGACATGTGCGAATTTAGAATTTTCACGAGATTGAGGTGTTTCTATATTCTAGTCGTCTAAAAAATATGTATACATATATAAAGTATACAAATAAAAGTTGAAAATCAGTAAATATGATTTTTCGTGGCGATCTCCTCACGGGAGAAACTGTGGGGGAGTTAAGTAGCTAATATAGAAGATATAGTGTAGATTCGTCGCCCATTAATTGAATTTTTTTGAGAATGTTGAAGTGGAAGGAATTTGGCTTAGGCTCAATACAACAAATATCATTTATCTTCGAAAATGTGTATCCTTCGAAACATGAGTTTCTACTCATGCTTTGAAATGGCTTACATATGTATATATCAAGTAGGAAAGAATCCTATAATAGTATGATACTTACGGTAAATGGCAGCTATGACCATGCTAGTGTTGATGAGATGCCATACTAGATGCCACAAAGTTATTCATTCCCGAAAAAACTACAGAACTACATGGTGTGTTGGAAATACATCAAAATTGTAAACCTGAATCGCATGACATTGCTGTCTTTGAGGTTGGGGCTATGAATATCTGATCTTTGGCAAATCAAAGTTACATTCCACTTATTCCAGTACGTATAAGTAGAGAATTTATGATTTTTTTGCACCAGTCATTGAAACATTTTAATGGAAGAGAATTTCCAAGCGGATTTGTCTGTCTGAGCCACTCAGGATGACCCAGACAAATATAATTGGGTTTGGCGCGGGCTATATAGCTAAGTAGCTCATGTGTGATCATTAACCTAGGTGTAAACAAATCGGAAAAAAGTGTTTCACTTTCATTTTTATGAATTATCTTCAATAAAGATATAAATTGCACGTACGGCGTAAAAGTGTCATAAAACGGCAGACAGGTTTGATTTATGTCTGGTGAGAACACCAAAAACTTTGAGAAATTAATCTTTAATTTTTTAAGAAACGCAGAGCAACATGAATCGCTATGAAAGCTTTGAAATCTAAAACAAGTTGACGAACGAATGTTTGAGGATGTCTGAAAACTTGATGTAATAAATTGTTACTTTACAGATTTGACTACGAGTACGACTGCCTATAAGTTTGACAGAGGGGAATCTGGGTTTCACAAACAAGTTGTGGCACTCTTAGTCAAATCATTTGCAAATGGCTCTTGACAGGAAGCGTCGTAAAAACAATAAAAGTGGTAGGGGGGCGAGGGAGGACGTTAAAGTATAAACATCGTGAAATGTCAAGAGTGGCGTTTCTTATTTTGCCAGGGCTTTTATACTCCATGCTCACAGGAAACGTAAAATGAGAATGGGACATAAATTGAATGATGCCATCATTATCATGTGATCTTAGGCAAATGAAAAACGACATAAGTTTTTAACGTCAAACTATTGATTAAAGTACTGGTCGTTTGGTCTCTTGACAATAACAAAAACGTATCTAAAGTAAATGGTTTGAACCCGGAAGTATCGTTACATGTTTGTAAATGTAGATCGTCCAGATTGGTATAGTCCTGAGAAGGACTGTTTTGTTGTTGACTGACGTTTCGACAACCTTAGCGATAGTCATCTTCAGAGTCATTTCGAAACAAGAAACGTATCTATACATAGCAGCCAAATCGGCTGCAATATAGATACTTTCCTTTTATTGTCAAAATAGACCAATAATTCACTTTCATAGTAATTTTCCTATTTTAATGCAAAATAAGAGGGGACTGCCCAACTTCCAAGAAAAGTTAAAACCTCCCTTTAACCCCTACTTCCGGGACCCATGCCCGTGACCGTACATAGTTGATTTCAAGCCGTATATACAATCGGAGACTCTTTAATATCACTGCAAGTCTCGTCTACCTGAATTGGGGCACTTTTACATGATAAATCTTGCATTTTTTCAGCCGATGATTCTAATGATCCTCAATGAAGCGACTAAGCAAAGCTTCACTTGGTAAACAAATTGTCATGCCAATACACAGGCACTAAAACCTGTCCTTATATGAAACATGGAAGTTAATATACTTTAGAAATAGCAGCTAGTTATTTGCTTGGTTTTAGACGAATAGTCGTTTTATATTTCAACAGTTTTATTCATCATGAAAAAAAGTAATAAAATTTTATTCAAGATAAAATTCTTACAGTAAGGAAGATTGTTGCTCGTTAAACGAAATATACAGCTAACTGGAAGGTTACCTTTACAAAAACAAGCCTGTACTTGCGTGAAGCCGAATTTTACTCTCAAGTTATGCATTGTATCTTATTGTCATAAATAAACTTTCTTTGGGCTGTGTGAAGAAAGATTGAACAGATAAAATTGCTGGCTCCTAATTTTGACGGGAAGTAGCTTTCCATGCAGTTATATTCACTTGCTGCGATGTTTCGAATCAGTTTTTGCGCTTTTGGTATTTCAATACAAATGTGAAACTATGAAACAGGACGCGAATACGATATATACTATTATACATTTTATTCTGAATATCAACCTACCACCCCACATTTTTGATTATAAATAATACTAACTACATTAAAAAATGAACATTTTTAATCAATTTTTCCAAAGAATACTTGATTAACCGGGCTGATGGAAATGTTGGTAGCCATATTTTCTATATCGCCGAATGAAGATCATAGCAGAGCATAGGGTTTTTATAGAGTCCTTTTAACAACAAAAAGGTATTTAAGAGAGAGTCGTTTCGTTTCGTGTAATCTTCAGAGCAAGTGATTATGGGCTTCAATTTCATTAAATTTCTATGCAAAGAAAGGTTAAGTTATTGGAAATAAGAGATGTGTTGAAGAATTGAATTTTTCTCGTTTCAACACGTGTTTTTCTCTTTTCTGTTATGATTTTTTATCATCCTTTACTCTCCAGATGAATCTCCCTTCCACGAAGGCCTCCTTTGAGCGCAAACTTTCTCAGTCGGGTAGGTAGCTCTTTTTTCCTCTTCATTCTTGCAGGGGTTTTTCATAGTTATTTGAGATTGTTGTAAATAATACCATACTGCCATATATTAGCCTTCACTTTCTCTGAAGATGTGTTGAAACGAAACGTGCGTGCTCTGTTTTTAAACATATACTTTCATTCTGTTCAAATAACTGTTTTCGAAATGTTTTAGACTTTGATGTTTATCTTTATTATCATCTTACATTTCCGGAAAGCATATTTTCTATAGTGCATGATTAATTCGGAAAATTTTCTTAGAACAAGGACTGTGAAATGGTCTCTGTATCGGAGGCAAGTCTTTTCGCGAGCGAAACTGTAACTCCGGTTTTGTAGCTAATTCGTGTGCATTTGATCTGTACTAGATTATAAATTATTAAACTGTATAAGGAAAAGCATTTAAACAATTTTTCTCTTTGAAATTAGGCAAACAACTCACTAAGCTCCATGTATATAACTATTAAGATTATAGTCTAGGGACATTTACAAAGTGAAATATATAGCCAAAACCAGTAAAATGTAATATCCAGTGCGATGTAGCGATGTGGCAACGTTGTGCTTTACTTCAAATTGAACAGACTGACTCGTTTTTGTCTGGTTTTGTAAAATTCTTTCCGTCTTTTCAGAATGATCATCGTAGATGAGTCGCTGTACTTCAGTTCGTGTCATTGGTTGCACTGTCACAAAAAGGAACTGTTATGAAATCAGAAAATTGAAAAAGTAATGATTTTTTGACTACTTCAAAAATACTAGATGACAATTCGAATGTTATCTTTATGATCACCATCGTTTAGTTAAGCTTTAAGCCTTGATTCTGGATCAGATATGTAACAGCTATGTGTGATATTATGCACATGCGTGAGTTTCGAGTCCCTATTTTTGATAGATGTTATTACTTAATAAACTTTAGCCAGTAATTGTAGTGTGTTAGCTGGCATTTTTTAGGATGCAGCCCTCCCGTCGTCAACTATTCGAGACTAGCTACCTCACTGTTTAGCTAAGCGCAGGTAAGAACTCCTAACAAATGAGACCTCTTATAAAAATCAGCGGAGTGTAGAGAATTTAGCAACTTTTAACAAGTTTTGTGATTGTTGGAAAAACCAGCATTGAAACGCAATATTTTTAAAAGTCGTGACTTACAGCATTCGTAGCGGAGTGTCACATATTTGAACACATCCTCACATGATGTTGTTGCAAAGTTTTTATCGCTAACGATGAAAGAATCACATTTAGTCTTTCCGTCACATATACTTGCTATGGGATAGTAAACGTTCTCCATTGGGCAATTTCGGAGAGTGTCGTTCTTACTCCGCCCTTTGGCACATATGTCTTTAGTTGCTCTTCCGTACTTTGCCGACTCGATTTGAATACCATACTCGATATTACTGCATTCTATCCACCTCGAGATGTCGTCTCCCTCGCAGGTGTATTTGTATTTAATTTCAGCTTCAACTGTTATAAATGTACGATTTAACAAGTGTCTGTTAGTGAGTTGTTAGCTGTTTATAGATTTCGTAATAATAGAAAAGCATCTGTTTAATGCAGTGGAATTAATTTATACGTGCCATCAGGGAATACATTCTTCGTCACTTTGATTGGTCCTTTTAACAACGCATCATAAAACCATGGAGGCATAGACCGATGCAACCGATGCGAATGCATTGGTCAAAATTTTTAGGTATTAAAATCTGCGAGTTTGCATTTTAATGAAATAAATAGCAAATATTATTTTCAAATTATTTAAAACGCACATTTGATGGTATATATTGTTTAGTTAACTTATAGGTTTAGCAGTTTTAAGCTAAAATTTATTCTAGAAATAACATTTGTGTTCTCCGATAATTTTGTCGTATTCCATGACACAAATAGCGAAAGAAAAGTCGATAAAATTTAGCGAAATTTTATCGTGAATACGTAATTAGTAACTAACTTAATAGTATTCTGCCAGCACGCCATGGTAGATGGAGGTGAATAAAATAATTTGAAGGCGAGACACCCACGTGACCACATTTACCCAATCATGATGATCATTATGCAAAATGCAGAGAATTACGTGTTACAACTCTTCCAATTACCGGACTCTGGGGAGACCTTGTCCCTTTTATTGAACATGAAATGCTCAACAATTGCCTTTTCATCTTTGTTTGGTATAAACTTTTACAAATGAACGTGTCGTGTCAAAAATTAAGTGCTAAGCTTGCGCGTATGTTGAATTGACGTTACACACAAAATTCTATTATGGAAGGCTATGTATTAAAATGTGTTTTTTGTTGTCCATAGTGACTTTACAATTTTGCCGCACCGTTTTGTACAACGTTTGCTCAAAAATTTCTGACTGTTTATGTACCTATAAAGCGCAGTATCGCGCAGTCTCAGAACGGGACTCGATCCGTGAATATATGGACTGTTTTGAACGCACGACTCGAACAGTGCTAATTTTTTTAGGAAGCACCGTCTAAAAGATGAGCATTTTGTAGCTTGCGTTTTATTTTTATTGGATATCTTGGCTAGTTACTTATTTTTGGAGCTGTAAAGTTGACGTATATTGCTAAAAGAGTTAAATTTTAGCATTTGACTCTCTTTAGTTTAAAACCACATTATGATGTTTTTGTTTTCTTTATATTCAGTGCTTTTAGTATTTAATGAGTGTTGTCGTTTTACATTGTTTCCGAAAAAGTTTGAATTTTTTCAGTAATGTCATATTTAGCAATTGGCGGGAGCACTGCAAGTTTATTCAAATTTATATTTCTGTGAGGTGTTTTGTGCACGGAGCCTTTCGCAAGGAAACTTGTGCGTGTGATACGCGAAGTTGTTGATAAAACTGAATGAAGAGCAGGTGATATCTTTCAGTCCAATAAAAGATAACTTGCGCTGAAAACCGCATGTGCTTTGTTTAACAAACATTGAAGTTTTTGTCGTGTAATAGAAAAAGATCATTTAAAAACAAGTAAAGAAAACGTACCTGATGAAAATGCCAAAAGGACGATCGCAAATATGGAGAGTTTTGGCATCGTTTATTCTTGTATGCTCTGACTTGTAGTCAAGACCAATTGACGAAAGTCATTTCAGCACTACCCAGTTTGTTTGATCGGTCGACCGCAACATCTGTTCCTTGTGTTACATAATTTATACGATTATAACTGCCAAATGAAGTTACAGTCTGTCACTCAAACATATGCTTCATGCATGGTCTTTCAAATGTTAAGCTGACTCAAAGCGTGCTTTGCTGTTTTCTTTATTCCATAGACACTATTGAATGTCAAAGTATATTTCAAAAATGATAAGAACCTTATTTTTAAGATCATCATTGGTTTGAAAATTTAACGAGTCAATCAATATGCCCAGCTTGAACACACATTAGCTAAACCAACATTTGAAGTGCTTGTCATTACCAAACACGACGTTGCCATAAACGATCGGCTTTATGCGCCAATCGTGGTTTAACACGCGTGTTTTGTTCACCAAACTTATAGTTTTACTTTTATTATCTTAGATGAAAATTTTCGTTTTTCTGCCACGTCATGTGACAGCGAGGAAGTTGACCTTGTTTAAAATGGGATTAGACATGTCTTGCTCCCAACATAATTTGTTTCTCCAAAAATTTTCAAGCTCGGATGACGACCACGTTTATAATTTAGGACGTCATATTGCTTTTGAAGTTAGCATTTTTATAGTGTAAACTGATGAAACTGGTTATTCGTCTTTCTAATTTGATTTTTTAGAAATTGACAGCAAATTGAGAAAATAAGTCCGAAATACCTGGCGCTTCTATCGAAGATTGTATGTTTTGAGAAGCCGTTAATATAAAATTAAACGAGCAATCGGAAGTATAATTTTTAAAAATTTTTAACAAATAAGGAAGTCTATTTTAAGCGCAGAGCTTAAACGATGTCTTAGTTCATTCTATCCATTTGACATTGCATTAGATTGAGGGATTAATTGGCAATGGTGTGTGAATTTCGAGTGAAAAACCACTTCGTCAGTATTTGTTTTTGTGGATGGCCGCTGGGCATGCGCTTTTTACCTGACGCATTTTACTGATGGCCGCTGTGACATACGCTTTTACTGTTGCAGCTGCAAGATATTTGTGCAGGTGTTCCATTTAGATTCTTTCACAGTTTCTTATGTTTGAAGAAACTATAAAGTCTACCTACCTGCTAATGCGGTCCATCGTTCTAAATCGTCATCGTCATGGCTTTCGTTCGATTACGTAAATAGTATCCGTTAGAAAACTTTGTAGCTTGAATCATTTCATAAGGTACACATTCAATCTTCGTAGGACATTTTTGAGAAATGCTGTGCCATGCATGACTCATTGGAGATTAGTTGTCCTTGCGGTACTCCTTGTTTTCGAATCTGTGTTAAAAGAATTGAAATCAACATAACTGAAACACTACCTTTCCCTGTAATTTTGAAGCCATTTTCGCCTCAGTCTTTCCACAAAAAAAATAAACACACGGTCAAAAAAATAATATGTGAATCATTATTGTCTCAAAAAACTTTGTTTTAGAGAAATAGCAAATTTTTTCAAGATGACTAACCCAAGCTCAGCCTTCTTGATTTCCCCAGTTCGCATTAAAATGGTCTTTGCTTTGAAATGTTAAATGAAACGCTTCTTTGTTTTGCAAAAAAAATGCAGCCTACGCTTGAATTTTTTATAGCCATGTTGGAAAATTTGTTGTTTTTACCTGATGTACCTCTGTGTAATTCATCTCTTTGAGATGGAATTACAACAAGTACGAATTTATACATATGAATGTCGGTATTGTATGTTTTGTTGTGAATTCATAGTTTTTAATTGTGAAAAGGCTGACCCTTCTCTCTCTTGTCCTTTTTATTAACAACGATGGCAATTGTTTTTCGGTAGTCTTTTACAATACTATTTTGTAAAAATAGATGCGAATTATTTTATTTAATATTTTTTTACATTGTACGTAAATAAAAATTATGCCACTAAACTGTGTCGCACTTGGGTGTAAAAACAGTGGTTATTCTTCACCATGGATAGGATTCTCGTTAACCATTATTAATTCTTTTTTCCCAAAACTATTATGTATAACAATGGGGCTAGCAATGTAATATCTGTGACTATTATAGATTTTCAATAAAAAGTGGACCAGTTCTTGAGGATAGGGAGTAATTTGTTGAAACAGGTAATAATTTAAGAACAGAGACCAAACTGTGGAAAGCAAACAGTGCCAGCGGCCAACACTTTAAAATCATCCCTCCTTCAATAAATGGGACATGTTAACAAAAGAAATATATCATACCATTGAAGGCCCCTAGTACAACGACTGTATCATGTACGACATGGCCTAATGATTTAGGCTGCAGACTGGACATGTCAAGGAAAAGACCACTCCCTTCAACTAAACAGGAAAACCTTTTGCCACTACAAAAGAAGTTTTAAAATTGAGCCTGCAGATAAAAGAAATGAATTAGATAAAAACTTAGGCAAACAATACGCAACCCAGAGCAGCAGTAAAGTAGTATCGAAAACATAGAGTTTATTCAATAAGCGAAACCATTAAAGTATTGGAAGAAAATTCTGTGATAACTTTGAAAGAATCTGCAGGTCTACAATCCTCATTTGGGAATGTTAATCATCAGATCTTCCATAATATCAAGCAAAATCTAGAAGTATCCCCATGTGGTAGAAGATATTCAGGTGAGATAAAGAATTCTCTATAATACTATACTTCTACTCACCAAAAGCATACAAATATGTCACGTCTTTCATCCCACCACCAAACCAAATTTTACATACAAAGATGATCATCTTTTAAAAGTGACCCATGGGCTTTATAAGAGAAGCATTTACATCCCTGTTACAAGAAATATTTAATATGCCAATAATCAAGGATTGCTGTCTGATAATTGATGCCATGTCAATCCGTGAGCAAACATTGTGGGATTGTGAAAACCATAAATATGTAGGATTTTTTGATCTGAGTGATGAAATTCCACTGCTAAACTGCCTTCAGAGGCATTAGTATTTCCTTTGATGGTCGGAACGAGAATTGACTGGAAATGCCCTATTGGATACTTTCTATCAGATAAAATATTTTGCCAAATCAAGCAATGTTGGTTTCTAAATCATTGGAAGTGGCAGCCAATGCAGAATTGAAGGTATTGTCAGTGACAGCGAATGGTATAGCAGTCAACCTTAGAACAATTGAAATACTTAGATGTAACTTTCGTGGAAGTTGTCATTAAATGACATGCTTAAACTTTTTTGCTATACGTTGGCAGATCTTGGAACTTTTGTTGACAATGAAGGAAACAATGAAATCGCCCCACATGAACTTTTCCAATTACAAGAACTGCAAGGTTTGAACCTAGGAAAAAAAACATTCCTTCAATCATCTAACATCTTATAAACATAAAATCATTGTTATATTGGTCGCACAAACTTTAAGTTCTTCTGTGGTTGATGCGTTAGAATTCTTGGACACTTTACTTACTTTATCAAGCTTTTTTTGTGGCAGTAAAGGTACAGTCAATTTTCACACAATTGGTCGACTATTTGAGATGCTCTCTTCTCTCACACCATTTGCTACAGGTCTTAAGACACCCTTACGTCTAAAAAGCAAGTACACTGGTGAAGGAATCCTGATGTCAACAGCAAGTTATCTCTTGTCCCTAACCCTAACTCTACAGGCCAACTGTTGTTTGCCTCTCTAAGTAAAACATTTGTAATTGGGTTCGTAGCATGCATCAAATCTGTAATCATAATGGCGAGACAAAAGTTCAGTTTACCTATCAACCCTTTCAAAACTTGTTAACTTACAAACTATCTCATACGCTCGAGAAGAAGCTGCAAAAACAATCCAAACGTTCTTCAGTTCAAGTATTCTGTTCGAAAGATATTGATGATAAATGCCATTACAGCATCGAAAAATGCGTACTGTGTTGATTTGATACAGATTTGTCAATAACATTATTCTTATATTCCATGCACAAAAACACAACAAAGCAAACACCAAGAATGCAAAAATGATTCAAATAAAATACTTTCCAGCTCTAAACATCTGAATAAAAGCCACAGTGAATTTGTCTCATCTGTGTATATAGAACAGCGAAATACTGCGAGCATATTTTCGAAGCGACTGTAACGAAAAATGATGGAAACATGATCAGCAACGAAGAAAAGCTAAAGAAAAAAAATGATAGTGCACGTCTTCGAGCATTTCACCTTTAATTCAACATCTATATAAGCTGTTCGCAGATCACAAAAACGAAAACAATGAAATTTTAGTAGACAACCACAGAACAGAATTGACGACGCTTATTGCAGATAAATAGCTACTTCACTTACAAACACGGCCAGAAATATGTCAAAAAAATCATTAATGGAGGTAAGCAAAGTGACCGACATTTATTTAACAAACTTACATTTTTTAAAGATTTTTCAAATCCTACGTGTGAAAATAAAAGAGTTCACTCACTAGTTTTGATGAAATGTTCTGAATAAAATGTTGTTCCTGCAATACGTTAAACAAGCAAAATGAAATTTAGGCTTGTTTGTTAGGTGAAAATCCTATGTATTCGGCACATGTAAGTATGAAACGAGCCTTAGTTGGGTTTAAAGCATATTTAATTACATTCACAGTCACAAACTTTAACTCAAAACATCAAGGTAAACAAAAAATTCCTCTTGGATTCGTTTCAATGTTTGTTTAGCCCACGGCAGCCCAAAAAAAATTCAACCGCATCCTTAGGTAGTCGTTCTCCATCCCATTTAAGGTGTTAGTTGAAAGAAATGGAAGAATTTTTTTTTATTTTTTGACAGTTATATCATTCTAGTTTATGATAATAAATTTCATTTTGTAAAATAATAGGTTAAAATACTCGAAAAACTGACGCAGTTTTGAAATTTGTGCCTTAGCAACGCAAAACGCCTCCAATAATGCCCCCCAATATCCTCAAAAACTAGTTCCTTTCATTGCTACTTTTGACGTATGCTATTTAATGCCTTTCAACTGGCTATGTCGTAAAATCAGTCATAAATAGCTGTTTGAGGGATGGTAAAGAGTATGAACATCAGTGTGGCGATCGGCAAGTGTGATTTGCAATCCTTCAGTTATCCAT